TTCAACAAAACGGACTAGCCTGCTGCATCATTTTTTCACTTTGACGGAAATGAAAATTATCATCCTACAGAGGACTGAATTCAAAGATACCCCGTAAATCAAATGATGGGGCATCCTTAAATTTCTAACACATTACCCAGTCCATATCAGTATAGATATCCAGCATGATATTTTTCCCCGTTGAGATCTGATGTGTTTTCAAAGTGTTCCTTTAATTGTTTTGAGATATATATATATATATATATATATATATATATATCTGTGAAAACGTATTTGCCCCCTTCCTGTTTTGTTTTTTTTTGCATATTTGTCACACTTAAATGATTCAGATAATCAAACAGATTTTAATATTACACAAAGATAACCCGAGTAAATATAAAAATGCAGTTTTTAAATGATAATTTCATTTATTAAGGAAAACAAGCTGTCCAAACCTGCGTGGCTCTATGTGAAAAAGCAATTGCCTCCTAAACCTAATAACTGGTTGTGCCACTCTTGGCAGCAACAACTGCAATAACGCATTTGCAATAACTGGCAATGAGTTGCTGTGGAGGAATTGTGGCCTACTCTTCTTTGCAAAATTATTTTAATTAGGCCACATTGGATGGTTTTTTGAGCATGAACGGCTTGTTTAATGTCATACCACAGCATCTCAAATAGATTTAAGCCTTTGACTAAGTCACTCCAAAACCTTAATTTTGGTTTTCTTTGAGCCATTCAGAGGTGAACTTGCTGGTGTGTTTCAGATCATTGCCGTGCTGTATAACCCAAGTTTGCGTTTAAGCTTGAGGTCACGAACTGATGACCAGACATTCTCCTTCAGGATTTTCATGGTTCATGAATTCATGGTTCTATCAATTATGACAAGTCGTCCAGATCCTGAATCAGCAAAGCAGCCCCAGACCATCACACTACCATCACGTTTAACTGTTCATATGATGTTCTTTTTATGAAATGCAGTGCCAGTTTGATGCCAGACCTTCCAAAAAGTTCAACTTGTTGTTTCATCAGTCCACAGAGTATTTGCCCAAAAGTCTTGGGGATAATAAAGATGTTGTTTGGCAAATGTGAGACAAGTGTTTGTGTTCTTTTTGATCAGCAGTGGCTTTCGCCTTGGAACTCTCCCATAGACGCCACTTTTGCCTGTCTCTTTCTTATTGTTCATTCATGAATACTTGACCTTAACTGAGGCAAGTGAGGCTGGCAGTTCTTTAGATGTTGTTCTGGGTTCTTTTATAACCTCCTGGATGAGTCTTCGTTGTGTGACCTTGTTCTGGTAGGTTCTGGAAGGTTCATCGCAGTTCTAAGGTTTCTCCATTTGTGGATTAGGAATGGCTATTAGGAATCCCTTAGGAATGGCTTTGTAACTCTTTCCAGACTAATACATGTCAATTACTCAGTTTCTCATCTGTTCTTGAATTTTATTACATCGTGGCATCATGTGTTACTTTTTGAGATCTTTCAACATGCTTCATTTTGTCAGACAGATTCTGTTCAAATGATTTCTTGATTCAACAGGTCTGTCAGTAATCCGGCCTGGGTGTGGCAAGTGAAATTTAACTCAGCTTTTCAAAAAATGTGGTTATCACAGTTCATTCATGGTTTAGCAAGGGAGGTAGGGGGGATTAACCCCTTAGGTTCCACCGTGAGTATAACAAGCATGCTTTACTGCATATACAGACTGATATTACTGTTGTGGATTTAGTAACACTTTAAGTAAACAAAAAAAATTATTTTAAAAAAATTAAAGTTACACCCAAGCATTTAACCCCCCCAAAAAATTTGTTGAGACCCCCCACCCCCACATATGTACACACGTACAAACGTAAAAGCACGCGCTGGGGCATCTATGCATGAAATTACGATTGCGATACACGTTACATATCGCCAGAATCAAAGCAATAATTCTACCACCAGATCTCCTCCATAACACTAAACTGATGACCTATAAGGGGCTTTAAAAGCGTCACCTATAGAAAATATAGGGTACTAAAGTTTGTTGCCATTTCACGAGCACATGCAAATTTAAGGTTTGACATGTTGGATATCTATTTGCTCGATGCAACCTCATCTTTTATATTTTACAAAACAATTGGCTAATTTATTGCTTTTTGTCCCCTAAAATTAACTTAAGTGTATTTTTTACTGAAATGTTGCATTTCGTAGCCCTTTGTGATAATATCGTGTGACATAAAAAATTGGAACTGCCATTATTTTATTCTCTAGGTCTCTGATTTCAGAAAATATATAATGTTTGGGGGGTTTGTGTAATCACCAGGCCTTAACTGATTTTTTTTCAACGTGTGCAAAAAACGCAAAAACAGCTCTGGCAGCGAAAGGGATAAACGATAAGCCCGACCCTTCCTGAAAAGCACCCAATCGGTGCTCATTACACTGCAAGATCTCTCTCCTTTTTGCTAGTCCCCTGGTGCGGTGCTGGAGACAGGCAGGGAGGTGAGGAGGAGATAAACAGTGCAATGTTAAAAATATTAAACATTTAAGTCGCCATAAAGCCCCTTTTTGTTTTTAAAAGCCCAAGATATTACTTAACCACTTGCCCTCCAGAGAAAAAAAAAAAATATTTTTTTGACTTTTTGCTATTAAACATGTCCAGTAAAAATGTAAAAAATCAACTTTCGGCATAAATTTAGGTCAAAATGTATTCTGCTACACGTCTTTGCTAAACAAAATCCCAATACGTGTAAATAAATTGGTTCACGTGAAAGTTATAGCGTCTACAAATGGCAGTGTATATACTGGAATTTTTTTTTTTTTTTTTATACTAGTAATGGTGGCAATTAGCGACTTATAGTAGAACTGCAGGACTGCGGTGGGCATTCTGACACGGGGGGGGAACTAACTGTCACTGACATCCCCAATGACACTAATACAGTGATCATTGCTAATAAAAAGCACTGAAACTGTACTAATGACACTGGGTAGGAAGAGGTTAATATCTGGGGAGATCAAAGGGTTAACTGCATGCTGTATGCTGTGTGTGTATTTTACTGTTTAAGCACGCTGCTTTGTATTGCTCTGCCATGCAGAGCAATACAAAGCAACATGTTGAAGCTGACGGGAGAGATCTGTATTGTTTACATACAGACCTCTCCCCCATCAGTGATATTCAGCGGTCACCGGGTGCTGGTGGGGAATGTCCAGCTGGGAGCCAGTGATCGACAGCTGAATCCGCCAATGGCGGTGCGAGTAGGGCGCGTGTGTACCCTCTACCCGGAAATGGAAAATCACGTACATATATATATATGATTTTGCACAGCCATGCCGCCCTCTTAGCAGTATTTCTGCTATAGGGTGGCAGGCAAGCAGTTAAAGAACCTCAGATCTAAATAAGGTTTTGGTTAATTTTTTTTTTTAGGACAGGTAGATTGCCATGAGGGACAAGTAGATTGGGGCACTGATTTAGTCCTGATTTAGTTTTTTCAAAAATGTTCACACCCCTGTATATATATATATATATATATATATATATATATATATATATATTATAGTGGCAAAAGTATTAGGGCACCCCTCCAAATCATTGGATTCAAGTATTCCAATCACCTTCATGGCCGCAGGTATATAAAATCAAGTAGCTAGCATGCAGACTGCTTCTACAAACATTTGTGAAAGAATGGGTCGCTCCTAGGAGCTCAGTGAATTCAAGCGTGGTACCGTGATAGATTGCCACCTGTGCAATAACTCCATCCATGAAATTTCCTTGCTACTAAATATTTCATGGTCAGCTGTTAGTGGTATTATGACAAAGAGGAAGCAACTGCGAACAGCAGCAACTCAGCCACGAAGTGGTAGGCCACATAAAATGTACATGCTGAAGCGCACAGTGCGCAGAAGTCGCCAACTGCCTGCAGAGTCAATAGCTAAAGACCTCTAAACTTCATGTGGCCTTCAGATTAACACAACAACAATGCATAAAGAGCTGTATGCAATGGGTTTCCATGGCCGAGCAGCTGCATCCAAGCCTTACATCACCAAGTGCAATGTAAAGCGTCAGATGCAGTGGTGTAAAGCACGCCGCCACTGGGCTCTAAAGCAGTGGAGACGTGTTCTCTGGAGTGAAAAATCATGCTTCTCTATCTGGCAATCCGACGAACGTGTCTGGGTTTGGTGGTTGCCAGGTGAATGCTACTTGCCTGATTGCATTGTGCCAAGTGTAAAGTTTGGTGGAGGGGGAATTATAGTGTGGGGTTGTTTTTCAGGGGTTGGACTTGGCCCCTTAGTTCCAGTGAAGGGAACTCTTAAGGCGTCAGCATACCAAGACATTTTGGCCAATTTCATGCGCCGAACTTTGTGGAAACAGTTTGGGGATGGCCCCTTCCTGTTCCAACATGACCGCGCAGAAATGCACAAAGCAAGGTCCATAAAGACATGGATGAGCGAGTTTGGGGTGGAGGAACTTGACGGGCCTGCACAGGCTTCTTGAGTCGTGACCTCAACCCGATAGAACACCTTTGGGATGAATTAGAGTGGAGATTGCAAGCCAGGCCTTCCCGTCCAACATCAGTGACTGGTCTCACAAATGCGCTTCTGGAAGAGTGGCCAAATATTCCCATAGACACAATCCTAAGCCTTGTGGACAGCCTTCCCAGAACGGGCGAAGCTGCTATAGCTGCAAAGGGTGGGCCAACTCAGTATTGCACCCTACAGACTAAGACTGCGATGTCATGAAAGTTAATTTGCGTGTAAAGGCAGGCGTCCCAATACTTTTGGCAATATAGTGTGCATATATATAAAATTTTATTTTTTTTGTATTGATTGCTTGATTATGACAATGTATTTCATCTGCAGGTGAATCAATCTTTGCATCAAGAAGATAATCCTGCTGTCACCAGTTTGTGAGCGTCACATTCGCTATTTTAGAAATATACCCTTAGAAATACAAAATTATCACTTGCTGCAATTCTTCTTGATACACAATTAAACTTTTGCATTAACAGTATACTTATTTTTTTTTAAAAGTTTTTTGCTTTATTCTGCAGGCACGATGACTTGAAGGAAATGCTGGACAGTAACAAGGACTCCCTGAAGTTGGAGGCCATGAAGAGGATTGTTGCTGTGAGCTGTTCTTTTCTTTCATCTTTGTGACAACATACGGTTTATCATGTGCTAAGTCTAGCAAGATAATACTATCTTCTTATCTTTCTCAGATGATAGCACGAGGAAAGAATACATCAGATTTATTTCCAGCTGTTGTGAAAAACGTGGCCTGTAAGAATATTGAGGTGAGATGAAGAAAGTTATGGTGGCACTTACTGATAGATGTCACACAATGACAATACACAGCAGCACAGGGCATAGTCAGCGTATGCTAACGAAAGTCTGGATAACATGGAGAACACTAGAACATGAGCTTACTGGGAAAAGTGACGGCTGCACATAAGCATATCCTGTGGTTGTAGACTTGAGACATGGAGTACAACATATTAAACATTCTGTGAGCTTACTTGTATAACTTTTGTTGTTGTAAGCCCTAAGCAGTATTGGCTTTTCATTTTTTCCTTTTCTGATACCCTGGGCATATCATTGTAAATACAGTAAAGTCTCCTTCCAAATGTGTCTGTAAAGGAACATCTCAAAATAATACGTCTCGTCAGTCACACCCTGCCTTAAGAGCTTATATGTCTTGTTTTTTAGGTGAAGAAATTGGTTTACGTCTATTTGGTTCGTTATGCAGAGGAGCAACAGGATCTGGCACTCCTCTCCATTTCCACCTTTCAGAGAGGTTTAAAGGTTGGTTAAGCATCAATATTGGCACCCACATCAGGACTCAGTTCTGAACTTTGATCTATACAAGCATGCTTTTGCTTACTGTCTCCTAGTTGTTCTTCCCCTTGTAGATTAAGGGTTCGTTCACACCAGCCTGCTCACAATGCTTCCTATAATGCATGCATGGTGCATGCTGAAGGGCCATGCGTTGTTACAATGCATTGCACAGTTTACAGTTGTTTTCTGTGTGCCCTTGTGCTGATCTATGCCAGTTTTTCCTAACCTTTCTTTAGCCCAAGGGAACTCTTGAATGTTTTTAGGTTAGCAACCCCTGCTAAAATTCATTGGAGGTCAGAGAGAAACATGTCCCTTCCATTTGTGGCCAGTGTAAAGAATTTCCCCTTGCACACAACTAAAGAGGTTCAGTGATGTCAAGCCCTGCCAAGTGGCATTGGCCTTGGACTATCAAATGGGAGATCAATCTGCCACAGCTCAAGGAACCTCTAACAACTGCCAGTGTAACCCTGACTGAGAACGGCTGATCTATGCAGATTGATGCAGCTCAATAAACATAGTGTGAATGTACCATAATAGGATCACTCAACTAACCCCTCCTGCCACCTCCGCAATAGCATATACTGATCTTTTCTCCTTCCTGTTTTGATCTCTTCAGCCATTGAGAGCAAAGCACAATACCTAGTACTGAGAAGTTATGGACCTCAGCTACAGTCTATCAATCAGGCAAATTACAGGATTTTAAACAGAATTATTCTGTGTTAGGAAGTTTATTCTTTGAATAGTGCATCAGAGAAACATTCAAATGACAACAGCTGTCAGAGAATGCAATTAACTAATGATGATTGGTCATGGTTCTTCTGCAGTTCAAAACCTCTTTTTTGAAGTTGACTGTGTGGATCTTTCACATTTGGCTAACAAAGATTTTGGTGGTACAGCCTAAGCATGGTCAAGAAGCCTGTTCCACACATTATGGGCACCTTTATGCTTACAAATAGTTAAAAGGATATATAATACTTTTTGCCACGTAATTAAGACATTTTGTAACAAGACGATCAGATTTCCCCCAATTACTTTCTGAAAGGGAGGGTTCATTGTTGGAAAGAAAATCGGTTTTGGAATCAAGCCTATCCCTTCTGCTTGCAAGCTGACATTAATTAATAATGTAAACGTCATGAGGCAAATGTCTGATAATCAGGAACTGAGACCTTGTGCTACCGCTAGAAATCTTTTTCATATTTTTATCATTGTCCAATATTTGTGCTGATAAAAGGAAGAATTAGGAATGAGATAAGCACTATGTTTATTTTTGCAGGACCCCAACCAACTGATCCGAGCCAGTGCTCTCCGTGTACTCTCCAGTATCCGTGTGCCAATCATTGTACCCATTATGATGCTTGCAATAAAAGAGGCAGCTTCAGACATGTCTCCCTATGTGCGCAAGACAGCAGCACATGCGATACCCAAGCTGTATAGGTAACAAAATTATTATTATTGCATGCAATTAGTATCATCTAATCTGTATTTTCATATGTTACAAACACATCAAGGTCAACAAAGTTAATAAGGGGGCTGGATGACCTCAGTTATAAGGAATGGCTACAAACATTAAACTTATTCTCCCTGGAGAGTAGGCACTTAAGAGGGGAAAGGATTGCAATATACAAATCCTTATGTGGGACTCTAGCATTGAGAGAAAACTATTTAACCCAAAGGTCTCTAAAGAAGACATAAGGACATGCAATAAAGTTGGACGAGAGGCGGTTCTAATCTCAAGGCGTTCTGTACAGTTAGATCCGTAAGGATATGGAACTCCTTTCCACGGTTGGTGGTGTTAGTGGGGAGTGTAGATAAATTCAAAAAGATTTTAGATGTGTTTCTTAGTGAACGTGGTGTACAGGGATATGGAAAAAGGTACTGACATAAACACAAATGCGCACACACACCATCAGGTTGAACTGCATGGACTGTCATAAGGCACCTTACATCCCATATATATAGGACATTTGTTTACAGAAGAAGCAGGACTTTTATGATGCCATGGACAATCCAAATATTATATATGGAATAAAAGGATTGTATTTTAACAGTTAATCTTTGCCTTGTACATGGCCAAATAGAAGTCCTGCTTCTTTTGTAAACAATTGTCTTTATTCAGCCTTAGCAACTATATAACTGTGTATGTAAGGTGTTTCAAAAGGAATGTTATGGGGGGTTTTTTAGCAGTTTTTTAAGCAAACATACTTGAATGGTTGCTACAGACTGCACCACTGTTTCTGGATAGCACTGATGTCAGAACCAGCAGGAGACTACTGGTCAAGTTCAGGGGGCTTTGACACTCCTAGTGCTGAATCAAGGGAAGGCATAGACAACATCAAAACCAAAGCAATGTTGAGGGTCAAATACCAGTCGGGGGGAGCCAGTCAAAAGCAGGGATCAAAACCATGTGATAATTTTGAAACAAGATAACTACAATGCATAGAGACATTGAAAAGAAACAGAGACTAGAGATAATGTCACCAGTGGGTGGCAATGGATCACCATTACAAGGTATGACCTGAAAATGCCTAGTTTTCTCCAGAACTTCTGTTAAGAACCTCCAGAACTCCTACCAGTACACATCTAGATGCGTAGCTGACATTCCCAGGCTTCAGCCCTCACTGGTATACAATAGAGAGATAGAAAGAGAATGGCCAACACAAGCAGGCTCCAAAAGAGCCAACAGATAAATTCTTTGCAAGTTGTCAGAAGAAACCGAACAGACTTGGAAGCAAATCAGCAACTAGTGGACTAGTAGGTTGCCAGAAAAGCAGACACTCAAGTCTGTAGGCAGACAAAAACAAAATAGATCAGAAGCATGCTGGGAGCAACCACACAAAGACAGATAAAATCAGAGAGCTTGAGCTGGAACAGAAGGTCAAACAGATTAGACAAATCAAGGCTAAATACTTAGGACACAGGACAAAATACAGAGCTGAACACAGACGTTGGTCATGCATTGGCATTTTCCAGTAAGAGACAAATCGACACACTTTAATAAATAGCAGCAAGTATGATGAGATTGGCATGGATCAGAATCGAGAGTGATCAGCAGGAGACAACAGATAGCAGAAAGGCAAAAGTAAAGAAAGGAGTGTGCAAGAAGAATAACGCACAGGCAGAGAAGCACAAAGCATGCAATGGATCCATGTATGCATCATAAACTCAACACACAGATTACAATGTGATTGTACTATCACCTACATGAGCCCTATGATAGCATAAAAAGATTTCTGTAGATGTCATAAAAAACTATTGAAAGTGACATTTGTAGAGATGTCAGATTGAGTCATTCCCTCTAGATCAGGGGTACTGAGTTAAAATTAATAGAGGTTCGGTCAGTAAAATTTCCTTCCAACGGAGGCCGAGTGTCATGTTGGTGCTTTGACTCCGATCCTTCACATCACAGCCTCCCGAGCATGTCAAAGTCCCCCCACCCACCTTTAGGGCCCAAACATCCCAGGCCTCATGGTAAAATGCAGGGTTCTACTGTGTGGACACCTGTAGTGTGAGGTGAAGGAACTGGTGTGGCGGTATGCATTTATGTGCATCGCATGTTGTTCTTTTTTTCTTTCAATTTTATTGAAATGTCAAAATTACATTTAATTCATTTTTATGCACCACCGCTCAAGTGAGGTGCATAGAAACAGACTGTAGGTGATGCTCCAATCCTTTGGAGAAAAATGCATACAGTACTACACTTCTCAGCACTTCTCAGGGGTACTGTTGCAGTGTGAATAGGACACATAGAAAACAATTGTTTTCTATTGCCTTTGCAGAAACCTGTGTTTTTCTAGTGCAGAAAAACACAGATCTCTGAACAAGTGTGAACAAGCCCATACATTAATTTCCTCAGTCCTCCCTTCACATCACAGACCCCCCTTTTACATCAGTGCCCTTAGCCCCCCTTTGCATCACCCCCCCCCTTTTACATCACAGACCCGACCCATCACAGATCACCCTATCACAGACCACCCCATCACGGACTGCCCCATCGCACAGCACCCCCCCATCACAGACTCCCCCTCCCCACCACAGACCACCTCATCACAGTCCTCCCTCCATATTACATACTCCTGTCCCTTTCATAACATCGCAGCACTCCTCCCCTCTCCCCCTTCCTACAGTGCCCTATCCTATTCACACAGGATAGGAAGAACGGCAGGTCTTGACAAAGGGCCCCCCTGTCTAGCAACCAGTCACCCACTTCTTAACTTGAAAAGTCCCACCATTTATCCAGACCTGTTGTGATTCCCATCTGTAAATAAGGTAGGGCAGTGTGGGGAGGGGGAGGAAGGGAGAAGTACTGTGATGTGATGAAAGGAATAGACCTCTCATGTGCCCTTCCTTGAGGATGATAGCGGCAGCGGTGGGCAGGCGAGCCAGTGGTGGGAGAGGACACTCAGGCAACTATTTGGCAAGGTTGCAGTCCAGATAGGACTGTTACTGGGTCCGGATTCAGAGCGCAGTCTGCCATTTAGTGATGCCTGCTCTAGGTGATATTTTTTTCTCTAGAAAGTTTTTTCAAGCATTTTGTATGTTTCAGATTATTTGTATTGAATAAGCCTGACCTGTAGTTAACAGTTAATGCTTAGAGCAAATTTTAAAGTGTTACTAAACCCAGAACCCTGCATTCCCTATATCTGGTCTCCCAGAGTACACAGAACATGGAAGTACAATTATTTTAGTAAATATAAACTGCTAAATAACTTTTCTCATCAGCAGTTAGAGTAGTCTTGTGACTTCTATCAGTGTTCAGCAGGGCACATGTTAAAAGCTTGTAGGAGGAGTTTTCTTTCTGCTCTAGGAGGATGCAAAACCCCTGACCTCTGTCTGGACAGTATTGATTGGCCCTGTGCTGATCACATGCACTCTCCCAAAAAAAACCCCCTCTCTAGAAATACACACTAAACTGAGCATGTGCAGAGCTATGGTTCAGTCTGTCTTATCTGGAGATAAGACATGGACCTTCGAACAAGAGGAGGAACAGAGAAGACAGGATCAAATGGCCTTTTTAGAGGATTAACCCCTTAGGTTCCACAGTGAGTATAAAAAGCATGCTTTATTGCATATAACGACTGATTTTACTGTTGTGGGTTTAGTAACACTTTAAGTGAGTCAAAATAACATTTCTCATGTTGGACATAATGTTTCTCCACTCTTGCTAGCCTGCAAATACTGGTTATGGATATAGACATATCACTAACACTTAAATCGGATTTGTCTGGCTTTCACACTTGAAAACATTTATAAGACAGTATTTCTTCCACATAAAGACTATATACCCAATTAGATAAACCTCTTTTCTACAATTATCTACAATTAGTTGGCCAGCTGCTAAAAAACAAATGCACACACCCAGTGTATTTACAAAATAACCACACATCCATCAGCACTACCTTATAAACATAATCATACATTAAGGTGACTGTGTCATACACTCATTAAATACAAGTGAAACATCTGTGATATAGTGCTTGAAAAAAGAAATATATAAAAAATACAAAGAATCACAATAGTGAAGACCATGACAAAAATATTCACAATCCTTCTTCGACTCCCAAAATATTCCATCACAGTGCTTTGTGTACTCTTCAAAAGGTTTTCAAAACCCACCAGAATGTACTGACTCCTATAAAGCAATAACATATTCCACACATAGGGTTTACTTAGTGATCTCTACACTTCCTAGAAGGTTTAAAGACCCCACCCAGAATGTTTTGACATGACATCTTGCTTATACAATTAAAGAGGCAGATATAACATAACAGTTTTGAAATAACCACAAATGTCTTTCTGTGCTCACAGCATTATCAGGTGACATTCACTTAGTACTTAGTATCAGTTATAACAGCTTTTAAACGTGAAGCATAGCTTGACACAAGTGTTTGCAGCGATCTAGGGTATCTTCCCCATTCTTCATGGGCAATCCAGTTCAGTCACATTCTTAGGCTTCGCACTGCAACTGCTTTCTTAAGTCCCACCAGAGGTTCTCAATCGGATTTAAGTCTGGTGAATGGCCACTCCCAAAATGTTCCAGCCTTTCCTCTGCAACCATGCTCCTAGTGGACTTGGAGGTATGCTTGGATCATTGTCCTGTTGAAAACTCCAACGAGCCTCAGGATATGATCACTTTATCCAATATCTCCTGGTAAAAGAATTCAAGTACCGGACACGCTCTTAAAGCAAAACAGCCCCAAAGCATGATTGAACCATGCTTCACATAGGCAAGGTGTTTATAGGCCTTGTTCTTCCTCCTCCAAACAATAATAGCGTTGATCTACGTTGAAACAGTGCTAATTTTGTTTCAGGTCCACAGAACACTATGCAACTTTTGTGGTTTGTCCACATGGCTTTTGGCATACTGCATTCGACTCTTCTTATTCTTTGGAGACAGCAACTACGCTGATCTGGCACGAGGCCTTCATTACGCATGTGCGTCTTATTGCAAACTTTGTAACATCTGACACAGCAGTTCACACGGGACTTCTCTCCAACGCTTTCAAAGCGCACTCAGGATAAGGTAGCCAAAAGTGCTCTTTTGCCTGGCCCTTCCAAGGTGTCTCCATTTGCAATCTTCTTATAGCCATGAAGAGAAAATCACCTCTTCTCTTGTCTTCCTGCCATTTACAACTAACCACTGATGTATGTCTAGAACTGATACCAATCATTTTATTGAATTCTTTTAGTTGGTCAGAACATCGCACAGGTGTTTTCAAAATACCTGATGGAAAATGTATGAACTTTTTTTCAGAGTTAGTTCTTTAAGGGGTAATAATTGTGGCAAAAGAAACACATAAGAATACTACTTATTACTTGCCTGTTTTGATTCAGTCAATCTCCAAAATGTATACTGATAGTAAACCCCTTTGCATGGGGGTTGATTTGTGCCAACTCAGTATTATGGACCGGCCATTCCGTGCTTGCAGAAAACTGCCAAGATATGACACTTTAAAAAAGAACTTCTTAAAAAAAAAAATAATTATGTGCAACCTAGGTCCGATTTATTTGTCCCCCTGCTTAACTGAGAACTTGAGCAATCAAGATGCTGAATTTATGCAGAAGAAGCTGGTACCAAGAGAAGCTGCTGGCCCTTCCTTCTCCTTAATGTATGATGTTTACAACCAAACTGATGTAAGATATGTACCAATACAGGTGTTCATTTTATTTTTATTTTTAATCAAGTAAATATTTTTGACAATAAAATACACTTACTTACCTGTTTGCAGTCCACTGTAGAATTATACTGATCACATTCAACTCAGTTTTATTAAGGTCCGGCATGCCTTTGTGCCAAGATAACCACTTCTGCCTGTGTGGGAATTAAATGATCCCCTGCTAACCAATCAAGATGGCTGAAGACCCGCACCCAGGAAGAAGCTGGTGAGAAGATGCCGGCACCGGTGAGGGACCTTACAGGTGTTGCACAATTAGAGAAGAAGTAAATATTTTTGACTTTGGCTCCACTTTATATCTTCTCCTGCTTTGCTTAACCTCTTGTTGCCTGTGTTGCACAATGGTGTGCTGGCAAAGAGGGTGAGTTTTAATACCCACATGACACGCATATGCATTCTTGGATGGCCAGGGTTCCTGTGCTGAGAGCGTAAAGCTGTCATAGACAGCTTTCAGCCTCTCAGTATGATTGGGAGTTGTTGGGACAGGCTCCCGAACCTGTGACCACTGTGACAGCAAATCACACATGATCGGGAAGTCCTTTCTGCCCTTAGGAAATATCAGATTTGGGTAGACTGACTCTTTATATAGCACCAATCTGCCGTTATGTTGCAGCTGAAACTTGACCTTTGTTTAAAGCAGTGTTTCTCAACCTTTTTTCAGTCAAGGCACCCTTTAAAATTATGGACAGTCTTGAGGCACCCTTTAAAATTATGGACAGTCTCAAGGCACCCCATTCTAAAATGCAAACAAACTATTCTGATAGTTTTACCTAGTGCAGCAACACCCACACATGTAGGATATCCAATGTTAGAGGGGATTTATTCTTCCAATGCAAATACATTTTTGCACACTGGTACTGAATAGTATTCCAATGTTTCTCTTCTCCCTCAATTTCTGTCTATCACTCAGCTAATTTGCCCCCATTACTGACAGACAGGGGTAGGGGAGGGTCAAACAAGGATTCTGTGCAGGCGACAGACATCCTCCATATCAACTGATGGCTTCATTGGTTGTTAGGATGCTGGCGGCTAGAACGTTGTAATGGTGCACAATGAAAACCTGTGGCTTTGTGTAACTAAAAGGCAGGCTTGATCCATCCGCTAACTTGTATACAGTTTTTGGACAATTTAAGCAGTTTGCCAAGGCATTCCTGAAGAAACATCAAGGCACCCCAGGGTGCTTTGGCACCCTGGTTGAGAAAGGCTGGTTTAAAGATGTATTGGTCCTGTAAATATCAATATTTTCATAACATATACAAGGAGCAATTTTTTGCTACTACTGTATGGGTACAAACAAGGAAACTGTGCCAATGTTTATAATATTGTTCTGCATTCCTTATGGCACACTGTGATTTATAACAGCAACAGAATTATCTTTTAGTTGTTGGAAAAAAATTTATTGCAGTCAGTAAGATGTCTGTTTTGCCATGATTGTAACCATTTTAGCTAAGTTGCTGACTATTTGTGTTTTTTTTTTTTTTAACAGCTGGAAAAAGCTATACAATTGTCAGCTTCAGTAGCTATTCATGTTATCCAGTGCAACTGGCAGTATATTAGTCTGTAGCTCCATAGAGCAGAATTGTAGCTGCTACAATGCCAAAGAAAATAATCAGGGATATTTGTAGCTGCTACAAATCTCTGCTAACATGTTGTTGGTGTGACATGGCTTTTTTCATAATTCTTTTCTCTCTAACTTAGTTTTCTATTCATGTTCTCCTCTGTGCAGCTTGGACTCAGACCAGAAAGACCAGCTTATTGAAGTGATAGAGAAACTTTTATCAGACAAAACAACAGTAAGTTTAGCATCTTTATATGGTTGATAATATATTCACGTTTATTCATAATTGTATTTTATACATTGAAACTTTTCAGCTCAAGGTAGAAATAAACATTTTTTATGAATATAAACGGCATGTTGGGATTTCTCATTATTACACACAGAGATGTTCCAAATTGCTGAGACTATTGCCATGTGTACACAGTTATCACACATTGGTATTGATTTGCTAAAGGCAAATTGACTGTTCACTTTGCAAGGGAAGTTGCACTTTGCAAGGAAATTTGCCCGAGAGTAGTGAACAAGGTGAAATTCTGCTGACTGCCATCATTCAATCCTGTGCAAGCAAAAATGTTGTTTATGTTTCTCCTTGCGTGTGTTTGGGTATTCTTTGCAAAGTGAAACTTCACTAAGTTCACTAAGCTCTGGGACAAATACCTTGTAAAGTGCAACTTTCTTTGAAAAGTGAACAGCCTATTTGTCTTTAGTAAATCAACTCCATTGGCTGAGTCAGGATGAACATCACAGTGGAACTAGCCGGGAGGCAATGAGATGAAGAATTTAGATGTCTTACTGCCCATTTTACATGCTAAGACATCTTTGGCCTTGATTACACTGAGGCTGTGCTGTGTTTTTATAGGGCCCCAACAGCTTTCTGGTATGCTGCAATGGCAGTGGAGAGAGGAAGTACATACAGTATGTCACGGCTGTGATGCTTCACAACAGGATGAAGCAAACAATTATCCCCGTGTCACGTTCAGTACTGCCCACTGAATTTAATTGAATGGACGTGCCCTGCTACCATCTCGCAACCATGTGCACTAATGTGGAGGTTTAAGGAGTTAAAACAGTCTTTAAGGTAGCGATACAATGCCTCCTTACTGCCTTTCAAATGCCCTTTGAAGAGAGATCCGATCATGAATCGCTGTTCAGAGTGACCATGCTGCAGTGTTAATTATCCTGCTTAGCATCCTCTAGCAGTTGATGTGTCTGTACAGCCTATACAGAGCACATCTGAGCATTCCAAGAATAGGAGGTAAAGCAGAAGACGTGAGGGAGCTAGCTGCCTGGATTGATGCAGGTACTGTTTGCTAAAAGGCTCCAAGGTGCTGTGAAATGGGTCACCAACTTGCCATGTGGTAGTCCTGCACTAATGTTGATTTATTTGTATAGGATTTCTCAGCACTACTCCAGACTGTTATGAACATGGGATACTGAAAAAAACTCAGCAAATAAAGTGTTTTGAAATTGTTTACACATTTCACGTTATTAAAAAGTGAAGGAGGATTGGCCACAACACTTGGCCAGAGAGACAATACAAGAATGACAGTGTACAGTTTTTTAGTAAAGTTTGAAAATAAACTAACAGTGATAGGTCTAGGGATGAATTGCAATAAACATTAGCGGTTAGGGGAAAAGGGGAAATGCCTCAGTCATTACATTAGAAAACATATTTCAATTTAAGTTAAGGGTAAGACTTCCATTTGAGGGCCATTAACTAGCAATCTGGTTTGGTACCACGGAATGTTTTGGAAGCATTGCACTATATATTGTTGAGAATCTACAGGCAAAGTTTAAATGAATGATTCCAAACCTGGAAGAATTTTTGGACTCATGATTTCTTAAATAAAACAGGATAATTTGGCTGAAAACAGGATAATTTGGCTGTAAACAGAGAAGCAGTGGGGGGGAGGAGGGGGGAGGTGTAGATCCATGAAGGATGGCTTTCCCCCTTACAAGAGATTTAACAAGAAGTTGTTTACAGTCTCTTGAAATGTTGATGTCTGAGTTATTAATGAGACCAAAAAGTGCCTATTCAAGGGTTAGAGATAAGTAGTTCAGTAAGTTAAGGTAGCATAGCGCACTACTGAATGCCAAAAACGGTTAATCTTGGGGCATGCCTAGAAAACATAGAACGAGTCCGCAACTAGGTGGCCACATTTTGGACAGCAGGAAGAGAAGCTAAGGTCCATAAGATAGGAGCGATGTGAAGATATATAAAAATGGTGGAAAAATCGAAGCATCATTTTGCAGTACATTGTGGTTTTGGCCTTGCTCCAAGATAAAGAAGAGTGTCAGCCGGAAGGTGAGGGAAACGTCTGGTCCATTTGTTAAGGTCAGTCTTTGGAGAGGTGTAATCCAGTGGTTGCTGAAAATGGCTTTTATACTTGGGTTAGGATGTCCTAATAGGTGTCCAATGAGCTTCTCCAGTCCTGATGAGAACATTTTTTAATGGTTGAAGCATTGCAACCTTTTTTTTTTAATTCTTTATTTAATCATAGGATTTGAAAAAGCAATACAAAACAGCCAGCACATATTACATTACCAGGTAACCTGAGTGGGAACCAGTCTGTAGAGGTAAAGAGATTGGTAAGGTACATCCTTCATAACAGGACATATTTATATACAGGAAAATAATAAAATGTCTCAGTAAACACAATCGGCTGTATGACCCAGCAAAGAGTTGCCAGAGATTAGCAAAAAATGTCGATTTGCACCATCATTTTACAAGAGACAACAAATACATATGCATTAGTGCACATAACACAGAACGAAATAGTGAGCAGAAATGCGAACTAGGGGTGTAAATAGGAAAGTAGGGCTGAGAACAAGTAGAGAGAGGGAAAAAAAGAAAGAAGAAGAGGGAGAAGGAGAGGATGGCGAAAGGGAGGGAGAAAGAGGAGGGGGAAAGGGCTGGGAGGAAAAAAGGGGGGGCACAGAGTAAAGTAACTGTCTCTCTCTCTCGGATGGTTCCAACCACAAAGTCCACAACCCTGATTATTTGGTGTTCTAGAAAATAGGAGAGCAAATTAAGAATGAGAGGCAAGGACAGCCTGGTCCCTATAAAAAAACAGTGGGTCCAAATCTTCCAATATTTGTTCTTCTGTTCCTTCAGAATCATAGTCAGGCTTTCCATTTCCTGGATTACAGCAACTCTTGTCCGCCAATGGGCTATTGTGGGGGGGGCTGGTACTTTTCCACAATGGCAATGTAACTTTTTGTGGGTGACTTTAAATATACACTCTCCACGGCCACTTTATTAGGTACACCTTGCTAGTGCCAAGAAAATATCCCCCTCACCATTACAACACCAGCCTGAACTGTTGATGCAAGGCAGGATGGATCCATGCTTTCAAGTTGTTTACTGGTTTGAACTTCAGCAAGTCGTCTTCACCACATCTAGATAACTAAATGCACTGAGTTTTCTGCCATGTGCTTGGCTGTCTAGCAATTTGTGTTGCCAAGCAGTTGAACAGGTATACCTAGTAAATTGACCGGTGAGTGTACGTAAATTCAGTTTCATGACAGCGTTTTTGTAATTTTAATGCACCATAAATTCTACACTTCTATTCATCTCAAGTGAGAATGGGTTAATATGCCTGAGACAACTAGAAGGGAATAAGCAGTGAGCCACAGCTAAGACTTGTTTTTGAAAAAGCAGAGAAAAGTGATGAAACCTCTTCACATCTAACATACAGTAGTCGACCTTCATAATCAACAAATGAAGCAGATGGGATTTTGGATGTTGTGGCCTTAGATCTTGGCAGATCATAATGCTTTCAGTGACATTGCTCAAAACATTTACTGTCATTATCATTAGCGGATTGTACAGGGAGCCGATTTATCAAGAATTTAGTTAGAGGGCTAATTAATGTAGGTGACTAAGTGTTCTTCTAGGTCTCTGACCCTTTTATTTTTATTTTTCCCAAGTTGGTTGCAGGCAGTGTTGTGATGGCATTTGAAGAGGTCTGCCCTGAACGCATTGATTTGATCCATAAGAACTACCGTAAGCTGTGCAACTTATTGATTGATGTAGAGGAGTGGGGGCAAGTGGTAATTATCAACATGCTTACACGCTATGCAAGGACCCAGTTTTTGAACCCTAATCAAAATGTAAGTACCCTTCAGATCAACTCACATTACAGATCACGTTACCTGTTCACTGCTCAAGTTTACTAGCATGAACTACAGCTGATTTTTTTTTTTGTAAAGCAGTTTAAAAGGCAAGACTTTTTTACAATAATACATTCCCTGCATTAAGGTAAAAAATGTCCCAGTATTTGTTTGGCTGCCCCCCCCCCACACCCCTTTTTGATTACTAAATAGTCCTCACTTGATCCAGTGCTGTGCTCGTCTGTAGCGGTCCTCTCCTCTCTCTCTGCATTCACAGGACAGAGGCAGCAGTGGGAGCCATTGGCTCCTGCTACTGCTAATCAAATCCTGTGAGGAGGGAGCTGGGGAAGGGGGGGCAGGACTGAGCCATGTTGTGTGTTGCGTGTGCCAGAGCGGTACCCCAGAAAAATAGGTTCTGAACCGCTCTGTGCAATACCATTGCACATAGAACGGAAGTATACCATGTTTATTATTAAAAAATAATATCCTTTACAACCACTTTAAGTTTCAAATTACATTTACTTCCTTTTACAGACTGCTAATTTTACTGTGATCGTGTATGGAAATAACCAACTTTATAGCACTTTTTGAGCCAAGACAACTTTCCTGTCTACCCTCCTTTAAATGCATGTGTAATGAAAGCATTTCTTTTTTTAATTTGGATAAAGTGGAGAAAGGTTTAAACCCCTGTAAGTTTGTTTTTTCGTTTTTAAAGGGAGATTTACCTTTAATTAAAGGATAAATAGACCTAGGAATAAAATGTAAAACATTCCATTATACTAGTCCTTAGACATGGTGACTACCACTGGCATAGCATGGGGGGTTACAGCCAGGGCTGTTGCCCAGGCTCAATAGTTAGGGGGGGGTGCAAAAATTATTGATAGTCCTGGTTCGTTGGTGGCGGGAGCGGGGTAGCAAACAGCAGCGTCCTTGGGGTACGGGCATCTCCACACGGCGAGTGGGCAGCCCCAGAGCTGGAGGCTGCGGGAAGGTGAACAGTGAGGGCAGCTGGGTCTTAGAGCCTAGGAAGGAGAATACCAACAGTGGACACAGACTGACAGCATCCCCGGCGCAGCGAAGCCTCTGAGACCCTGGGTTCCTTCCAACAGTGACAGCAGCCTGGAGGACAAGGACAGGAGGGAGGCGCAGACACCTACTGCTGGCATGGAAAGTGCCGGGCATCAGACACACCTACCCGAGACTGGGACAGGGGGGCAGAGGAGGGATTGCAGACAGGGCTAGGGGTCTCTCTCTCACTCCCCCCTCTCTCACCCCACTTTTCTCTCTATCACCCCCCTCTCTCTCATCTCCCCCTTTCTCTCTCATCTCACCCCCCTCTCTCCCACCCTCCCCTTTCTCTCTCTCTCATCCTCCTCCCCCTCTCTCACACCCCCCCCTCTCTTTCTCACCCCTTCCCCTCTCCCACCCCTCTCCCTCTCTCACCCCCCCCCCCCTTTCACACACCCCCCTCTCTCTCATCTCACCCCCCCCCCCTTTCTCTCTCATCTCACCCCCCCCCCTCTTTCTCTCACCCCCCCCCCCCTTTCTCCTCTCCCCTTTCTCTCTCATCTCACCCCCCCCCCCCCTTTCTCTCTCATCCCCCCTTTCTCTCTCTTACCCTCTTTCTCACCTCCCCTTTCTTTCTCTCAGCCCTCTCTCACTCTCCCCCCTCATCTCACCCCCCTCCGTCTCTCTCACCCCCCTCTCTCTCATCTTCCCCCTCACCCCCTTCTTCTCACCCCCCCTCATTCCCCCCATTCTCTATCTCAACCTGTCACTGATGCATTAGTGACCAGTGACAGTCACTAATGACAAAGGGGTTAATTAACTCTGCCAATGCCCAGCATGGGGATGGATTAAAGTAGAATTTCTAGTTTAAATCTAACTAGCCTTACAAATTCTCCTATACCTCCCTCCTAACACCTATGCTGGCTAACCTGTGTAGAAAAGATGTATACACCTATTTTCAGGCTGCTCCAGCTTGGTCACACTATCCCTTGTGTGAACCAGTGGTGTATGCACGGGAGAGGAGGGAGCGCCAACAACAGATGGGATATGGTAACCTATGGGGGATGTCACTGCTCCAGGCTTTACTGGCCATTGTCAAGAGCTCTCTCCTCTCCTGTAGCCACCGCTGACTGACACGGGATCATGTGACCAGACCGGAGCGTGCTGATAATAAGTAAGTCCACAGGTTAGGGGGCATAAATTACTTGCCATGCCCCAGGTGCTGACAACCCATGATATGTCACTGGTGACTGCATTAGCTTTCATTTTTCAGATTAAGAACATTTTCATTAAGAAAACAAAAAACCTGTTGATCTTGCCAGAAATTAATTGTCCCTGTCAATTCTTCTGACCTGGAAACCTAAACAGTGTAATTTTTCTTTTGTAAACTGCTTAACCTCTCAAACCCATGTAATGCAACTGAACAAAAATAAACATGTTTAAAGTCCAGTCTGGTTGGCAGTCATGGATCTCTCCATACATACAGGAGGAGTGAGCATAGCCATCCAGGGACAGGAAGTGTATTATTCACAGGAAAGGGAAAAGACCCTGAAAAAATTAAACTAATGCAGGCACCCTATCTAAGGCCTGGTAGGCTAAGATACATTAAATATTTGGTTTTGGGTTAAGATACACTTTAATGTCCTAGGGGCAAAACAAGAAGTGAAATAAAAGTCCTTCAAAGCAAGGGATATTCCCTACTTAACAGCTGTTACAAGAACAAGTGCCCTCATAAAACTGAATGCCCTCAGATCTTGTTCTGGTAATCTTTGGATTCCCAGTTCATGAGTTTCTGACAATGGTAACCTGGACAAATACAGACAGTGGTTCTACCTACCTACTTTACAGGGGTTCTAACTCTTACCTACTGTATCCAAAACAAACAAAAAAACTTTGAGATATACATATATTTATCTTGCTATGTGCTCTTAGGAATCTCTCCTTGAGGAAAACCCTGAGAAAGCATTCTACGGGTCAGACGATGATGAAGCGGGAAAAGAGGATAAGGCAGAAGCATCTAATCTAGTGAAACGGAAGCCTTATGTTATGGACCCAGACCACCGCCTTCTTCTCCGTAACACCAAACCTCTACTTCAGAGCCGTAATGCAGCAGTAAGAAACTACACCTTTATACCTCCAACCATGTAATTTAACAGGAGGATAGATAGTATGTTTTGCTAATTTAACAAAAGCAGAGAAGAAGACAACTGCACAGACCTTCCGATGTGTCTGTACTACACTTCTGTTTATTTAGTGTTTTCAGTATTTGGAAGTTTGTGACCTGCTGTAAGGAAAATATGTTGGAACAAAGTCTGTTTATTGCTCTGGATTATATAACATCGTAAATATAACCAAGTAATTCAAGCCTATTTATAGCCCAAACAATTTTTTCATAGTATTGGATGGAAAGGGGAAAGTTTAAAAGTTCTGTAGGGTTTTTATTGTTGTTTGTGTCTTGCTGGGGAAATTTTTCTTTTTCAATGATTTCTTTGAGTTTTTTTGAAAAGAGTAAACATCGCAACAAGTAATCCCGAGCAGGGGCAATGACATTAGTTGACAACATATCATCAAAAAAACAGGGAGAAATAATGGAACAATGAATGCTTTTAGATGGTAAGTAATATGACCATCATAAGAAGCAGATAAGCTGAGTTCTCAAAATGTAAGCTCTTCTATCCAGTAGAGATGGAGAATATGCTCGAGTAGAATCCCATCCGGCCTGGAGGCGGAAAAGGTAAAGGTATTATAGGTTTGTCGGGCCCACAGAAGGCAAGACATTGGTAAGCCATGGTTCCCATGTACGTAGAAACTTGTGTTGGGACTCATTAAGAATACTAGACATTTTTTCTTTGGTCATCATCAAAGTTGTATGGGCCCTGACTTCCTGTAAGGAAACTGAGGGCATTTTCCAGGCTTTAGCTATTGTTTGCTTGGTCACTAAAAAAAAAAAGGTATATGGCCAGTCACTGTTGGTGAGAATAAAGACCTAGGATTGGGCAATGGAGTAGAACAAACTTAGCATCCCTGGGAACTACCAGATGGAACAAGGTTTGAAGAAGTCCAGAAATTCTGGACCACATACCACCATCAAAACATCTATCCAAATATTAAGGTTGGCTTGGGCAATCGGGGCTGGGACCCAATACCACCAAAGGAAAACTTTATAGGTCGATTCCAGGGTGGTCGTATTGAAAGAGAGTTTCGCTACGTGAGACCAGACTTTAATCCAAACCTCCAAATCAATAGGAGAAGCTAGGTCGCGTGTCCATTGTGATACATAGGAAAAAGAAGCTAGTGTGCCTCTATCATTGAGTGCAGCATAAAGGATTGAGATAAGTCTGGGGGAGCCCAGATCACGTGGGCAGATGTGTTCGAAGGCTGTCTTATTGTACGGGAAGCTTGGGACATTTTTCTATCAGATTTAATATCTTTTCTGTGTCCCCATAAAGGAAATTTCTCTTCTCCTCCTTGCTTCCTGCGTCCTTGTTGGGGGATTTCCCATCGCTTCCTGTACTGTCTGACATCCATTAAATAGACAGGAAATAGGTAGTCTTCCTACACTACTTAAATAGGCCAAGTAGAACATGGAAAATTCTCTAAATGGGTAAACTGAAATAAAAAACTGAAAGAAGTTCTAATCCACTCTGGCCAGAACTGCCTGTTACGTAAAGCTGTTCTTCTCTCTGTTTGAAAAAAATAAAAGTCAGCAGCTACAAATACTGTAGCTTCTGACTTTAAAAACAAAAGCACTTACCTGTCTAGGGATCCAGCGCAGTCCTCATTCGGGTCAGTCTTTCGCCGCCACTGGCATCCGCATGTTTAGTGTGGGAAACCGGCTGTGACTCCTTGCAGCTTCACAGACAATTCCCATTGTGCGAGCCGTGCTGTGTTGTGTGAATGGTCCTACAGTCTTCTGGAACCTATGACATGTCCCAAAAGGCAGGAAGGGTGGTGCCAAATGTCAGGTGAAATCGCCTAGGCGATCACACCAGAAGTACGAGTGAGTACCTACCAAAGCTAAGTACCTGTTCCGCCAAAAAAAGTCCCAAAAGATGAAGCTGGGGGGGGGAGAAGGAGGACATAAAACAGAACTTCCCCTTTAAGATTAAGTTCTTTAGATATAATATGTAAAATATAATGTTAGGAATTGACTGAGAGTCTCAAGAAAGTTCTAATAATTTTTTTGCAGGTTGTTATGGCAGTGGCTCAGCTATATTTTCATCTTGCACCAAAAGCAGAAGTTGGAGTGATAGCAAAGGCTTTGGTTCGATTGCTACGTAGTCACAGGTATTAGAGCAAATTTAGTCAATGGTATGCTTAACAATGAATCTTGCTTTTTTCCACTTTATATCAGTACTTACCAGTAAGATGCATTTATGTATTATGTATTGCCGAATTTACCTATTTTGGATCAACATTTCATTCTAACATGGCCACCTACTCTTTGGGTGAATGCACAGTATGTGGGAGTCAACCACACTTAAGAGCAGTCTTCTCAACATTTTTAACATAGAAGAGCCTTTAAAATAAATTTCTGGCCCCAGAGAACACCTGCTAATACTTACTATCGCTACAGCTCCTGGTACATTATCATGATGATCAGTGCGAAGAATGCTGCTTACATTTGTGGTCAATTGGAAGAATCCCCCCTTTACAGATAGCTAAAAAGATCATTGGTGTCAAGGGTTACTTATCTGAGAGGCAGAAAGTGCTCACTGCTCAAGGGACATCTAGCAGCATCTGGAAGAAATTTAGGGTACCTAGGGAATGCTGGTTTACAAAACCTGATTTAGAGTCTCTTACTATATAAGTGGAGGTCTGTAATGTCCAGTGCACTCCTTACAGCTTTTCAAACTTTCATAGCAGTGAGTACTACGGTGGCAAAATAAGGGCACTATCATGAGATGAGAGGGTGATGTGAAAGAATGTACAAATTGCAGTATATATATGTACTAACTTACACAGTGGCGTCACCTGCATACCATATAGAGCAACAATGCAACAATTCAGGACCACTAAGAACCCTTTCCTTAGTCTCACCCTGACAAAGGAGTCCTCAGTGGCCCTGAAATGTCATGTTGTTTGTGACAAATAAAAGTCCCAAGTATGGCTTTGCATGGTGTGCTTGTGACAATTTGCTTCTTTGCCACTATGCAAGTGGGTACAATTGGCATTACCGTTTGGTATTAACAATTCTGTTGTTGCTGATATAAATAAACTTCTCCTGTATGTGGTATATTTACTGTCTGCTCAGTTAGATAATAAACACGTCTGTACAGAAAACAGCAGTGAAGGAAGGCCCATAGCAGCATACTGATAGCACAGTCTTGTGATTGCTGCACTGTATGCTGTAAACTGATTATTCACAGGGGAATCACCCAGACATAAAACTGTCACCAGTCTGGTATCACGTGGAATGTTAGGTTTCCTGTTAATGTTGCAGGTTTCCAAGCTGCTGATCAGCTTTCACTGCCCTGGAAATGGATACAAGATGCCATGTTGCATAATGGCACATCAGCGACAGATGTCTGTCAAATCCGGACAAAAGAAGGGATACAGCAGTTTGGAGATCTGCATGAAACTAATCTGATATCAATTTCTTTAATGCATTTCTAAACATATACAGTGGGTAAAATATGTATGAACATGTCACCATTTTTCTAGGTAAATATATTTCTAAAGGTGCTATTGACATGAAATTTTCACCACAAGTTGGTAACAACCGTTGCAATCCATACATACAAAGGATCAAAAACAAATAAGTTCAGAAATTGTTATGTGCAGTAATCCAGCCCCTTGTCAGTGCAAATTAATATCAGCTGGTTTAGTCTCAACTGATGGCCTATAAAAAGGTGCCTCATTATCAAGGTGTTACACAAAAAAAATCTCATTATGGGTAAAAGCAAAGAGCTCTCTCAAGACCTTCGCAACCTTATTGTTGCAAAACATACTGAAGGCATTGGTTACAGAAGGATTTGTAAACTTCCGAATGTTCCAGTGAACACTGTTGGGACCATAATTGGGAAGTGCAAAGAATATCATTTCACCATAAACCAGCCACAACCAGGTGCTCCTCACAAGATTGCTGACAGAGAAGTGAAAAGAATTATCAGAAGAGTTGTCCAAGAGCCAAGGACCACTTGTGGAGAGCTTCAAAAAGACCTGGAATTAGCAGGTACAATTGTTTCAAAGAAAACAATAAGTGAGGCACTCAACCGCAATGGCCTGTATGCATGCTCACCACGCAAGACTCCATTGCTGAAGAAAAAAGCATGTTGAAGCTCATTTAAAGTTTGCTGCACAACATTTAGGCAAGCATGTGAAATACTGGAAAAATATAGTCTGGTCAGGTGAGACCAAAATAAAGCTGCTAGAATGGCCCAGTCAATTAACTGATTTGAATCCAAAAGGAAATAAATGGATAGAACTAAAGATCAGAGTTCATAGAAGGAACCTTCAAGATTTGAAGACTGTTTGTGTGGAAGAATGGGCCAAAATCACATCTGAGCAATGCATGTGACTAGTTTCTCCATAAATGAGGCATCTTGAAGCTGTCATTACCAACAAAGGATTTTCTATGAAGTATTAATATATTTCCGTTAGCGTGTTCAATACTTTTTCCCTGTGTCATAATTTCTGAACTTATTTGTTTTGGTTTCTTTGTATGTATGGATTGCATGGGCTGTTACCAACATGTGACGAACTTTTCATGTCAATAGCACCTTTAGAAATATCTTTACTAAGAAAAATGGCGACGTGTTCAATACTTATTTTACTCACTGTATAGTGACTGGTTGTAAAGTTTAAGGGTGCAAGTGTTTGTGAATCTGTATACTACTGGGAATGCGAGTTGCAGCAAAAAGACTTTTATATATATATATATATATATATATACAAATCATTCCAACTGTGATCATTTTATATTTTAATAATATTGAAGAAAGTTAAACAATGTATAAAATCTTTAGGGCAACATATATATTTTATCTTTAGCAATAAAGAGAGGGTCCAAAACTACTGTGCACTCGTAAGATTTTTAAGGAATGTTTTTATTTATGCCAGGGACGTTTACTATACTTAGAATTATTGTGAATAAGCCCATTAAGATTTGTACTAGATTTAGTATGGAATGCTGCTGATCTTCTCAACGTTCAACTCTTAAAGAGAAGCTCCACCCAAAAGGGAAAGTTTCACTGTAAGGCCTCCACCCTCCCCATCTAAACCAAATGGCACTTTTTTTTGGGGTGGGGAGGAGGGTACCTGGTTTTGACAGGTACCCACTTCCAGTTCCGCTGAGATCTCCTAGGCGATCCGAGGGAAAGTTTTTCTCATCCCCCTCCCTGCAGTCTTCTGGTACACTTTACAGGTCCTAGGAGACTGCCGGACCATTCACAATGCACAGCACGTCTCGTGCATGCACAGTGTGCACCCTGTTGTGAAGCCGCAAGCTTTCACAGCTGGATGCCCACAGTTGAGGTGCCAGCGCCGGGGAGAGAAGACCAAAGGAAGGAGCAGCTCAGGTGAGCACATCCTGTGATCCTTGGACAGGTAAGTATCTGTTTTTGTCTGATAAAAATGATTGAAACTCCTCTTTAAGATGGCTACTATAACCAAACCCTGCTGTTTTTTTTCTATACATTTTTTAATTAAACAACTTGTTATTTTTTGCTTCAATAAAATTTTTACGGGTTGTTCTGTGTTTTCACTGCCACTCAGTTTAATCCCAATAAATATTTTTGTCACTTTTTCTTTCCTCCTAGTGAGGTACAGTATGTGGTACTGCAGAATGTGGCAACCATGTCCATCAAAAGAAGGGTAAGTGAGTCTCAAAGGCAGATCAGTATATCCTTATTGTTGTCATTCTTAACCTTTTCATGACCAGAGAACTTTGATGCCTAGATGCTAAGGCCAAATTTAGCAGCATCAGCATATATAAGTTAACTTGATCATAACTTTGTGACTTATTTTCGAACCTGAATAATCTTTTTATTTTTTAAGGGCATTTGATTTTTGTTTTTTAAACTATTTTCCGTGTTTTTATTTTTACTATAGGCTGATAAATGCACAAAAAATGTAACTGTTTTTGATTCTAATTCATGTGTTTTATATTTTTTTGTAATCATGTCTGACAATTATAGTATTAAACAGATTACACTGACATCTTCAGGCTGCAGTGCCATCTGCAGACTGAAGATTTATTTTGTTAATGAAGCCTCCCACCTACATAAGTCTTTATTGGGTATATTCGAATGTCATTAATCTAGAACTATACTAAAAACTTTTTTAAAATTTTGAATAGAGTAAGATAAGTAAGGTTATAACCCCCTGTAATTTTTTTTATTTTTTTTGCCATCCTTTTTCCATTGAAGAGATTTCCATTTGTTTCCTGTCCCAAAGCCAAAACAAGAAGTGAGAGAAAATCCTACGAAGGGAATTCCTGGTTACCACCAGGGTCACCAGAACTAGTGTCCCCCATTGGAAGTTCTCCCCTCTATTAATGTTCTAGGGACAACCCAATATTTGGGATTTCGTGACAGATTCCATGGCAGCATATGTATGGGTTTAACACCGCCTCCTCTCCTACACTATAGGACCCCATAAATTTTGACTCAGTGCCAGAGGTCGCATTCTTTTTTTGTCCTCCTCCTAGGACCAAAGACTGGGTTTGAAGTCATACCGTGTTCCTTCGCTCAGGATAGCATTCATGACCAAGGCCTGGTGGCTCAGCGCGCAAGCCATTTTCCAGAAGATGTGAGGAGATGTGTCTCCCATCAGTTCCAGCAGTCCCTAACTATTAGTGGGGTGGAAAAAGAGCAGAAGGATGCACTGCCATGAAGAGCTAAGGCCCTTTCATTGGTGGGCAAGTAGAAATTTGGCTGGATAGCGCTGCTAATAGCAGGTGACCATGTAATGCCCTGAACGGATGCAGCAGTGTCTTCCTTACTCCAGGCAGGTCGCATGAGTGCCGTGTCCAGGGTGATGTATATCTTCTCCTATTGTTTACATGGCAACAGTTTATGTTTGTGCTCTTGTTTTTTTTGTTTTGCACTTTCTTTCCATGGCTGTAGCGTCTTTTTGGCCTCCCATGGCAGCTGGAGCGCATTTTCATTCCTGGTCGCCTCTCTCTGTCCTGGCCGGTGCCCTCTGGCGGTTTTGCGCATGCATGGGCCTAGGCTGAGATCGAGGCCTGGCTTTGCACATGCATGCTCCTGTCAAGATGGCGGAGGGCGCCGACAGGCGGCTCTGGGGATCCAGCACAAGCGCGCTGTGGCGGCAGTGATGCCAGCACATGCAAGGATTTTAAACAGCTATCAAAGCTGTTACAATTGGTATTCCTTGCGGGCTTTGTGCAGCATTCTCCCCAGGTGCAGTGGTTCTCTGGCAGGTATGGGTTTGCTGTTCATCCCCTCTATGTGCTGCCTGCTGTCTCCTGGTGCATCCTAATTATGCCTCTTGTTCTATTCCACTGCAGCTTGGTTTGACTGTACAGTTGACCTTATATGGATGTGTCACTGCCCCCTTGTGGCCAGACCTTGTGGTATAATTGGGAGTTTTAACCCTTTATCTTCCCCGCTTGCTTGGGCACTCCTATAGTGTTTTTTTAAACTCTTTTCTTTCCTTTATACCCTATTTAGTTTTTGTCAGTCTTTCCAGTTCTGGTCGACAATGCACGGCATGCGAAGACAGGGATCTTTCTACGTCGCAACACCGTCATTCCTCATCTAGATCCAGACATCATTGGTCACTGTCTAGATCCAGGCTTTTCAGGAGAAGTTTAGAATCCTCCTCCAGGCACCGTGCTCACCGCCAAACCACCAGCCACGCCAAAAGAAAGCTTTCTGGGGATGCAGGACTCAGGTCCCAGAGGGCAAGTCACTTTGTGATTCATGCTATGCTTAGTAGGTGAAAGAGAGTGGCAACCAGCAGGTGGAGTCTCTGGTTACCTGGGTGGTACAAGAGTCCCTTAAACAGCTGGGTACTAACCGCACCCGTAGCCCATCAGCTGGGTTGTTTGCTTCCCTCCAAATGAGGGAAACAATGTGCTGGAACCTTCCCAGCCAAGTCACCCATCAGTTAGAGCCTCAGACAGTGAGGTGGACAGAGAGGATCCCTACAAAGGCTTCAACTTTGCCCTGGTGCTGCCTTTGGTGAAGGCCATCAAGGAGGCCTTGAAGTGGGCAGAGCCAGTAGAGTCCCCATCTAAGAAGAGAAAATTGTTCAAGCATGTCAAAAAAGAGCATTGAGATTTCCTGTTCCTGGAGAAACTAGGGGAGATCATTACAGGAGGAATGGAGCAGGAGGGTCAAGAGAAAGACCTTCTTACTAAGCAAGACGGCTAAGCCCTATCATTTCAAGAATGAGGAAGTGAAGCATTTAGAGCAGTGGTTCTTAACCTTTTTGGAGGTACTGAACCCCACCAGTTTCATATGCGCATTCACCGAACCCTTCTTAATTGGAAAAATAAAATATGATTTTTAAAATTCAAAACATAGGTATATATTTATACATAGGTGCACAAAATGAACAAAACCATTAAGAACAAAGAACAAAACCATTAAAACATAATTTTCACACAAAAACAAAATAATGAATATTTACCGCAAATCAGTGTGACTTCTGCTGTTGTCTTTCAGAGGCCAGTTCAGAAATGCGCGGCATTACCTTGGCAAGTGCCACTCTCATGTCATTTTCGCAACAAAGTCTGTTCCTTTTCTTCGTCTTTATGTCCAGCATCCTCGAAAAGGATTGCTCGCAAAGATATGTTGTAACAAACGGTATGAAAATTCATCCCCCATAGTAATTCATCCCCCATATAGTAATTCATCCCCCATATAGTAATTCATCCCCCATAGTAATTCATCCCCCATATAGTAATTCATCCCCCATATAGTAATTCATCCCCCATAGTAATTCATCCCTCATAGTAATTCATCCCCCATATAGTAATTCATCCCCCATATAGTAATTCATCCCCCATAGTAATTCATCCCCCCATATAGTAATTCATCCCCCCTATAGTAATTCCTTCCCCATATAGTAATTCATCCCCTATATAGTAATTCATCCCCCATAGTAACTCATCCCCCATATAGTAATTCATCCCCCATAGTAATACATCCCCCATATAGTAATTCATCCCCCATATAGTAATACATCCCCCATATAGTAATTCATCCCCTATATAGTAATTCATCCCCCATAGTAATACATCCCCCATATAGTAATTCATCCCCCATATAGTAATACATCCCCCATATAGTAATTCATCCCCCATATAATAATTCATCTCCCATATAGTAATTCATCCCCCATATAGTAATTCATCCCCCCTATAGTAATTCATTCCCCATATTAATTCATCCCCCATATTAAGTCCCCAAGTCCCCCCTGTGTCAATTCACTTACCTTTGCTCCGCGCGTTCCTCTCGCTGTATTCCCGCGCCGTTCCGGTCTTTAGGGCGGACTGTGAGAGGAGCCTAGCTCCTCTCACGTTCGTCACGCTGCCCCGCCTACACACATCCTGACAGCCAATCACTGGCTATCAGGATGTGAGTGGCAGCGAGACTGGCCAATCATTGCATTTGAGTCCCTGCCGCCCGAGAGGAGGGAGGGGAGCGGGCGCCCGGCACACAAGAGCCGCGGCTTGCCGACCACTGGGCTAAGCGATGTTGCGTGACCACCTGCAGCCAATGATGGACAAGCGGGGCATGTCATCACAAATCATATGAGTCGGGTGTGGGTCACCTCCGCCGAACCCCCGAGACTGACTCACCGAACCCCTGGGGTTCGATCGAACCCAGGTTAAGAACCACTGATTTAGAGTCTAAACATCAAGTCGATACTACCTTAATGAGGCTAGTAAAACATGGCACTCTACCTCTGGAGGATGCAGTATCCTTTAAAGACAGCCAAGGCGAATTGATACTGATCTTAAACGAATTTATGTGACGGCAGATATGGCCTGCAAGCCAGCTCTGGCCCTCCCAGCCATGTCCAAGGCAATGGAGGTTTGGACGGATAATATAGATAAGGTTCTAAAGAGCATATTGGAAGAGGTAGCCAGAAACTCAAAAGCTGAAGCTGGCGCCGGCTTTCCTGGGCAAGGCTAGAATTGACATAATCCACTTGGTGGCACAGGTCATGCTCTCCTCAGTTATGGCTAAGTGTGCTTATGTCTTCGGCCATGGCTGGCCTATCCCGCCTCTAAACAGGCATGGTGTAGGATCCCTTTTGAGGGATACTCGCTGTTTCAGCAACAAACTGGACAGCGCTATAGCCAGGTGGTAAGTTGGGCTTTTTGTTTCAGGATCGGCGCCTGCTAGGCCATAAGAAGGCACAGCCCAGAAGACAGCGTTCGGAACACATTCCTTTACAGACCAGATCAGGAATTTAAGAGGAGCTGGAGAAGAAGCCAGGTATTCTTTCAGAAGTCATCTAGAAGCTTGACTTCGGGTGGCCAGGAGGCTAAAAAGTCCTTTTGAGATTGGGATCGCTCAGGCAGGCCACTTTTGGCATGTCTGGGCGGCCTAAATCCAGCACTATTGGGCCATCAAACCGGTCTCTTTGGGTCATGCTTGGTCATTCAGGAACTCTCTTCATCTCAGGTTCGTTCCCACAGCCCTAACACACTCTGAGGAAAAGAAGAAAACACCTCTATCTTATGTAGGTTTGCTGGTAGCACAAGGCACTGCCATGCCAGTTCCGAAATGCGAGATATTTCAGTGCATGAATTCGCCTCTCTTCGTGGTCCTGAAGAAAAACAGCTCATGGAGGCCTGTCATAGACCTTACACATCAGAACACATTCATCAGAAAGGACAAATTTAAAATGGAGACAGTGTTCTCAATTCCACAAACCGTTCAGCCAGACAACTGGCTCGTGTCCATAGAGCTGAGAGAGGCTTACTTTCATGTGCCTATAGCAGAAGTTCCTTTGGATTGCTGTAGGTCAGGTCCATCTCCAGTTTACCTGTCTGCCTTTTGGGCTTTGGACATCACCGTGCATGTTTTCAAAGGTTTTATTGGCTGTTGTGGTCCTAATCAGAACAAGAGGCATTCGCCTGCACCATTACCTGGACGAACATCTTTTGCTGTCCCAGGACAGAGAGCAACTGCTGGAGCAAGTCATTTCAACACTCCTCGAATTCAGCTGGCTGTTGAACCCGCAGAAGAGCCACCTGGAGCCCACTCAGTCCCTGGTGTTTCTCAGGCTCAATTCGATACAGTCAGGGGTAGCATTTCCTTGCCCATACAGAAGATCCCGGAGATCCAAAGCAGGACTACTGGCCCTGTCCTCCTCACATCTTCAAGCTTTTCAGTGCCTTAAGATCATCGGCACCATGGTGGCCACAGTGCCCTTTTTTAAGTGGGAACAATGGAGAATGCGCCCTTCCAAAAAGGTTTTCTCCAACAGTAGCGTCTGGGGAGCAGGGACCAGGTTATTTACATAACCTTGACTATGAGGGAGGGTCTCCTTCGGTGGCTGCAAAATCTCTGGTGGCTGAAAAATCTACTCAACTGCCACTCCATTGCCTCTGTTACCTGGGTCACAATCACAATGGACATCAGCAACACGGGATGGGGTGCTCATTGTCTGTTGGAAATAACTCAGGGCAAGTGGAGTTTTCTTTCTTACAGGATCATGTCAAATATATTGAAACTTTGGGCAGCATTCTGCTCTTTACAAGTCTTTCATCATCTGATGTAGGGAACGTCAGTCTCCTACATAAGGAAGCTGGGGGAATACGCAGTCTATCCCTTTTACAAGTAGTAGAGCCGATCATGTCCTGGGCTCAGAAGAACCTATCCAATATATTGGCGGTTTATGTCGGATTTTCTATCCAGAGTCCAAATAGACTCTCATGTGGGAGTCTTGGATTCTGACCCTGGGAGTCAACTACCTGTTTATCTCCCGTGCAACAACAGACTAGAGAAGTATTACATGAGGAGTCGTTATCCTCAGGCCTTTGGGATAGATGCCCTGACGAATCTGTGGAGGTTTTGCAGGGCCTATGTGTTTCCCCTGGTTCCAGTCATCCTCAAGTTCCTACAAAGACTCAGGGCAAAAGAGGTGGAAATAGGGGCGGTAATTCCGTACTGGTCGAACAGGCCATGGTTCCCCTTGCTGTCGCAGCTTAGCTTTCGGGATCCAGTTCCTCTGCCTCTCAGACCGGACCTTCTATTGCAGGGGCAACTCTACATCCTTGCCCAATTCAGCTACATCTGGAGGTCTGGTCCTTGACAGGGGGAGACTGGAGGCCCTTGGTTGTCCTGCTGGAGTCATCTGTACTCTGATGAATACCAGAAGAATGAGCACGAACAAGGTCTATGGGAGAATCTAGTCAAAATTTGTAGAATATGTGTCTGCTTCTGGTGGGTCATGCAGTGATTAAAGAGTTCAGGATATTCTGGGATTTTTGAAAACACACTTAGACCTTGCCTTATCAGTTATCTCCCTCAGAGATCAGGTGTCAGCCATATTGGCCTTCACCAGGGTGTCTTGGGCCAGACATTCTCTTGTCTGGCAGTTCTTCAGAGGCGTTGTGAGACTTAGACCTCAGAAAAAGCCAATATTCCCCAAGTGGGACCTTCCTCTTGCCCTCAGTTATCTCCCTCAGAGATCAGGTGTCAGCCATATTGGCCTTCACCAGGGTGTCTTGGGCCAGACATTCTCTTGTCTGGCAGTTCTTCAGAGGAGTTGTGAGACTTAGACCTCAGAAAAAGCCAATATTCCCCAAGTGGGACCTTCCTCTTGCCCTCAATATTCTCTTGGAAGCTGGGATGGAGCATACAAGGTCAATCTCAATTAGAGAGCTTTCCCCTAAGTCTTCCTTTTTTGTAGCAATCACGTCAGCAAAAAGAGTCTCTGAAATTGGAGCCCTCGGGTGTAAAGAATCGTTCTTCACATTTTTTCTGGATCAGGTGGTACTTATACCTATGCTTGACTCAAGTCCTAAGGTAACATCAGTCTTTCATGAGAACCAGGAGATTGTTCTACCACCATTCAGAATGCCTGGAAGTACCAACATACATCCACTAGATGTGGGAGAAATTATAAAACTGTATCTTCAACCACAACTCCATTCTGACTGTGTGATCATCTGTTCGTTCTCTGTCATGGGAAGAACAAGGGAGCTTATGCCTCATTCAGAATGATTTCAGAATGGATTGTTCAGTCCATCCAGCTGGCTTACAGAGCTAAGGGCTTAACTCCTCCAGATGAGATGACTGCACGCTCAACCAGGAGTGTGTCTATGTCGTGGGTGGCTTTGTGGCATGTTGCCCATGAGATAACTTGTAGAGTGGCCTCGTGGTCCTTGATCAACTCTTTTATGGCTCATTACTATATTGAGCATGCCTCTTTATTCTCTGTTAATTTTGGTTTGCAAATCTGATGATGATACAAATTAAAACTTTTTTGTTCAGCAACTGCCCATCCGTGTATGTATGGCTAGTTATTTCTTATACGTTTGTTGCCATGGAATCTGTCAGGAAAACTGAAAATTTCCTATCAAATACTATTTTCCTTTCCTGATGGACTCCGTGGCAGCAGGAATACCCTCCCAATGTCTTGAGTAGGCTAGTTATGGAACGTGGCCTCTGGCACTGAGTCAGGATTTATGGGAGTGGGGTCCTAAAGGGTAAGAGAAGAGGAAGGGCTAAACCCATATGTATGCTACCATGAAGTCCATCAGGAGAGGAAAATTATGGTAAATATTTCCTAGGAAATTTTCTGCTTTCCTGAAAGACTCCATAGCAGACTCCAATAACAGTATACATAACAAATAGAGTCTTGCTAAAATGTCTTGCATTAAAGTCTAAAAATATCCATTACGTATATCTTAACTGAACATCTAAACAATCTAAGGTCTCTGTGTAGTTCATTTGAGATAGTAGTTACACTTTTGTGAATGTATGGCAGAATCTTAAAGGAGAACTCTAATCTCGCAGAAAAGCAGGATATTATTTTAGAGTAACAAGCTGGTAAAATATCTACGTATAATTATCACATTACTATTATTATTATACAGAATTTATATAGCGCCAACAGTTTGACACATTGACTGTTTTCTTTGAAATGGAGAGCTAATATGCAACCTACTCTCCTGAGATATTTTGTACCAATCCCCACCTCCTCCAGGATAATACATAACGTAAAAGAGGTATTTATTGCATCATCACAACTTTTTTCTTTTAATCTGGTTTAGACCTGCTCAGGTACAGCATTTTCACACATTCAAGTCCTTTTTTAAATTCTTCATATTGGGTCTAGCTGTTAGAGATATGGGTACCCCATCAACATTAATCTTACACAAAATGGAGTATTTTTCTGCATGGGGTTAATTAATATGGTTGGTTTAGTTACCAGGAGTGGTTAGCAGAGTTATTTTTCAATGATGATGATATGTGATCATATTTTTTAACCATATTGAAAACTATAAATTTAGAACCTGGACTCTAGCCTCCTACTTATTCAGACTAGTTAAAGACTGTCAATGACACGTGAGTGAGGGAGAAGCTGACATATACCAGATAAGGGTGCCCAGCCAAATTTGATAAATTATGGGGGTCCTGGTTAGCCATACCAGGGCTCCTACTTCATTGGTTTTTATAGGTTATAACAATTCCCCACCAAATCTAACAATTGAGTTTTGGCTATTAATACACTTTAATGACTGTAGATCTGTGGATTGTTGAATGGATATAATTCTGAGTTATATGCATTGGTAGTTATAATTGAAGTAAAAATTATGGAAAAAACCTCCAAAAATGAACCTTGCAGGGTCCCACAGGTTTCGCAATATAAATCATTGATACACACATTAGAAAATTAGTTGAGTAATAGGACCATACATTCTGGTATAAAAACTACAAGTGTACATACAGTACATAGTAATAAACAAATTTCAGTCATCTGGATCTAGAATTATAATGAATTTAAATGGTGTGTTCTTAATTCATACACAGTAGATAACTAAAGTTCATTGATATACATGGTGTGTTGTGATAATTTGTAATCTATACTTTATACTGTAGTGCTCATTCTTGTTCTGATGGATTCTCACAGGGGATGTTTGAACCGTATCTGAAAAGTTTCTACATCCGGTCTACCGACCCGACACAAATTAAGATTTTAAAGGTAACTGTAAAACATCAGTAGAAATGACATACCATAAAAAGGCTGAAGTGAATTTTCATTTGTGCTGCTGACTATACACGATGGCTGTAGATACCACAGTGTCTTCACATTTATACATAGTAAACAAACAGAAAGAAGAGGGGGCACTTGTAGTATTAAAGCGGAACTAAACCGTCCTATCCTTTACAGCCAAGGAAGCTGCCGTCTTGGCCTCTGTTTGATCTGCAGTTGCCATGGTGCTGGACATGTGCTCAATTATGACACCGACCATTTGATGACTTGACAGTTCAATGGAGAGAACAAGCACTTTTTTTTTGAGCCCACCATGTGGTGTGCAAAAACAAAACACCAAAAATGAGCCAACCAAGTGTATGTGAACTCACACAAATGAGTGACTTGAGATGTGCATTTGATCCCTTCTCGAAAAGGAAGGACCCTTCCCTGACCCACCGGGGTGCTAGACTCCTAACGGGGGTAAGGCTCACTTGGGTCCACCTATCCAAAATGTCTGGTAGACCCCACTCCTCATGATCAGCCAAAGCCATCCAACGAGTACTAGGTAGGGGGCTCTCCCGAAGAAAGACCCCTGAAGCAGAGGAGGAAAAAAACTTAATGGCCACACATCCCTCCCCTAGACTTCAGGGTAGGCCCGAAGACCTAAACCCTACCAGCTGAGTGAAGTAGAAACACGTACATAAGTGCAGGGTGACATAAATGGAGAGTAAAAATAAGAAAGAAATTAAAAAGGTGCCTTTGTAGCTGCAGAGGCTATGCCCTGTGGCCTGGTGGCAAGTCAGAATTCCCAGCCCATCAATGCGTTGTCCAGAAAACACCTTTGGTGTTGTGACCTAGTACAGTTTCACACATTGGTGTCCCAAACCCATAGTGCTACACTGGTATCCCTGGGACGGCACTGCCAGGAGACGCTTAACACTGTGAGCTTTCTGCCTTCACAGCCCCTTCTCAGGATCCTCGTCATAGCAGCAGGGATACTGTACAGTCAGTCATCCCAGTCAGAAGGTCAGAACGATAGCGTGGCACCCCTTCTGGACACTAATAAGAACAGATACTCCAGTTGATCTTGCCAAACGGCTGAGGAACAAGCAACTGTGACAGCTATCATTCCCGGCATGCCTTAAATGTAACTGTTTTGGAAAACCGTTAAATCATTGGGTTAGTTTCACTTTTAGAAACAATTTTACCGTATTTTTACAACAGATCAGTATGAAGGCAGACTAATAAAAAGTGCCGGAGACAAACTTTTTCTCTACTGGAATGTAGTCCGTCAGCTTTTACATTTTAATTTTCTAGGCTATGTGGAAAACAATGAAAGCCAGAAGCTGATTAGTTGCCATGGGCAGTGGCAGAATGGTGAGAATGCACTTGTCTCAGACACTTTTTTATTAATTCCCCCATTATAATTAAATGCCTATTAAAAATATAGGCCAAAATGCATTACAGAATCTACTACAGAGAAGAAATAACCCCTCTATTCTCAGCCTTTAGGTGAGATATGAAGGAGTTAGTGGCCTGACAACAGTTGAGAGTATTAAATCAGTTGCCATATTAAGTATTATACCTTATCTGGTTATATTTTTGGTGATTTTACAAAGGATTGTGGGAAGAAACCTCTCTTGAGTTCTTTGCAACCTTAAAATGATTGTTGGGTTAGGATCCTCCTCTCTTCTAGGTGAGGGAAGATAAAAAGGCAGTTTACTGCTTACCCTTTTAAATGCCAGAGGAAAAAACTATTAAAGGGTTAGTTCACCTATACCTACAAAACACCCTATGCATTCCAGAATACCCAGCACATTACAAACCACTGCTTAACTGGTATGTATGTGTAAGTTGTACGTGGCCTGTAAGCAAGAACTCCTCAGTACTGAACCCCCCCTCTGTCCTGCCCAAACAGTAGCACGGACCAGATGTTTGAACTGTGCCCTCAGTAGCCACCTCAGATCATTTAAAGGAGAAGTATGGCCTTACGTCTGCTATTGGTCATATGAGTTCACCTGTATTCCTGTGATCCAGAGTCAGCCAACAGTGGGATGAAATCTGTTTTCGGTTGATGTCACGGAGCCAGTTCGGGCTCTGAAGGGATTTTGACAATAATGTCAGAATCTGCCCAGATGCCTGACCCAAGTGTTTGCTGACAGACAGGTAATGTGCACAGGTAATGTGCTGGGAGCCTGGAATGCATAGGGGGTTTTGTGGGAAAAGTACAGGAAAGATTAACTAACCAATTCAGGCAGGATGGGCCAGGTGTTAGAACTGTGCCCCCTACAACCGCTCCAGCTCCTTCAAATTATGCACATACACAGTGTGTTCTCTACTTCTAACATCAGCTAAGAAGTGAGCACACTGTATATGTGTGAATAAGCCAGAGCAGCTAGTGCAGATGCACTTTCAGCGTATGGCCCAAGCAATGTCTGGCCGGGCACCAAGTAGTTTTTGCTGACAGGCCGCGTTGGGATCATAGAATACATGGGTGGAGGTTTGGCAAAATGCAGGAACCCTTTAAGCACACTTATCTATTAATAGAAAATTTTAAATAAATACATAAATGTAACTCCTCTGGTTGTAAGAACGGTTTTAGCAGTATTCATTCAGCATGTTCAATAGTGTACTAGTGACATTTAGCTGTCACATTCAATGGATATACAATGGCTGTATTATAGACCCTGTCCTTTAGGGAACACTTAGTAGGTATTGAAAATATTCACTTAGCACCCCTATTTAGTATCTGTGTGATGGTATTTTTAATGTTTTATTCACCCGCGCTCTGCTTTTTATAATATCGAGATGTTATGATTAAAAATGGCGATTATTATGCAGTACATAACAATAGTAAATATTTAAGTATCTCAAAAGTGACATGGCAAGCAACGTTGGTACTAATATGAATGCAAATTCCATTTCTGTTCCTGCACAGCTGGAAGTGTTGACAAATCTAGCAAATGAAACCAACATTTCCATCATACTACGAGAGTTTCAAGTAAGTACAGAATTAATAGACAAAACTGGTTATTTCTGCTATATGTATGCATGGGTCTGATATCAAAAATCAACTACAGCATACAGCTTTCTGACTGCACCCGGTGTAAAGGAGTACAAACCGCAAAGGTGATGGGGAAAATGCTATAATCCATAGCAACCAGTCTGCTTACCAATCACTTTGCTCCATTCAGATTTGTGTAGGATCCTTTCTAATTGTTTTGGAAGGTTACTGCACATTAAACACTGTTCTTAGCCTGACTAATTAACAAATATTGTCATCTCTGTTTGACCAAAAAATGCAACGTTACTAAATAATAAACAAAACATACTATGGTCTCATGTACACTGCTGCTCTTAAACAAGAGTTTAATAGCTTTTGGCGTATTTTTGCCAAAGCCCCTGAGCTCGACTCAATAAAAACCTAGGTATACATGCACACCTAGGCTTTTATTAGAGTTTAGCAGCAGCAAGTTTTGGGGCAGTTAAATGTCCCTCTCCTGAACAGAAGAATCACATTCAGGAGAGGAAAGTTTTGGCCAAAAAACGCAAAACGCGTTTAGCACTTGGGCATTTATTCAATTAATTGTCAAGTACTCTGGACAATGAATGAATAAATGCCCAAGCGTTAAACGCGTTACCACATGTATATGCGTTTTTCCCCGTTTAGTGTTTTTCAGCTGTCAGGAGAGCGTGGTACCCAAGGGAGCTTAGTGTGCATGTAGCCTTAAGCTATCTGAACACATTTTAGTTTTTCTTGGCAAATATCTTAAAAAAACAATGTGTTTAGCCTATGTGTATAGTCAGAGCTCTGTGATATGAAAAAAGTGATATGATCCAGTAGGGTTCACATAACCATATACTGTTGTATGCGACCAAATGAAACCTACCCTACACAGATTCCATACCTAGTTCTGTAGCTACCCTGGTCTTTCTTAAAATGTTTGATTTCCAAAATCCAGACATACCACAACATCCGTCTGTGTATGTGGCCATTGTGTAACATTCTCCTATTTCTTCTGTACAATCTGGAGGATCAACAGATGTGCTAAATGTGGGACTCATGGGTCTGGACACTTTTTATGTAATTTGAATGATCAGCATTTATATTTCATCTCTATGTAATAGGTGTAGTACAGATAGTGAATTCAGTATTAAACGATTAGATGAGCTGAACTTGTTCATCAGCCTAAAAGTCCTCTACTAGCTCATCAATGTTCCTGTAAGGTGGACCGTAACACCCAAGGTAGGAAAATCTACTGTTTTTAATAAGGCTGCAAATTATCCCCAGTTAAAAAATATATAAATATTGAACAACGAGAGAGAAATGATTAGGTAATACTATCAGGGCATAGTAAGAATTGACAATTGGGGGGATTTACTAAAACTGGTGCACTCAGAATCTGCTGCTAATCAGCTTCTAACTTCAGCTTGTTCAATTAAAGCGATTCTAAAGGTTTTTTTTTTATAAAATAACAAACATGTCTATACTTACCTACTGTGTGTATTGCCTTTTCACAGAGCAGCCTGGATCTTCCTTTCCCCCGCAGGCTCTCCTGGCTCTTGCTGTCTGTCGGGTGCCCCCACAGCAAGCAGCTTGCTATGGGGGCACCCACTGCTCCGTGTGTCCAGTCACACACGGAGCCGTGGCTTGCCTCCCCCCTCCCCTCTCTTCATTGGCTGACTGGCTGTGATTGACAGCAGTGGGAGCCAATAGCTCCCGCTTGCTGTCTCAGCCAATGAGGAGGCAGAGACCCGGGGCAGACGAGGCTGTCATTCATATCGCTGGATCGTGGTGAGGGTCAGGTAAGTACTGAGGGGGCTGAGGGCACTGCTGCACACAGAAGGTTTTTTACCTTCAGGCATAGAATGCTTGAAGGTAAAAAACCTTCAGCCTTTACAACCACTTTAAGCTTTGACAAAACCTGGAAGCTGATTGGTTTCTATGCAGAACTGCACCAGATTATTTTGCACTCTTTAGTTTTAGTAAACTGGAGGGACATCTGGTGGATCTCAGCACCCCAGACCCACCATTTTAACTGGATCCTTTTTTTTTTTTCCCTCCTCCTCCTCGCCCTCCCTTTTTTTTTCTGTCTTGTCTCCGATAGTCCATCGGCATGAGAGGCCACCTTGTTTTATGTTGAAAACCCCTTTGTAACATACACCTTAGACACCTAGGTCGATTGTTGGGGAGGCCTCTCTCCCCATTCTGTTGACTGTTATGTCCTGATGCACATGTTGAGATATTACTCAATATGTTTGATATATTATTACTCCACTATGTACCTTATTTTTCTTTATGTATGCCAAGAAGATTGGCTTATTGTTTTTTTTGTTTTTTTTTTTAATCCCAATTTCTTGTATGTTTAAAAAACTTAAAATAAAGAATAAAAAAAAATTAATGAGGTGTTTATCTCAAAAGTAGTCAATTCACAAAAAAATGCATTATTTACCAAATGCATTAAATATTTGTTTTGCGATATTTGTCACTTAAATTTAGCGTTATTTTTAGCTTTTTTTTTAACATGCTAACACTGCACCAGAGGAAGATAGTTCTGTAAATAAATGCACACAGAAATGAAATGAAACTATGAAAACATTCTAGTGTGCTTTTATTCACAGAACTGTCTTCCTTTGGTGAAATGTTACAATTTATTTTCATTCCTGAGCTCAGGGCAGAACATTTCCACACTAATACAGTTGTGTTCAAAAGTTTGCATACCCTGGCAGAAATCATGAAATGTTGGCATTGATATTGAAAATATGACTGATCATGCCAAAAAACTGTCTTTTGTTTAAGGATAGTGGTAATATGAAGTCATTTATTATCACATAGTACGTGAACAACACAAAGTAAAATAAAGTATTATTTCTGCCCTCCGCTACATTGACCTTGGCCTGGTATCAAGAGATCCCCAAATTTTCCACTTCCTAATAAGTGATTGCACAGTACTGATTGGCATATTCAAGGCTTTGGATATTTTTTCATATCCTTTTCCATCTTTAGAAAGTTCCATTATCTTGTTACGCAAGTCTTTTGACAGTTCTTTTCTGCTCCTCATGGCTCAGTATCTAGCCTGCTCTGCATCCACGTGAGAGCTAACAAACTCTTTGACTATTTATACACTGACCTAATTGCAATTGAAAAAGCCACAGATGTGGGACATTAACCTCTAATTGGCATTTTAACCTGTGTGTAACCTTGTGTGTCTGTACCAAGGCCAAACATTCCAGGGTATGTAAACTTTTGATCAGGGCCCTTTGGGTGATTTCTGTTATAATTATGATTTAAAAAGGAGCAGAACAACTATGTGATAATAAATGGCCTTAAATATTAGACAGCTTTTCGGAAGGATCAGTCATATTTTCAATATCAATGCCAAAATCTCACGATTTCTGTCAAGGTATGCAAACTTTTCAGCACAACTGAACATTGTATACTTTTAACTTACTGGCCAGTGCAGAGTTCCTCTCATTTTTATTTCGTACATTGCTAAAATACCAACTGCCTACTGGCAGGTGATAATAACGAATGTGTGTGTTCTTTAGTGAATTAACTTTAATGATTTATCTTTTTTTTTTTTTTTTCTTTTTAGGTATTTACCTCACATTTTTAACAAATGTGTGGTATCTACCTCACATTAATTATTTTACTTTGATGAATTGACTCTTATTATCTCATGCAATATTTCTGAAAAATGGGTCTTGTGACCTTTATATCTGCATGCAAAATCCTTTATTGAATTGACCCCAAAGAGAGGAATGTTTATGAAAAGCAAGTTTTGGCGATCCTTTCGGCAGTTCTCTCTACAAACACTACTGTCTGCCATATATTGTTCTAGCCACTTCAAAACTTCTCTAGAATAAGGGGGAGGTATGTAATTATTTGCAAGTATACATAAGACATTGTCGGTTTTGCTTGTTCCCAGCTACCAAAAAGTAAAGTTTGTGAGGAAATGTATTAAGTGAAATTAGGTCTCATATTTTGTCGATTGTGTCAATGTTTAGATGGGTTTCTTGTAGACAAATCACAGACAGAGAGAATTGTTGTTGATAAACATTGCCTAACTTTGTTGGGGTTGTTAATGGCTCTGATATTTCAACATTTCACAATACGTTTCTGCTGTGGTTGGCCACCATACAAGAAGAAAAATGTCACTCTTAAGAATACCTCCCACATTGGAGGTATCAGTCACATCTTGTGGAAAGCAAGGCATTCTATGGTATAAGACCCAAGGATACAGGATTGAAGTAGAGGTCTGTTATCACAGATAAGTTTCTTCCAAGTGCGGTTTTAGTGTGAGCTGTCAAGGTAGAACACGGAGCCAAAAGCCAAACTGAACAAGTAACAAGATCGGTGCAAGTGTGCAACGAAGCATGGCTCTAAAGTGACAAAGTGAACAAACAAGGTATGTAATTTCCATGAAGGAACATTTGTTGGGAGAATTATAGAGGCCTGTGGGACACCCTGTCTGTATAGCAGGTTGAACTTGTGCTGAAGGTCATTTTAGAGGTTCCCTAACATAAACATGTACACATCGCCGTAGCAGATAACGAGTTGCAGTTCTGTAACTAGCTCTGATACTCATATATGTTGATTTTTTTCACCCTTTTAAACTTGCAGACATACATCCGATCCGCAGTATGGACAAAGATTTTGTGGCTGCAACGATACAGGCTATTGGTCGATGTGCCACTAATATTGGTAAAGTTCGAGACACTTGCCTCAATGGACTTGTTCAACTTTTGTCAAACCGAGATGGTAAGATATAAGGGAAATTACACTGATTACCTTTAAGAAGTATGTTTTTGTTCCAAATGATAAGTTGTTATTGTTCAGTAAAAGTTCTTAAGCCGGCCCTTTAGATGGATCAAATCTCGCCCAGTTCAGCAGAGATGTGCCAAGATTCGATCTATTTATGGGCAGGCTGATTTTACCCAAGTCGATCCATCGATCGACTTGAGTACAACCAGCATGTTGGATTTTTAGCATGCAATTATTGCCAGCAGCTATAGCACAACACAATAGCTCTATGGGAGGGATTCCCCCTTCATCACTGTGTTGATGGGGAAATCAAGCGATTTTCTTTCCTGCAACCCATAGTTGCAGGAAAGAGTACCACAAAATCTATGGCCTGCCTTATTCTTAAGTGCAGCAATCCAAGGCAACCAATTATAGTCCATCTTGTCCGGTCTGGTCTGACTGTAGCTGGGTGAATTCTGATCAGTTGCTATAGATTTAGGTAGGAGCTGGAAGTAGGCAGTACAGCTTGCAGCAGAGGACCAAGCACTTGACAATCTGAGAAGTACTGGATTCTGTAGGATCTTCTTTCATGTACAGCATTTGAGCCATAGCACAAACATGGAGATTTAGATCTCTGCTGGAAGAAAACTTTACTCGCTGGACCTTAAATATTAATTCAATACCTCTGCTGTAGTATATGGCTGGCCTCAATATTACACTATTGAGCTAGAGGTTTGGAACATTTAAAGGAAAAGCCATAGAGTAGTACACATCTCTTGCAGATGGTATAAAGAAAAAAAAAACCTACATTTGTGTTTGTGACCAACCTTTGCAAAGCCTTGAATAATAATTATGATGATATAATGTGCCCACATGCACAATGTAGGCTGAAACTACCCTGGCTAAGCAGTACACATTAGTTTAAAAAGCTTAAAGTGTTACTAAACACACAACAGTAAAATCAGTCTGTTAGGCAGGGATGCCCGCTGTCTCCTTTACTGTTTGCTCTGGTACTGGAGCCACTGGTGGCGGCTATTTGGAGTGATTCTCAGATAGTGTGATTCCGGAAAGGTGATACGGAGGAGAAATTGGCATTGTATGCAGATGATGCATTATTATTTGTGGGAGATAAATCTACATCCATAGAAGGTTTGATGTCTTCTATTAATAGTTTTGGGTCCTACTCGGGTTGACTATAATTGGAACAAGTCTGTTCTCCTGCCGGATGACTCTCTCAGAGACCTCTTGTCACCAATTGCTTCTCAGGTAAACGTGGTAGAAACATTTGTATATCTAGAAATAGTTATACATCAGGATATCTCTAGGTATGCATATGTAAATATTAACCCACTGTTAATTACATTTAAACAGAAAGCTATAAGCTGGTACAAACTACCGCTTTCAATAGTAGGGAGGATAAACCTAATTAAAATGATATGGATGCCGCAATTATTATATGCTTTACATAATGCTCCAGTGTGGCTCCCTAAGTTTTATAACGGCTGGACACTATACTCCGTATGCTTATCTGACAAAAGTGTAGCTCACGTATACAATTAGAAACATTGCAAAAGGCTAAGGAGATTGGTGGCCTGGCCGTTCCAAATCCATTCCTATACTTTCTGTCAGCGCAGCTCCAACATTTAACGGTTGGGAGGAAGATGTGAGTATTGACCCAGTTAGGAAAATACTGTCTACGTTATTCTTAGGTGAAAAATTAGAACATTGTTTAGAGGCGGGTGAATTTAGATTAGTTAGGCAATTCCCTACTCTAGTCATGATATATAAGATTTGGAATAGGATTAGGACCATTGTCAGTTCAAGGGCTATACTGATTGCAATTTTTACTTTCAGAAATTTTATGGAGCTATTAAAACTGCAGGGATTTAATCAGTGGTCTGAAAGAGGCCTGTATATCCAACAGCTATATCAGGGTCAACATCTGAAAGATTTTCAGACTTTGCAGGAGAATTTTGGTCTGCCTACCAAAAGTTTTTTTCAATATTTGCAACTTAGGCATGCTATCCAAAACCAGTTTAGACAGATGCCTTGGGTCTATGTAACACCTACAATTATTAACCAAAGTCTAGCAGCGACATCTAAGAGGGGACAGATAACAAGGCTTTATAATGCACTGTTACAAAGTAGGTCAAAATCAAATTCTCTGAGGTGTAGATCATATTGGCAAATGGATGTCGGCCCCCTGAATGATGAGAAGTGGTCTGATATTCTTTATAATGTGGAACAGGTATCCCTTTCTGCGTCTCAGAGACTTAACCAATTATTCATTATGCATCGGACATATTATACCCCCCAGAAACTTTTTAAGTGGCATAAGAGGGACACTCCTCTATGTCCATGATGTGAGAGGGATATTGGGACGCTGGTACATAAGATGTGGAGATGTCCTAAGTTGGTTAGATACTGGGCTTGTGTATTGGACATTATTAATGAGGTGTTCAGAGATAACATTACGATGGAACCCAAGATATGTGTATGGGGGTGGCTGGATACAGAAGTATATACACCCCAGACTTTGATGGCGATCCTTCGTCTGCTATTTATGGCAAGACAATTGATAGCGCAGAAATGGATCTCCACAGCTGGTTTATCAACATGGGTTGCCCAGATAAATTTACAAAACTGTTGTAACTGGCTTGACATACCTGAATTAAATCCTGTACAATTAGTTAGGGACAGGTTGTTAGGGCCAAGCACATAAGGGTTTTTTTTTTTTTGTTTGTTTGTTTTTTTTATTAATAATAATAATAATAATAATAATAATAATAATAATACTGAGGGCAGTGCATTAGTAGTTGAGGGATTAAAGCAAGTGGAAATTAGTGGATGGAAAACACGGGGTGGTCACAGATGTAAATAGGAGTTGAAGGATATAGTGCACTTGGAAAGTTGAATAATTAATAAGTAAATGGAAATTTTTGTTGTGCTTTCTTTGTATGTATGAATTGCATGGGTTGTTACCGACATGTGGTGAAATTGTCATGTCAATAGCACCTTTAGAAATATATTTACAAAGAAAAATGGTGACGTGTTCAATTCTTACTTTACCCGATGTAAGAGCACATTCAGCTTCTCTTGCTCACTTCTGAGATGGACTATGGGATTTTTTAGTGTCAATAGAGCAGTATGCATGAATGCAACTAATGTACACTGCTCGCTCCAGACTAAAGGAAGTGAAGGGAAAAAGGAGAGGTTCTGAAGCTCACAGAGGATGTTACCAGGAGGCAGAGAACTGTATTAAACTATATATTGAAAAAAAATAGATTACAGGGCCATTAGTAGTAGATGTGTACGGATTAATTTTTGAAATAGTGATATTATTAAGTCTCACATTAGGTGTTTTAAATCATGAATTTCCAGCACAAATGTATAAGAGTAAAATTTTCCTGGTACATTTTCTTCCTGGAAAGATTGACTAAGCTTGTAACCTTTAAGTATCATTGTAATGTTTATATCACTTTACTTATATCTTACTCAATTCATTACTAAAACTTTTTTATAATCTGTAAATGCCAACTCCCAGATCATAGATGGAGGTCCCAGAGAGAATATTTTACTGCCTGTAGTCAAAGCACCATAGGGTGTAGAGTACATGTTACTGATAATAACCCTGATAAGATATTAAAAGGAGAAAAGGTCTGTGTAAAAATTACTTTAGCCAATCAACCATCTGGTTTAGTTTTTACATTTTTTGCTGTTTGGTCTTGTTTTATTTCCATTGCAGAGCTGGTGGTAGCAGAATCAGTCGTGGTTATCAAGAAACTGCTACAGATGCAGCCTGCACAGCATAGTGAGATTATCAAACACATGGCCAAGCTTACAGATAATATTCAGGTATGTAAGATCCACAGAGTAGACATGGAAAGTCAGCTTATTATTTCTTCCAACTCTGTCAGGAATGTGTGTGCAGTCTTCACTTGTAATCTGTTACTATGGTCCCTGTTTTAAAACACTCAGAATTGGAAAAATACGCGTGCATTAATTCTATTACTTCTCACTAATTCTATGTAATGCTATGTGGATTTACTGATTTTTAGGGCTGGTTCATACCAGATGCAGTCCAGTGTTTTTTTTTTTTTCTGCATCAAAAATTCAGTGTTTTCCATGTATTACAATGGCCCTAGTTCACTCCAGTGCAGTCAATTCCAGTGCGTTCCTTTAAAATGCAGTGGAATGGAGTGTTTTGTGAACTGTAAGCAAAAATTAATCCAGAATGTATCTGGAGTGTGTTTCTGTGGTATGAGCAGTTAAACAGCGAACAGATAGTGGATTTAAAAATGTAAAAATGACTTTGGAAATCCATTAAAATGTTAATGTTTATATGAAATGGTAACGACTGGATTTACAAATAAATTAAGCTCTACAGGTTCCTCTTCCACACATTAAGGCCTCATACACACTTCAGGTCAAACAGCTGCTCCTACAGGAGTTTGAGCTGTTTTGAGCTTTTATTTTTCTCTGCCTGTTACCCCCCCCTCCATGTAAGGCTATGTGTGCATGCACAGTATAGGCATTTTCAGGAGTTTAGTGGCAGCTCAATTGTGCGTTCAGGAGAGGAGCTTATGAGCATAAAAACTCTCAAAAGTGAAAAAAGCTCTTTAGCGCTAGGTACCTGTGTGCAGTCTAATGGCCAAAATTCTGGTAAGCTGAATACATTAATGGGGCTCTGAGGAAGAGCATTACCCTCAAATTGCATCAGCCCAATTTGGCCCATAGATGGCACTTCATTGACATCAGGGTCTTTGGCTCTGGATTAATGCATCTTGTGACTTTCTATCTATATGTGATCTGTCACCACTTGTTTGTGAGTATAATATTTTATCTACGTTTTAATAAACAGTTATCTGGGATAATGCGCTAGGCCAGTGCGCTCTTGTTTCATTCCTTCTGCTGATTACATTAATGCCGGACGCGGGAACTCGCATGAATGTGCATGCAAAAATTTTAGCGGATTTTTACTGTGTTTTTGATGCTGAAAACTCCTGTAGGGGAAAAACATTTTTGAGCTTCACAGTGTGCATGAGGCCTTAGGCCCCCATACTGTGTCCCTCAACCACAATGTACCCAACTATTTTACTCGTTTTAGCTAAGAAAAATTTGCTTTCTACTCTAACATATTGTCAGTGTGCATGTGGTGACAACACCCATAACAACAAGTCAAGTGGCTGCTGTTTTGGGGTACTTACTCTTTGATGGTGAATTTTATAGCGATCTTTCCTGTAGTTACTTGTACAAGTCTTAATTTATGCCCCCCCTGATCACTTGTTCTCCACTGGGTTATCCTCTGATTTTGTTTGTTTTTAGGTGGCTATGGCACGAGCCAGTATCCTGTGGCTCATTGGGGAGTACTGTGAACATGTCCCTAAAATTGCTCCTGATGTGCTAAGGAAGATGGCAAAAACTTTCACTAATGAGGAAGATATTGTGAAACTCCAGATTATCAACTTGGCTGCAAAGCTGTATCTGACAAACTCCAAGCAGGTACATTGCTGATGATTATTATCAATAGTTTTAAAGTTAACAGGGAATTTCTATTACATTAGAACAATGGGGGGTCTATTTATAAAACTTTTGTATGTTTTGTAATAGATTCATTTCTGTATCAGTTCCATCTAGTGGCAAAAAGGCAATATAGTTTTCTGAAAGGAGAATTGAGAAAGGGGCATACCAGCACGGAAATGCGTTGCCTGCCCGCCCACTGACACCCCCCCCATGTCACACCCCCCACCCCACCCCTTTTTCACAGAGGAATGTGTTGGCTGTGTCTGTAATAGCCCTGCCTCTCCTGTGCAGCGGTTCTGGCTTGTACTCTCTGCTCCTGCCAGCTGCCTGTCATCCTCTGGTCCCAGCTGTTTATATACTATTGGGCAGTGTGTGGATCCTGGCTCATTCCTTTCCACCCCACTGGCGTTGTGGTTCAGTCCTATGGGCTGGCGTGATGGTGTGATGCTTTGCTATCAGACTGGATGCCTCTTATTTCACGTGTAAGTGGATGCAGTCCTATTTGTATTAAAGTTATATTTTATACTGACATATCCCTGTGCTCTGCTGTTTTTTTTTCCCTGTCCTGGCTGGATTCCCAAGATGGTTGTGCAGATGCCATGTCCAGTGTATGGTTGATGCCAATTTTAAGCGCCACTACAGCTCCTCTCTGTGCATCCTCACCCCCCCCCCCCCCTCCCTTTCCCCTGAGACAAGGATTCCATGACTCTGGACTATTTATCTATTTATGGTTTATCTCCAGTTTATACGGATCTCCCTTCTCACGCCATAAGTACACAGGCTAGCACTTCAGTTTTATTTTTTTTTTCTTTCATAGTTTCCCGAAATACCTGAATGAGAAAATATACTGCATTTTGGCCACTAGATACAGGAACTAATCTATTCGAAAAAATAAGGGAACATTTAGTTCAGCTTGCCCCAATGCTTCTGACATTCAGCCAAGGAATGTTTTATGAATAGACCCCTTAATGTGTTATTTATAAGCCCTTATTATCATATCAATATATTTTAACCTGTTTTACTACAATACAACTTTATAAGTCCAAATGTAAAATGTCCTTTGCTGTATGAACATTATTAACCTTGCGGCAGAGAACAGGGAATGTGTAACTGTGTGTGTTCCTAGTTCTCAGACCCCTTGTCAATCAGAAAAAACTAATTCATGCAGTTATTGTCAAGTTAACTGACAAATACCAACACTGTTAAGCTTTGTCCAGGCAACCAAGCTTCAAAAAACTCTGGTCATTAAAAAGGTTAAGGATTAGCATACTAGAGCAATGGTAAAATAAAAGATCAGAAAGGATGGATACTTATATACAGTGGGGCAAAAAAGTATTTAGTCAGCCACCAATTGTGCAAGTTCTCCCACTTAAAAAGATGAGAGAGGCCTGTAATTGGCATCATAGGTAGACCTCAACTATGAGAGACAAAATGAGAAAAAAAATCCAGACAATCACATTGGCTGATTTGGAAAGAATTTATTTGCAAATTATGGTGGAAATAAGCATTTGGTCAATATCAAAAGTTCATCTCAATCCTTTGTTATATATCCTTTGTTGGCAATGACAGAGGTCAAACGTTTCCTGTAAGTCTTCACAAGGTTGGCACACACTGTTGCTGGTATGTTGGCCCATTCCTCCATGCAGATCTCCTCTAGACCAGTGATGTTTTGGGGCTGTTGTTGGGCAACACGGACTTTCAACTCCCTCCAAAGGTTTTCTATGGGGTTGAGATCTGGAGACTGGCTAGGCCACTCCAGGACCTTGAAATGCTTCTTACGAAGCCACTCCTTTGTTGCCCGGGCGGTATGTTTGGGATAATTGTCATGTTGGAAGACCCAGCCACGTTTCATCTTCAATGCCCTTGCTAATGGAAGGAGGTTTGCACTCAAAATCTCACGATACATGGCCCCATTCATTCTGTCCTGTACATGGATCAGTCGTCCTGGTCCCTTTGCGGAGAAACAGCCCCAAAGCATGATGTTGCCACCCCCATGCTTTACAGTAGGTATGGTGTTCTTTCGATGCAACTCAGCATTCTCTCTCCTCCAAACACGACGAGTTGTGTTTCTGCCAAACAGTTCTATTTTGGTTTCATCTAACCATATGACATTCTCCCAATCCTCTTCTGGATCATCCAAATGCTCTCTAGCAAACTTCAGACGGGCCCGACATGTACTGGCTTAAGCAGGGGGACACGTCTGGCACTGCAGGATCTGTGTCCCTGGTGGTGTAGTGTGTTACTGATGGTAGCCTTTGTTACGTTGGTCCCAGCTCTCTGCAGGTCATTCACTAGTTCCCCCCCGTGTGGTCCTGGGATTTTTGCTCACCGTTCTTGTGATCATTTTGACCCCACGGGGTGAGATCTTGCGTGGAGCCCCAGATCGATGGAGATTATCTGTGGTCTTGTATGTCTTCCATTTTCTAATTATTGCTCCTACAGTTGATTTTTTCACACCAAGCTGCTTGCCTATTGCAGATTCAGTCTTCCCAGCCTGGTGCAGGTCTACAATTTTGTTTCTGGTGTCCTCCGACAGCTCTGTGGTCTTCACCATAGTGGAGTTTGGAATGTGACTGTTTGAGGTTGTGGACAGGTGTCTTTTATACTGATAACAAGTTCAAACAGGTGCCATTGATACAGGTAATGAGTGCAGGACAGATGAGCCTCTTAAAGAAGAAGATACAGGTCTGTGAGAGCCAGAAATCTTGCTTGTTTGTAGGTGACCAAATACTTATTTTCCACCATAATTTGCAAATAAATTCTTTCCAAATCAGCCAATGTGATTGTCTGTTTTTTTCTTTCTCATTTTGTCTCACATAGTTGAGGTCTACCTATGATGCCAATTACAGGCCTCTCTCATCTTTTTAAGTGGGAGAACTTGCACAGTTGGTGGCTGACTAAATACTTTTTTGCCCCACTGTAGATGCCATTAAGGTTCATGGAGAAATGTTGCAACAGTGCACAAAGTTGAATTTCCAAGATAAAAGGCAGTACTTTCAGTAGTTATATGATCAGTAATCCTCTTTAAAAAAATTAAATTTTATAATGTGGATGATAAAATTATTCTATAATACAGGGTCTATTTTTTACCAGTAAACGCAGACACCATACAATAGGTCATATTACCTGATGTAGGTCTACAAGGCATTCTGGCCAGAGACTGTTCGGCCCCCTAGGTGTCTTTTGCAGACAGAATTGCTCCCCCTCTTACAGCTTGTCTCTCTCCTCTCTGCAATCACAGTTTCCCCTCCAGATGTTCTTGTACTTTTTTCACATCTGGCCTAAGTTGTTTTAGTAACAATTGTTCTGTATATCCCTGTGAGGCTATTTTTGTGCTAATAATAGAAGAAATGTTTTGGTGTCAAGGCCAGAGTGAATGGCACTGTCGTTGGTGTGGAGTTGAGTTAAAAAGTGTAGTGATGCAAGAGATGCTGCAAAAGGGGGAATAGGAAAATGTCTGCTGTACATACAGTACATATAGTGATCCCTTCCTTAATTTATGTGACATTACACTCTTTCTTTAAAATCAGCATTCTCATGGCTGCATTCTTATAACAGTTGTGTGTATATTGGAATTAGGTACTGGAAATAAAGGCCTGCTCTGCAGACGATTAGTGTGCAGATAGCAGTGATTGGTTTCCTTTTCATTTGCGCTGAGTAAAAACTGTTTTGTATTGCTCCACAGTAACCAATCAGTTTTACATCTGCTCTGTCCTTACAGATTAAGGACATTTGACTCTTTATGTTGGCTATGCGGCACCTAAAAAAAATGAATATCATATGTTCTTCTCCACCCAAAAGGGGAAGTTCCGTCTTAAGCCTTTTTATCCCGCTCCCCTTTAAGGATTGGCACCTTTGGGGAGCGCGGGGGGAGTGGGTACCCAAATTTGACAGGTACCCACTATCACTTCTGCTGCGATCGGAAGCGGACGTTGTCCTCCCCCCTCCCTCTTCGTGGTTTTCTGGGACATATGACAGGTCCCAGAAGACTATGGGACCATTCACAAAGCGCAGTGCTACTCGTGCATGCACAGTGGGCACCCAGCTGTGAAGCCCCAAGCTGTCACAGCCGGATGCCCACACTGAAGATGCCGACATCGGGGAAAGAAGATAGCCGTGAAACCAGCCGTGGTGAGGACACCGCTGGATCGAGGGACAGGTAAGTGTCTGTATTTTAAAAGTCAGCAGCTACAATTTTTGTAGCTGCTGACCTTCATTTTTTTTATTCAACTGGAACGCTGCTTTAAGCTGAGTTCAGTTTAATCAGATACTGTACAAGCCGGTATTGGCTTGTAAACAAACAAACCGAACCGAAAGTGACTAAATACTCATCGCTTCTAATTTCTTACAGCACAGAAGAGGGGTGGGAAGTTACTTCCACTCTTCCTAGGGAATGCGACCGAACCAGTCATATTGTTACCGGGCTCCATGATCAAGAAAGCCCAATAAAGGCGGCGGGTCCAGGAGGTTGGATAGGGGTGGTTACCCCCTTCTGCTGCTTGTAAAAGTGATCGAATGGCTGTATAGCCTCATGGATCACTTTCACTTTAAATGGAAATAACAGAAATAAAAAATACCAGGATGATGGTTGTAGCTGTAACCATAGTCTTGGTATAACCACTTTAGCCTGAGGACCAGCATACAACAACAGTATCTAAGTTCTCACTGTTGTAGAAGACAGCTTGTGTAATTGCTACCAAGGTATTTGTTTGAGACGTCTACTCAAACATTCAAAAGTAACCTGTTCTTGTTTCTTAGACAAACAAACAAACAAACAAAAACAGATCCTTTCCTGTAAGTCTGAGAAAATAATCATAAAACACAGTGCATATATTTTATTTTTTTTTCTCTTTTATTGATAATTTCCTTTTTTCTTTCCTGTTTATCAGAACTGTAATGCAATTCCCCCTCTGTCTTTAGACAAAGCTCCTCACTCAGTATGTTCTGAACCTTGCCAAGTATGACCAAAATTACGACATCAGAGATCGAACAAGATTCATTCGACAGCTGATTGTCCCTACGGATAAAGGTGGAGCGCTTAGTAAACATGCTAAAAAACTGTTCTTGGCACAAAAGCCTGCACCTATACTAGAGTCTCCGTTTAAAGGTAATTCTGTTGTTTATATTCCAAACTACTATAAAAGCACTTTACACTCCCAGTTTAGGGCAAAGCAATAGGTCAGCTTCACGTTAAACTTCAGGCAAATAGAAAAGATAGAAATAATGCAGCTCTCTATTCAGGTCAGCTTTACGCTGACATTCAGGCAAATAGAAATTATACAAATAATGCAGCTCTCTACTCATTAATACAGCATTAAATGTATTTTGAAATGCAGGTGGTGTAAGTACCTGAATTGCCCTTGCATCAGCCTCTTGTGAGCCCTGGTACAGATGAGCTCAGACTGGAAGACAGAGAAGCAGCACAAGTAGTCAATCATCTGTGCTGTAGTGCTCCTGGATTAACAAGGAACATGCTGATAGTAGAGAGCAGAATGACAGAGAGGTAGGCTCATCAGTCTGCTACTACTCCTTTCACTGTCCAGTCATAGTCTTTAAGCATTGCTGCAGCAGAAAAAATCAGATCCCCTAGTCTGCCAGGCATGGCTGTACTGTGTGGCAGAGCTGTACAAAACTCAGATCTGAGTGTACAGAAACAAAGTCAGTGTAGTAAAGCCTGATTGGCTATCATTGTTGCCAATTCCTCTTCCAGTCTGAATGCAGATGTATAGGAGTATACATGAGGCCAGTGCAAAGCATTTTTAAAGGATATACAAAGCCAAAATCTTTGTAGATTTGAAAAGAGTAGGGAAGGTGTACAACCACTTGCAGGTTTTTTTGCTGTTTGTGTCGCGTTTGAAAGATATCCTGTCACTTCCTGTGCTAAAGATACAAGTTGGAGTGAGAGAAAATCTTTGCAAAGGGAGGGAGTGTCTTATGTCCTCTCTTTTACAGATGTCACCAAAGCAGCTGTTAGAAATCACGGGCCCCTTACAGCCTACCTGACAACCCCCCCTCCCCCCCCCCCAATAAAATATTGAAACAATCTTTTCGCTAGAAATACACTAAAATCATTATTAGAGGACACAAACACAACATAACTTACAAAAGTCCTGCTAAATCTACAAGGTAAACTGCGTTGAATTGAGCTCTGTGTGTGAATGAGGTCTTAGGACTCATTCACATGGGGCTGTAACCTGAACAGTGTAAATCAGTGTTATGGAAGATTTCTGGCAGAAACACTGAAAATAAAAGTTTAACACTGCAATTGCAGGAACAGATTCACAGAGCACAATCACTGTGGTTTCTATTTTATACAGTGGGGGTGGTATGAGATGTTATTAAAAATTAGCAAATAGAATGATGTCACATTTCATATGTCATAGAGACTATGCCTAACAGTTGCAAAACTAAAACCTCAAGACGGGAGGGGGAGAGAGAATACCTAGTTCTGTTGTGTCTCTGTCTTAAGTGAAGGGCACAGGACACATTTCAACATTGCAAGCAAGAGTCTCTTGTGTTTAAATGAAAAATACAGTGAAAGTCCATGCCAGTGGTCCGGACACTTTCACCCCCTTCCTGTCCAGGCCAATTTTCACCTTTCAGCGCTATCACACTTTGAATGACAATTGCGCGGACATGCAACACTGTACCCATATGACTTTTTTAGCATTTTTTTGAGACAGATAAAACTTTATTTTGGTGGTATTTATTCACCACTGGAATTTTTATTTTTTTGCTATATCAATGAAAAAGTCCAAACATTTTGAAAAAAAAGTGTTTTTTTATTATAAAATTTTGCAAATAAATGTTTCTTCTTAAATCTTGACCAAAATGTGTCCAGCTGTCTTTTTTACACTGATTGCTTTTACACCCATAAAGGCTGTAAAAGCAATCATTTCTCCTTCTCTCTGGCTACATTCTTGCAGCCATTGAGAAATACTGTGTGAGCTGTGATTGGTCACAGCTTGTCACATGGTACAAGGCTGTTGTGAATAGCCTTGTACCATGTGACCTCTGTGATCATTCACAGATTTCACACGTAGTAAGCAATGATGTCAGGAAGTGACTTCTTGTTTACTACTATTCATGTGATCCCTGATTGACCAATCAGGGATCACATGAATCGGGGCTTCACACAGAGGTCCCATACAGCGATCAGTGTTCCGCTCTGTCCGGAGGACACAGCGGGCACCGGATCGCGGTGCCGCATGCTCCCAGGGAGCGCGCACAGGCAGTGAATGCAGGGGCCATTAATAAACAGCAACCCCCTTCTGCACTGCTCCCATCCAGCCGTTTATGTACATGGGCCGGACGGGAAGTGGTTAATGTTGTTGAAGCTGTGTGGAGGCAGGCTTTCTTACGTTATGGGGATGTAGCAAGTGTTCAAACACAGCCGTTGTTGGGGGTGGCTTTGGTGAAATATCAGGAATCTAAACAGACACTTGTTATCTCACTTTTGAGACAAAGAGAGGGATGGAAGATATAGATTCCTCAATCTCTTTCTCTGCTGGAGCAATGTAACTATGTACAGATATATGAAATATCCATACTTGGCATTCATATTTAAAGAGGAACTGAATTCTGAAAGTTGTGCCCAAAAAAGGCAGGCAGAGGTCAAAGGACTAGTCACTAGCCATGCCTGTGGTCACCTTGCGGCTTATCTTTCCCCATTATCATGAAGGTGGCCATCTTGATAGCAGCAGGCTTTGTGCATATCATAGCTTCCAGGACTAAGCATCACAGTAGTGGCATTATCAAATCTCACTCCAGCTCTCGCGAGACTTGCAGTCAGAGGCAGCAGTGCCTTAGATCTCACACTGTAGATATACAGCTATGAGAATATAGGCACGGGAGTTCCTAGGCATATTCACATATCAGGAAATGCACTTCTATTTTTTGGGAGGAATTCTAGACACAAGGTACATTTTTCAGGGTACTTTTTAAGCACAATTACCATTTCAAAATATATTCTATAATATAGCAAATCTTCACTTTTTGAGCTGAGTTCCTTTTTAGGTAATAATGTCTACAAGAGACCTATTACTCAAATGAATTTGATTACATAATAGGAAAAATTCAGCAAATATCGTATTTGTAAAAAAGACACTTATCCGCTGTTTTGTTGCCCACACAGATCGGGATCACTTTCAGTTGGGCTCTCTCTCTCACCTGCTCAATGCCAAAGCTGTTGGCTATCAGGAACTTCCAGACTGGCCGGAGGAGGCTCCCGATCCATCTGTGCGCAACGTGGAGGTGAAGGAAGCTGTGCGTGCTATAACATGAGTATATAGGGATATGGGATTGCCCACCGCTATGCCCAGCTGAACTCCCCTTGCTCTGCAAGACTACATGTCTTCCTTGTCTGCGCTCTCCTTTGTTTACCATTAGGCGCTTACCTTTACCCTTCCCAGCCTACGCTAATGCACAACGGCTTTATTTTCTACTGCTATCATACTTCCTGTTCTGATTATGCTCAGCTTTTCCATCTCTGCAGTTTATAGGGAAGAAATAAGTGCTAGTGAATCATAAAAACATGCCAGCGACCAACATTCTCCCCTTGTCCTCAGGAAGAGGAAGACAGTGGACCCATAGACAGTCACATCGGACTCCTTGGGGAATGGAAAGAGGTTACCTCTTGCGTGTGTGAATATCTAATACGTTTGCAGTTTGCAGTGTTTTCTGTTTTGAGATCACTACCTTTCTTTTTTCTGGGTTCACAAGTACCATAACAAAATACCCAAAATATAACAATCAGTGCCAAAACAAAACATTGAGTGCAAAATACCATGTGAACCCAGACTTGTAAGGCATGCAAGTCAGTCTGGCAGTATAAGTGGTGTGTTAATACTGTGAATCACTTACTACAACTTCTCTAGTACCTGCTGACAACCTCTTTACCTAACTAATGGCTCCTAGTAAATGTGTGTCCTGCTACAGTTACAAAATCCTGAAAGCAGAAAGCTGTTTACTTACCTTCCTTACCCTTTTTGCTTCCTCCATGTAAATGCATTGTTGTCAAATCCACTCTAAAAGTTGCCATACGTTCTGTTTGCTGATTGGAGCGTAATGCTTTTTACCAGCGCTCTACCCTCTAGCGACTACCTAACTAGCTACCTGCAGCAACCAGCTCTATCCTTTTTCTTTAATATATAATGTTTTGTAAATATTTTCTTTACTTACGTATGTTCAAAAGTGATAACAATTACATTGTTAATTTTTTTAGTCAAGTAAATATAAAATATTCCATATGAAATATATATATATATATATATATATATACAGCGGGTAAAATCAGTATTGAACACGTCACTATTTTTTTCTCAGTAAGTATATTTCTAAGGGTGCTATTGAAATGTTCACCACATGTTGGTAACAACCCATGCAAGCCATACATACAAAGAAACCACGACAAATAAGTTCAGAAATTAAGTTATGTGTAATAAAATGGAATTACACAGGGAAAAAGTAATGAACACGCTAACTGAAATTTTTTTTTCATATTTCATGCAAGATCCTTTGTTGGTAATGACAGCTACAAGATGCCTCCTGTATAGAGAAACTAGTCATGTGCATTGCTCAGGTGTGATTTTGGCCCATTCTTCCATACAAATAGTCTTCAGATGTTGAAGGTTCTGTGGGCCTCCTCTATGAACTCAAGATCTTTAGTTCTTTCCTTAGATTTTCTATTGGATTCAAGTCAGGTGATTGGCTGGGCCATTCTAACAGCTTTATTTTCTTTTGTTGAAACCAACTGAGTTTCCTTGGCTTTGTTTTTGGGATCATTGTTTTGCTGAAATGTCCACCCTCATTTCATCTTCATCATCCTGGTAGATGGCAGCAGATTTTTATAAAAAATGTCTTGGTTCATTTTTCCATTCTTCCTTCCTTCAATGACATGAAGTTTGCCAGTACTGTATGCTGAAAAACAGCCCCACACCATGTTGTTCCCACTTTTAAACTTCACTGTTGGTATGGTGTTTTTGGGGTGATGTGCAGTGCCATTTTACCTCCAAACATGTTGTGTATTATGGCATCCAAAGAGTTCAATTTTGGTCTCACCTGACCAGACTATAATCTCCCAGTATTTCAAGAGCTTGTCTAAATGTTGTGCAGCAAACTTTAAACAAGCTTCAACATGCTTTTTCTTTAGCAATGGAGTCTTGTGTGTAGTGCATGCATACAGGCCATGGCAGTTGAGTGTATTGCGTATTGTTATACCTGCTAATTCCAGGTCTTTCTGAATCTCTCCACAAGTGGTCCTTCGCTCTTGGACAACGCTTCTGATAATTCTTTTCACTCCTCTGCAAGGAATCTTGCGAGGAGTACCTATTTGTGGCCGGTTTATGGTGAAATTATGTTCTTCCCACTTCCAGATTATGGCCCCAACAGTGCTCACTGGATCATTCAGTTTAGAATCCTTCTGTAAATAAAGCCATCAGTATGTTTTGCAACAATATGGTTGCAAAGGTCTTGAGAGAGCTCCTTGCTTTTACCCATCATGAGATGTTTCATGTGTGACACCTTTTTATAGGTCATCAGTTGAGACTGAACCAGCTGATATTAATTTGCACTGGCAAGGGGCAGTATTGTTTTCTAATTACTGATAGATTTCAACTGGTGTCTTGGCTTTCCATGCCTTTTTGAACCTCCCTTTCTTCATGCATTCAATACTTTTTTCCCTGTGTCATTCCATTTTATTACACATAACTTAATTTCTGAACTTTTTTGTTTTGGTACTTTGTAAGTATGGTTTGCATGGGTTGTTACTGACATGTGGTGAAAATCACATGTCAATAGCACCTTTATTAATATCTTTACTAAGAAAAATGGTGACGTGTTCAATACTTATTAATACTATTAATTAATACTAATTAATATATTAGTGGAGCTGTAGGCTCCTTTTCTCATACTAGCCAGGCTATATGTTATAAAGGCTAAGTTCACCTTTTGGGAAAAAATTATTAATACACATATTTTTGCAGGGAAAAAAAATGTGCATTTATTGTTTTTTTTTTATCTTAGCAGCTTGCAAAGCATTGCACCCATGATCAGTGGAGCAGGAGTGCAATGTCAGGCTCCTGCAGACAAGTTCTGCAGCTTTCAGCCCATACCACTGATACGGGATAACAGTTTACAAGCTACAGAGCTTGTGAATGAACTATGAGAGTGCTCATCAATGCCCTACCAGTTCATTGAGAATTACAAGTCTTTGGCTGCAATGGCTGACAGTACTTTTGGTACTCTAATTCACAGATCACTGTGTATGCACAATGCGGCTGTATGGGCAGAGCCCCAAACATCCACGCTATTTTCAAAATGTGACAGCAGGTGAAGGGAGAAGATCCCTTGCCCACTCACAGGCAAAGGGTTATCGAGGGAGGGGAGGCAAATATGGAGCATGTTACACCTGAATTATAGGTGTAACATGTAACATGCTCTGAAAGGTGAACTTATCGATTAAGTGATATATTGAAAAAGGTCTGCTGTTTATAGAGCCCAGTAGCTCAAGCTCAAACATAGGCCTGAGTGATTCAATCTCATTTCCCTTCCTCACCCTAACTTCTGAGTTCATAGGGGGCTTATGGAGATTCAGTTTAGAGTGAGAAGGAAAACAGCTTTTGCTGAATCCCTCTTGCTGTGAGAATCCTGTGTCATGGATGCACCCTGTAAAAAGTGTTAAGTAAAGATTTTACATAAAGAGTAACAGATCACATAATTTTGTCTTTAACAATAGTTCCATCCCACTTCCACATGAGTTGAGTGATGCGTTCACCTTTAAAAAAAAATAATAAATGCACATCTTTTTGCTGGTAAAAAAATGTGCATATATTATTTTTTTTTTTATTGAGAGCCTGTAAATCATTGCACCCATGATCAGCAGATCGTGGGTGCTATGCAGGGCTCTTGCAGACTGTGTGTAAGCTGTCTGCTTATACCTCATACAAAACGTCAGTTACAGGAAGCCTCAATGAACACCTCAGCACTCAACGGTGCCCTGGTAGCTTATTGGGAACTACAACCCGACAGCCCCAAAGGCTGTCATTAGTTGTTTCCCATTCACATTGTGTTAGTTGTGTTTCCCCGTTGTTAATTAGTGACGCGGCCCGGGCGGGCGGCTGTCCCTCCCTGGTCTGCTGTCACAGCGAGTTTCAGGGGGACCGGGGGGCAGCTACAACACTAACATGTTACACGTTATACCCTGAATATGGGTGTAACATATAACATGTTAGAAAAGGTGAACTTATCCTTTAATTGAAATGAAGTACAACATAGTTTGTCTAATAGCTATCCTGTAAATCTGAACATTAAATATATTTAGGCGGTGAAGCATCTGGAGATAAAACATGGAACATTTAAGGGCACATAACTATCAGCCAATATTCGCACCATGCAGATACTATAAACATAGCCCCATACCAATATATTGAATAACAGGACTGAATAGTACAATTAACTCTTCTGAAAGTGTCTGGCAATCTAATTAAATTCCCCTGAACTGGCCCTATTGCAACCCAGAAATTCGGTCTGGACACTGAATGGCTGGATCGCTCAGTATGTATGCTGATCACCAGTTATATTTAATGTATTAATCTCATTATTGACTTATTCTCTGTGCTTTGTATCTTAAACTTTTCAGGTGCCTGAATGGACAAAGTGCCCAAGCAGAGAAAAGCGAAAGGAGAGGGAGGAAAAACCATTTTATTCTGATTCAGAAGGAGAATCTGGACCAACAGAATCTGCAGATAGTGGTGAGAAACCAGGCAAAAGCAGTTATTATGTTACTATTATGGAACTGAGCTGTTTGTATTTTGTGAGTTATTTGTACTTGTGTGTGTGTAGGGATATGTGTCCTTCCAGTTTTTATGGTTTAATAAAGCCTAACTCCAGACACCTTTGTTGTAATACAATTAGACAGCTTAATACAGTTGCAAGAAAAAGTATGTGAACCCCTTGGGATTACGTGGAGTTTTGCATGAATTGGGCATAAAATGTGCTCTGAATGTCATCTAAGTCACAACAATAGAAGAACACAGTCTGCTGAACATAATACTACACAAACATTAGATGTTGCCATGGTTTATTTGCACATAACATGTAAACATTCACAGTGCAGGGAGGAAAAAGTACTGTATGTGAACCTTTGGACTTAATAATTGGTTGACCCTCCTTTGGCAGCAATAACCTCAACCAAACGTTTCCTGTAGTTGCAGATCAGACCTGCACAACGATCTGGAGTAATTTTGGACCACTCCTCTTCACAAAACTGTTTCAGTGTAGCAATTTTCTTGGGATGTCTGGTGTGAATCGCTCTCTTAAGGTCATGCCACAGCATTTCAATTGGGTTGAGATCAGGACTCTGACTGGGCCACTCCAGAAGGCGTATTCTGTGCTGTTGCAGCCATTGTTTTGTTGAATTACTTGTATGCTTTGGGTCATTGTCCTGTTGCATCACCCATCCTCTGCGGAGCTTCAGTTGGTGGACAGATGGTCGTACGTTTTCCTGCAAAATGTCTTGATAAACTCTGGAATTCATTTTCCCATCAATGACAACAATCCGTCCAGGCCCTGAGGCAGCAAAGCAGCCCCAAACCATGATGCTCCCTCTGCCATCTTTTACAGTGGGGATGAGGTTTTGATGTTGGTGTGCTGTGCCTTTTTTTTCTTCACACATAGTGTTGTGTGTTCTTCCCAAACAACTCAATCTTGGTTTCATCTGTCCACAGTATATTTTGCCAGTAGTGCTGTGGAACATCCAGGTGCGCTTTTGCAAACTTCAAACGTACTGCAATATTCTTTTTGGACAGCAATGGCTTCCTCCGTGGTGTCCTCCCATGTACTCCATTCTTGGTAAATGTTTTCCTTATTGTAGATGTGTCAACAAAAATGTTAGCATGTGCCAGAGATTTCTGTAGGTCTTTAGCTGACACTCTGGGATTCTTCTTTACCTCATGCAGCATTCTGCGCTGTGCTCTTGCAGTCATTTTTACAGGACGACCCCGCCTAGGGAGAGTAGCAACAGTGCTAAACTTTCTCCATTTGTAGACAGTCTGTCTTACTGTGGACACATGAACATCAAGGCTTTTGGAGATACTTTTGTAACCCTTTCCAGCTTCATGCAAGTCAACAATTCTTGATCGTAGGTCTTCTGAGAGCTCTTTTCTGCGAGGCATGGTTCACATCAGACAGTGCTTCTTGAAACCAGTAAACGCAAAACAGGTGTGTGTTTTTTAAGGGCAGGACAGCTGTCAGCAACACATCCAATATCATCACACTGATTGGAATCAAGGTTGGCTCACTCCTGGCTCCAATTAGCTCTGGGAGAAGTAATTTAAGCTAGGGCCTCACATACTTTTTCCTCCCTGCACTGTGAATGTTTACATGTTATGTGCAATTAAACCATGGCAACATCTAATGTTTGTGTAGTATTATGTTCAGCAGACTGTGTTCTTCTATTGTTGTGGCTTAGATGACGTTCAGAGCACATTTTATGCCCAATTCATGCAAAACTCCACGTAATCCCAAGGGGTTCACATACTTTTTCTTGCAACTGTAGGTGTTAAATAGGTGCACCATAACACACGTACTAGTATGTGTTGTGTGTCCACACTCCAGTGTGTGGTTACAACACATTGCACTGCTTACTTTTTTTTTTAACTGTATACTTAACCCCTTTACACCTAAGAGTAAAACAAATCTAAATGCCTAAGCACAATTTTGCAACGTTGACATGTGTTAGTAAAACCGTCCATACCATCACAACTACTTTGTACATCCAGGTGGATTATACCATGTTTTTTCCATGACAAATTGTGCTTTTATTTGGTGGTAAATTGTAATGGATATCTCCTGATTTTTTTTATTATCAAAGGAAAACTGGCCCAAAATAGTAAAAAAAATATATTTTTTTATTTAGCTATGTGTTTCTTGTTACTACCATAACCTACCACCAAAGAACAGCCCAAAATAAATTATCCAGCTCTTGTCGATCGCAGCGATACTATCTATGTGTATGTTATTTGTTGTTTGTACCCAGAGTACAGGCCAGAAACAATAGTGCGCATTTTGTTTTGTTTTTTTTACCTAAGACACACTGACACTAACTGACACTGATACCAAATTTTTTTTTAAATCCTGACCTTTGGCCTTGACCTTTTGACCCTGACCTTGACCCAAACACTTACCCTGGCACTGAGCTGGATCAAACCTTGATCTAGGTATTTTTTTCTTTATTTTTCTTTTATTTTTTAATATTTATTTATTTTTATTTTTATTTTTACAAACATTTTTTTCTCTCTGCCAGGAGTTAGAGAGATACAATGTATCTCTCTCCTCCATTCATAGAGAGAGAAAAAAAACAAGGGGGTCGGGCTGTACAGTGATTTATCACTATGATAGCCAATCAGAGGCTATCACAGCGATCATGTGACCCGAAATCGGGATTCCCGGGTCCCGATCGTTAGAACGAGACCTGGTGCTCTCAGTGACACCGCGGTCTTTGTGCTGGAAGCGCGCCATGCAGTGCGCTCCCAGCAGAAAGATAGGTACGCAAATATGCGGCCCCACGGAAAAAAGCCCAGATCTGTGAGGCCGCATATTTGTGTTACGTCGGCGTCAAGGGGTTAAAGCAGTAGTAAACTCCGCTTGGCACTTGTACCTACAGGTAAGTTTATAGTATAGCTTATCTGTAGGTACAATGAATATCTGCTAAACGTGCACCGTTTAGGAGATATTCAAAAGTTCTGCAGCTGGGTGCATCACCGGCACATGTGCATTGTGCTTTGGATTGAAGGCACACTGAATGTGCCCTCAGTCCAGAGCTCTGTGCCGCAATAATGACTCCTATCTCAAAAGTCCAGAGCCTGCAAAACCAAGAAGGAAGACCAGGTGAAGATGAAAGCCTTTTGCAGGGGTGACAGTGCCCCACTGGAGGGATCCGTTTCACAGGTAAGTCTGTCTAAATGTGCTAGTATGCCATGGTGCCATTAAGGTGCTTTTTTTTTTTTTTTTAAGACCTCAGTACCGCCTTAAAGTAGAAGTCCAGTCAAATCCTAACTATACTTAAACCTGCTCCCAACCCCATTCTAAGCCTGTAATAATTACCCTGTAAAGGAAAGATGTGTATACTTACTTATGCTGAGGGCGCATGATCTTCCCAGCATCTGGCTTCAGTATAGAGGAGAGATCGCTGACAATGGCTGCAGAGTGGTGACGTTACCCATAGGCTTACTATGCGGCATCCATTGTCAGCTGTTTCTCCTCTACATTGAAGCAGAAGCTGGGAGCAGGATCATTTGCCTCGACTGTAGCACCTCAGATTAGGCAAGTATAGATATCTTTCTTTTACAGGGTAGTTAAAATACTCTTAGAATGGAAATGGGAGAACGTTTAAGTACAGCTAGGGATTTGACTGAACTTCCACTTTAACGTAGCTCTATGAATGGCAACTTGTTGCAGCCATTTGCAGCTAGTTGTAATTCACTTAGCTACAATAAAATATATACCTACATTATTGTATTGCAATGCACGCTAATGCATGGGTTTAAATTGGCCCTTAATGTCTGCTTTGTTTAAACAGTTTTAAAAGAGTGTTTTTAGTATATTTGGATGGAACAGCTTTCACTGTACATCTGGCCCTCCCGCCAACATCAACACTGCAGGTGTAATGCCAACGTTGGTGTCTCCACCCTCATATATACCTGGCTATTCACAAAATTCAGTCTGTGATGATGCTGTGGCAATGCTTCTTGTGAATGGACAAGCGTAGACAAAGATGGAGACAAGTTGCTAGTGCTGATGTCATTGTGGGGGATGAAAGTACAACAGGAGCTGTACTATTCAGTGAAAATAGAAGAACTCTTTCTAAGCTGTTTGAAGAAAGCTAACATTAAAGTGTTTATAAAGGCACAAGGTCTTTTACCTTCATGCATTCTATGCATGAAGGTAAAAAACCTTCTCTGTACAGCAACCCCCCCCCAGCCCCCCTTTACCGCTTGCCTACCTGGCACTTTTCCCCCCCCCTTCCTGCCCAGGCCAATTTTCAGCTTTCAGTGTTGTTGCACTTTGAATGACACTTTCACAGTCATGCAGCATTGTACCCATATGAAATTTTTATAATTTTGTTTCACACAAAAATATATCTTTCTTTTGGAGGTATTTACTCGCCACTGGGGTTTATATTTTTTGCACTATAAACAAAAGAAGAGCAAACAATTTGAAAAAAAAGTTTTTCTTTGTTTCTATTATAACATTTTGCAAACAGGTAATTTTTCTCCTTCACTGATGTGCATTGTTGAGGCTGCACTGATAGGCAGCACTGATGGGTACTGATGAGGCGGCACTGATAGGTAGCACTGATGGGCACTGATGAAGCTGCACTGGTGGGCATTGCTGAGAAGGCACTGTTGATGCACTGATATGCAGCAATGATGGGCACTGATAGGTGGTACTGATGGGCACTGAAAGACAGAACTGATGGGCGACACTATGGGCATTGACTGGCGGCACTGACTGATATACACTGCTGGGCACTGACCGGTGGCATTGCTCGGCACTGATGGGTGGCACTGCTGGGTGGCATTGTTGGTTACTGATGGGTGAAACGGCTGGGCACTGATGGGTGGCACTGCTAGGCACTGATGGGTGGCACTGATAATCAGTGGCCTGATTATCAGTGCAGATCTCCCGTCACATTTGCTGGTGTGCACTGTAACAGCGTGAGGAAAGTGCTGCCAATAACCGGCAACTGTATTTACATTGTGATCTGCTGTGTCATTGGACACAGCTGATCATGTGGTAAAAGGCCACTGTGATTGGCCTTTTACCTAATCACGTGTGGGAGCACCCGACAAGAGGGAGGGGCTAGGAGAGCCTGTGGGGGACCCCAAGATGAGGAGGATCCAGGCTGCTCTGTGCAAAACCATTGCACACAGCAGGTAAGTATAGACATGTTTGTTATTTTTAGAAAAAAAAAATTAATCCTTTAGTTTCGCTTTAAATAATAATATAGCAGAAGTGAACACCTACTAAGCCCTCTAAAGGAAATAATGATGGTATCTGGGGCTGTGCTTTAAATGCAGACCTAAGTTCTCATCACTCTATGTTCTTTCTAATCCACAGAACCAGAGTCGGTGAGTGAATCAGAGAGTGGTGAAAGCAGCAGTGGCAGTGGGTCAGGGTCAGAGAGTGAAGAGGAGGAAGAAAGTGAAGAGGAAGAAGAGTCTGAAAAGGAGGAGAAAAAAAAAAAGAAAAAAAGAAAGAACCACAGAGCGAAGGAAGGTAAGAAGACCTACTACAAGGGCAGAGATCAATTATCCACAAGGCAACCTAAGCATGGTTCAAGGGCTCAGTGGTTGTCCAAGGGGTCCAACAACAATCTTCATGCTCCAGCAGTAAACTAAAGGGATAGCAGCATTGGTCAAAGCTGTGAGTCTTGTCTGACACTTTACAGGGGAAGATACCCATGAAGGTAGATGGTGTCTGATGGAGCTGTGCTGGTGCAAACAATGTAAATGGTGCAGTTTCTCTGTGCCTCTTGCAATGCTTATCGATGTCAATTGAAAGAATGGGGAGGCCAAAGCTGCTACCTTATCTAGGGTTGAATTCTGTCATAAGCTCAGTAGGACATTAATAAACATTGGATACATATAGCCTTTAGGATCCTTTGGTCTGTCATTTGTCATCGTGCATATTCCACCTTTCAATTGAAGAAGTAAATGAGTTCTTTGGGGTGTAACGCTTTAAGATCTTGGTGTATAGATCCTTTTATTTGGACTCCAACTGATATACCCCGAATATTGAGATATCCCTTTCTTTTATTGACCCATTTTGTGGGTGTGCATACTGATTATCCTTCTAGATAATATATCAGTGGAGAGGAGCCTTCTGCTTTCCATTCCCCCACCTTTGCTCTCTCTCTATATCCGCCTGCCAGACTACTTGGTGCTACATTTTTACTCTGGTTTGTGTCTGCATACCATCACAGTCCTGAGGAAGTTGTCTAATTGTGAAACACGTTGACGTACCTGGATTTGAACAAGCATACCTACACATATACATTGTACATCATATATTAGTGCACCTATATATTCAGGCTAGCTGGTATACCAATCCAGTAGAGTGTATTCTGGCATTATTGATTTTATTGTCTATATGTGCAGTTTTTTGTGTGTACTAGGAGATTGTATTTGTAATAAACCAAATCTGATTTTATCTATGATGTCCCTATAAAGTCCATTATTGAGAGCTGGCTGAGACTTATGTTCTCCTAAAGTCTATGTTCCTTTTTCTTTTTTTTTTACTTTTATTTTGAATGTGGCACTTTGAAAGACTCTAGTTTGTAAATATACAGTGCCTTGAAAAAGTATTCATACCCCTTGAAATTTTCCACATTTTGTCATGTTACCACCAAAAACGTAAATGTATTTTACTGGGATTTTATGTGATAGACCAACACAAAGTGGCACATAATTGTGAAGTTGAAGGAAAGTGATAAATGGTTTTCAAATATTTTTACAAATAAATATCTAAAAAGTGTGGCGTGCATTTGTATTCAGCCCCCTTTACTCTGATATACCTAACTAAAATATAGTGGAACCAATTGCCTTCAGAAGTCACCTAAACTGACAGGCCGGGCAAGGAGAGCATTAATCAGAGAAGCAGACAAGAGGCCCATGGTAACTCTGGAGGAGCTACAGAGAACCATAGCTCAGGTGTGAGAATCTGTCCACAGGAGAACTATTAGTCATGCACTCCACAAATCTGGCCTTTACGGAAGAGTGGCAAGAAGAAAGCCATTGTTGAAAGAAAGCCATAAGAAGTCCCATTTGCAGTTTGCAAAAAGCCATGTGAGGGACACAGCAAACATGTGGAAGAAGGTGCTCTGGTCAGACGAGACCAAACTTTTTAGCCTCAAAGCAAAATGCTATGTGTGACGGAAAACTAACACTGCACATCACCCTGAACACACCATCCCCACCATGAAACATGGTGAAGTCAGTATCATGTTGTAGGATGCTTTTCTTTAGCAGGGACAGGGAAGCTGGTCAAAGTTGATGGGAAGATGGATGGAGCCAAATACAGGGCAATGTTAGAGTCTGCAAAAGACTTTAGACTGGGGCTGAGGTCCACATTCCAGCAGGACAATGACCCTACACATCCAGCCAGAGCTAAAATGGAATGGTTTAGATCAAAGCATATTGATGTGTTAGAATGGCCCAGTCACAGACCAGACCTAAATCCAATTGAGAATCTGTGGCAAGACTTGAAAATTGCTGTTTACAGACGCTTTCCATCCAATCTGACAGAGCTTGAGCTATTTTGCAAAGAAGAATGGGCAAAAATTTCACTCTTTAGATGTGCAAAGCTGGTAGAGACATCCCCAAAAAGACTTGCAGCTGTAATTGCAGCGAAAGGTGGTTCTACAAGGTATTGGCTCAGGGGGGCTGAATAAAAATGCACGCCACACTTTTCACATATTTATTTGTAAAAATTTTGAAAACCATTTATCATTTTCCTTCCACTTCCCAGTTATGTGCCACTTTGTGTTGGTCTATCACATAAAATCCCAATAAAATACATTTATGTTTTTGGTTGTAACATGCCAAAATGTGGAAAATTTAAATGGCTATGAACACTTTTTCAAGGCACTGTAGTAATAGAAGGTATGGGGTCTTTATCTTTACTTCAAACTATCTAATCAAAGATATTAAGGGTGTATGTTTGAGCATGTATGTAAGTAAGATAAACATCCTTACCCACTGTCATTGTAAAAGACTCATTCTTCCTACCACGCATTTTGCAGAAAATAAAATACTGTGCATTTGTAGGAAATCATAGTATACAGTGGGGGAATAATTATTTGATCCTCTTCAGATTTTGTAAGTTTGCCCATTTGCAAAGAAATGAAGGGTCTATAATTTTTTATCATAGGTGTATTTTAAATGATAGAAACAGAATATCAACCAAAAATCCAGAAAAAACACACATGATAAAAATGTTATAAAGTATAAAGTTGCAGTTCAGTGAGTAAAATAGGTATTTGATCCCCCACCAACCAACAATAATTCTGGCTCCCACAGACTGGCTATGTGCTCATATGGTACACAGATTAGTCCTGTCAACTTAAGAGGGTGCACCTAATGACAACTCGTTATGTGTATAAAAGATAAATGTCTACAAAATCCCTTTATTCCATTCAAATGCCTGTTCCATCATGGGCAAGACTAAAGAGCTGTCAAAGTACGTCAGGCACAAGCTTGTAGACGTGCACAAGGCTGGAGTGGGCTACAAGACCATCAACAAGAAGCTTGGTGAGAAGGAGACAACTGTTGCAGCAATTATTCGCAAATGGAAGAAATACAAAATAACCATCAATCGCCCTCAGTCTAGAGCTCCATGCGAGAGTTTCCCTCATGGGGATCATGAGAAAAGTGAGGTATCAGCCCAGAACTACACGGGAGGAGCTTGTGAATGATCTCAAGGCAGTTGGGACCACAGTCACCAAACAAACCATTGGTAACACAATACACTACCATGAACTGAAATCCTACAAGGTCCCCCTCCTCAAGAAGGCAAAAGCCCATCTGAAGTTTGCCAATGAACATCTAGATGATTCAGAGAAGGATTGGGAGAAAGTGCTGTGGTCAGATGAGACCAAAATTGAGCTCTTTGGCGTTAACTCGATCCGCTGTGTTTAGAGGAAGAAAAATTATAACTTTGACCATAAGAACACCATCCCTACAGTCAAGCATGGAGATGGAAACATTATGCTTTGGGGCTGTTTCTCTGCTAAAGGAACAGGCACACTTTGCGCATTGAGGGGCCAATGGACAGGGCAATGTATTGTAAAATCGTGGATGAGAACCTTCTTCCCTCATCCAGAACACTAAAGATGGGTTGTGGATGGGTCTTCCAGTATAACAATGACCCAAAACATACCACCAAGGCAACAAAAGGAGTGGCTCAAGAAGAAGCAAATTAAAGTCATGGAGTGGCCTAGCCAGTCTCCAGACCTTAATCTTATAGAAAATTTATGAGGGGAGCTGAAAATTCGACTTGCCAAGCAACAGCCAAGAAACCTTAAGGATTTAGAGAAGATCTGTAAAGAAGAGTGGACCAAAATCCCTCCTGAGATGTGTGCAAACCTGGTAATTAACTACAAGAAACATCTTACCTCTGTGCTTGCCAACAAGGGTTTCTGCACCAAGTACTAACTCATGTTTTGCTTGGGGATCAAATACTTCTTTTACTCATTGAACTGCAACTTAATTTATAACATTTGTGTCATGTGTTTGTTTCTGGATTTTTGGTTGGTATTCTGTCTCTATCATTTACAATACACCTATGATACAAATTATAGACCCATTATTTTTTTGTATTTGGGCAAACTTACGAAATCTGCAGGAGGTCAATAATTATTTTTCCCACTGTATCCCATACCTGTGTATAATTAGAAATATCACTGGGTTACCCTAAAGGTGACAATTAAACTGTCTGTGGATATCCAGACATATATTAATTGGCTTTGAAAATTATTTTTCTGTTTTGAAGGAAACTGGCATTTCAATGAGAGCAATATTGCCAATGTAATTTAAAGAAGAAGTATGGCCAAAGCTCTTTTGGCTATACTTATCCTGTGGGTCACAGGAGTGCACTTAGTTCTGCACTCCTGTGACCCAGATTCAGCAGATAGTGGGCTAAAGTCCACTGTTGGCTGACATCATAGAGCTGGCCAGGCTCTGCAGGGAACCTGACAATATCATTAGGACCCACCCAAATTCCTGACCGACAGCTGGCTTAGACTCTCAGAGTGCATAAGCCTGCCACTGGTGCCCCCTGCACAGCCCTGCACTGGAGGGGCAAAGCAATCACCGCTTTGTGCTCAGAGCAGCCCCAAGAACTAAATGATCACCGATCTTTGATTGCTCAGTTCTCAGTGGAGAACCACCAAGGGACAGCTACAGCATGGGATTGATGCTGCAGTCATCTAGGTATTTTTTTTAATTCCCACACTTCTCTTTTAAAAATAAATTATCTGTCAGAATAATTACTCCTTGTGATTTTTTCATAAATTGTGAGATCTATTTTGAGATAATAGTAGTTAATTGTAAGACATTGAGAAGGTAGTTACTGTATTCTAACTTGACAGTGATGAAAGTGATAAGGACCAGAAAGTGACAGCAAAAGGGAAGAGACCTCCTACAAAAACAAGCCAGAAGTCAGCTTCTGAGGGCAGCAGCTCTGAGAGCAGTCAGTCTGAGAGTGAATCTTCATCAGAAGAGGATGATGAGGAGGAGGAGGAGAAAGAGGAGCCCACACCGGAACCTAAAAGGAAGAAAAGTGTAAGCATCATAATATATCATATACCTGTGGTGGTTTTTAAACTGCGCATCCAGATGAAATTATTTGTGCTGTCCATATATATATATATATATATATATATATATATACATATAGTATTCCTGCTCTAAATCTGTTGTTTGCTACTAAATTGTTAAAGAACTGTCGTTAAAGAAGAACTCCGGGATAGGAAAAAAAAAATCACCCATTAGTACTCCCCCCTACACAAAAAACTAAACAGTTAATACATTTGGGAAAATCCTTACTATTGGATTGAATTGAATTTTCAGGACTTCATATCTGTAATTCAAAAGATCATAATATCTGCTCTGCCAAGGAGGAGGTGTAACAGCCACTGGAAATTGGGCGGGTCCAGTAGGCCTGTTCACGTTGAGCCCTGGTTCACACTGATGCGGTGCAGAATTCGCAGAGTTTTCAGTGCAAATTCCGCACCGCATCGGAATCGCACCCTGTTCATGCGAACCGCTGCGGGTATGTATGTTGAGTTAACAACACAAAACATGGTGCGATGTGCAGAATTGGATTGCATAGGTGTGAATACCTATGCGATCCGATTCTAGTGCGGATCTGCACGTTTTTGGTGCGGGTGCGGTATGGCTCTGACCACACTGCACACAAATCGCATGTGATTCGCACAGGATTGCGGTGCGGTTCCTGTGCGAATCACATGCGACCGTGCCGCATGTATGTGAACTCAGGCTGAATGTATACTCACCCACTTCAACTTAAATCATGCCCCCTCATTCTCCAGCCACACTGCTCTGTACCAAAATGCAGAACAGTTAGGTGACAAACTTATAAATGTTAAGCATGCCAATACAAAATGTTAAGTTCATTCTGTGTAGTCTACTTTGTTTAAACATTTAACTCGCCTTCCTCTAGGTTTTCTTTTACTGGCTGTGGCTGCTATCCTCACATGCGATCTCTCCCCCTCCAGCCACAATAGCAGATAAACCAATTGATCAGAGACTATAGCCATACTACAGGCGATGTCTTGAAACATATCTTATGGTGTCACAGACAAGAACACATTTATAGTACAGCTAGAAAGGCGTTGAACCTCTGACAATGTTTTTATGGCTGTTCCTGTGCCAGGGTCAGGAATTCAGGATAAGTCTCCCTTCAGTGGGGTCACAGAAACAAAAAGTCTCTCTCCTGTGCCAGGGTCAGGAAGTGAGTGAAAGTCTCCCTCCGGTGGGCTTACATGCAGGAACAGGAAGTGAGGGGAAGTCTCCCTCCAGTGGGGTCACAGAGACGGGAAGTGAGGGGAAGTCTCCCTCTGGTGGGGTCAAGGAGTCAGGAAGTGAGGGGAACTCTCCCCTGGTAGGGTCAAAGAAACAAAAAGTGAGAGAAAGTCTCCCTTTGGTGGGCTCACAGGCAGAAACAGGAAGTGAGGGGAAGTCTTCCTCTGGTGGGGTCACAGGGACAGGAAGTCTCCCTGTGGTGGGGTCAAGGGGTCAGGAAATGAGGGGAACTCTCCCTCTGGTAGTGGAAGTCTCCCTCTGGTAGTGGAAGTCTCCCTCCAGTGGGGTCACAGAAACAGGAAGTGAGGGGAAGTCTCCCTCCAGTGGTGTCACAAAAACAGGAAGTCACCCTTCAGTGGTGCCACAGGGACAGGAAATGAGGGGAAGTCTCCCTCTGGTGGGGTCACAGGGATAGGAAGGAGGGGGGCAGTGTGACAGAAGGGGGGGGGGAGGTGGCATGTGGGGGGGACAGGAGGGAGTCAAAGTTGGGGGGCGGAGCTAAGGGGCGGAGCCAGAAGTCCTAGCAACAGATGGCTTCCAGAGGGATGCTGCTTCTCCACCTCTTCTTCAGGCATTGGTTGCTCTATATGCTGCCCGCCGCCTTTCTCATCCAGGTGGGCGGGACCGGAGCAGCTGCAAAAGCCAGCCAATGATTGGGCTGCTTAAGAAAGGGGACGGGGCCCCAGAAATGTATATGCTCATCTAAACAAGTGCATTTTTTTCTTACTTTACTGATTATTTCTTGTCCTCCATAGCCATCAGCTACCAAGCCAGTATCAAAACAGCCCAGGGAGACCAAGGAGATGTCATTGCTAGATCTGGATGACTGTAAGTGCAATTTTCCCAATCAATCTTATACCTAACTTGGCATTGAAAAATCTTTTTGCTGGCAAGCAATTTTCACAAAAATAAAACATCTATACTTTTACCTTGGTGTTGATTATGTTATTCTTTTATTCTTCTGGAGCAAGTCTTAACCCTTTCATTTAGAAGAGGTTTAGGAACCATTGAGCCTACTGCTCACTCAAAGGGCATTTTAGGTGGAATAACTATTAACTACCAAGAGTAGTAATCTCTTATGTATAACAACCATGTATCTCCCATTTAAAGTGGAAGTAAAGTCCACTTTTTAACTTTAATCTACAGGTAAGCCTATAATAAGGCTTACATGTAAGTACAGTGAATATATTCTAAACTTGCACCGTCAAGGAGATATTCACAGCAACATGATATCAACGGCGCATGCACTCTGAAGGGACTGCATACCCATGCCATCCCTTCAGAGCTCCATGCCAAGGCTGCAGCTCCTGCGTGCATGTGCAGGAATGGCTCCAGCCATTCATACAGCCGAAGCCAGCAAACCCGGAAGGAAGACAGCACTGTGCAGGAGGGCTCTGTGTGCAGGTAAGTCTGTCATAATGTGCTAATATGTAGTGCATACTAGTACATTATGATTTAAATCTTCAGGGGGCCTGATTTTTTATATATATATGTGTTTACTGCTTTAAAGCCCATCTTTGTTTTTTTCATTTTTTTTATTTTTTAAAGAGCTATCCCAGCACCAAAAAAAAATACTTTACACATACCTTAAAGCCTAACTTATCTTGAATGTCCCTTTAAAAAAGTTTATTTTGAGCTATACAGCACTGTGTATGGACAGTGGGATATAGACTTCCTGTCCCACTCCCAGAGCAAAATATGAATGAATACAAAGTTTCCTCTGATTGGCTGAGACAAATCGAGACAGGCAGCTGATGTCATGATCACTGTCTTAGCCAATTAGAAAGAGATTTGTGTTCATTCATTGAATACAAAGCTTCTTGTGAATGACTGAGCAGCACTCAGCCCAAATCTGTTTTGTGCAGTAAATAGTTTATTTGGGCTAGCTTGGCCCAAAACAAACTATTTAAAGGGCCAATAAACGTGGAGTTAAGCTTTCATTCCAGTAGTCTCCTAGTCAATCCAGTGACATCAAAGGTCATTCTTCTCTCCTCTTTCCAGCAGTAGAAGTGGGCATTTCCTACTAATACACTGAAAATGTTCATTTCAAGGACATGTAAGCATTGCTCATTGCAGCAGTACTGTGAGCCCAGGTTGATGTAATGATGAACCTTAGGGAATGTGTGTACGAAGTGGGTTGCATTATTTATTATAGGTACATATATAGCACTGTCAGTTTACACAGTGCTTTACATATATATTGTACATTCACATCAGTCCCTAACCCTCAAGGAGCATACAATCTAAGGTCTAACTCACATTCATACATACATGGGCCAATTTAGACAGAATCTGATTAACCTACTAGCATGTCTTTGGAGTGTGTGGGAGGAAACTGGAGTACCTGGAGAAAACCCATGGAGGCACAAGGAGAACATGCAAACTCCAGGCAGGTGGTGCCATGGTTGGGATTTGAACCAACGATCCTAGTACTGCCAGGCAGAAGTGCTAACCATTTAGCCACCTTGCTGCCCTGGCATGATGTTGGTTATCATTCAATCCAGAAGAGAATAACCATTTAGCATAGAAGCAGACTTACTGCTAGAGACAGCGCCGGATTAAATTTTGCAGCAAATGCTGCTCTTTTTATTAACAACTGTGCTGGACTTCTTTTTTTTTATGTTCACTATACTGCTGCTATTAGTGTTTTCTTTTCTTTACAGTCTCTGCTCCATCTGCTCCAGTGGTAACATCAGGAAACATTGTATCTTCCAGTCTGGTGACTGATCTGGAGGGATTGTCCTTAACAGATACTTCTCTGTCTCCCACAGTGAGTTACATTTTATAGATGTAGCATCCTCCTAGTTCAGAGTAGCCTGCTAGGCAGCCTGTTCAGTGTCTCTCAGGCTGTTCTGCTACTTTCCCCTGTCTTGTGGATATTTCTAGAAGTTTAGAAATGAGAGGGAGAGTAGGACAAATAGCCTGAATATTTATGGGTCTCTGGCCAAACCCTGGAGGGGGGTTGTCCAGTAGGTGGTTGGAGAAAATATTAATATTCTGAGGCCTGGCAGCCACGGTGCAGAGTTCAAGGGTCCAATCTGCTGGAGGAGACCCCTGTGCTGAGGGCTGTGCCTCTAGTGCAGAGAGAGAGAGGCGAAGCCTCAGGAGTCCTGTGAGGACATCAAGGTCCCAGCTATTCTTAGATGGGGGGCTCATTATTGGCCATAATGGGCAATGAATAAGTGCTGTCTTTAGCATATATTGTGCCCATACTGGGTAAAGCATAAACGCTGTCTTTAGCGTGAAATGCGTTTACCTGCCAGTCTCCCATTGTATTTCCACTGTCTGTATTGGTTTTATCCTGGTTCAGTAAAGTGGATTGTTTGGAGTGCAGCCGATCGGACTTCCTTTGTTCTCATCTAGTGCTACATAATATTTAGGCAATTTCAACAAAATAAATGTATTTTAAATCATTATCTTAATATTTCATGTGTATTTCTTGCTAGGTAATCAGTCCAATGTTCTCATCTGGGCGGACCTTTGAGTTGCTGCATCGCATGACAGGGGAGGGTCTGTCTGTGGAATATGTATTTAGTCGCCAGCCTTTTACACCAGACCATCGCATGGTGTCTGTACAGATGCAAATATCCAACAACTCTGAGAGTGAGGTTCGCAGTATCCGGATCAATGAACCCAAGCTGCAATCTGGCATGAGGATAAAAGAGTTCAAAGAGATAGGTAAATAGAGGCTTAACTGGCACTGATGAGATGGGGAAATGTAACTTAACCACTTCAAGTCCAGGCATTTTCACCCCCTTCCAGTCCGGGCCAATTTTCAGCTTTCAGCGCTATCACACTTTGAATGATAATTGCGCGGTCATGCAACTCTGTACCCATATGAATTTTTTAGCATTTTTTTGAGACAGATAAAGCTTTATTTTGGTGGTATTTATTCACCACTGGGATTTTTATTTTTTTTTGCTATATAAATGAAAATGTCCAAACATTTTGAAAAAAAAAGTGTTTTTCTTATACAATTTTGCAAATAAATAATATTTCATCATAAATCTTAGCCAAAATGTATTCAGTTATCTTTTTAGTAAAAAAAAAAAAATAACCCAAATTAGTTTATAACCAAAAATTATAATTTTTTTTCCATACTCTCACCCTAACAGTACAGTGTCACCATGGTGACACTGTACTATTTGTGGGGGGTGATTTTTTTTTTTTTTTTCTCACTGATTGCTTTTACACCCATAAAGGCTGTAAAAGCAATAATTTCTCCTCCTTTCTGGCTGCATTCTTGCAGCCATTGAGAAATACTGTGTGAGCTGTGATTGGTCACAGCTTGTCACATGGTACAAGGCTGTTGTGAATAGCCTTGTACTACTATGTGACCTCTGTGATCATTCACAGAGTTCACACGTATTAAGCAATGATGTCAGAAGTGATATCTTGCTTACTACTCTGCATGTGATTACTGATTGGCCAATCAGTGATCACATGATCGGGACCTCACACAGAGGTCCCATACGACGATCGGTGCTCCACTCTGTCTGGAGGACACAGCGGGCACCGGCTCCCAGGGAGCGCGCACAGTCCAAAATGGCGGGTGCCGTTTATGAATGGCAACCCACCCCTGGACTGCCACTGTCCGGCCGTTTATATATCACGGCCGGATGGCAAGTGGTTAAAGCTGATCTCGGGCCCTAATTTTACTCTAATAAAGTTACTGACTCTTGTCCATTTGCACAGGTTCTCTCCTATACTGAAATTGCTTACAGTGGTTTCACTGCACATTGTGAGCATTTTACAGTGTGCAATAGAAGTTGCAGCCAGTCAGAGTCCACCTCACTTCCCAACTGGAGAGCATCCAGCATCATCTGGAATTTTTCTTCTCATCCCTTCCATTCGTTGGATTTCAATTCTTTCAGTCATGGAGGTTTTCCGTCAGATGTGGATGTTACCTAGGGCAGACTACATGGAGATACAGTCTGGCTAGGAATGCCCATCTTTCAGACTGTAATCCACTCATCAAGGCATTTTGATATTTGCATAACTCCTTCCAAGAGCCAGACCGCTCCTTCAGGGCTGAGGGCTCTTGAAAGGAGTATTGATGCAGGGTACTGTGATGTTTTCAGGGAGCTACATACAGCCCGCTGCTGGCTCTCCCACAAGCCATGATCTGCCTGAATTTCATAGAGAGGCACAGAGTTCCATTGATTAAATCACTGGGTCCAAAATAAAGTTTGTAATGGAAATGTTTTATTTGAAAATGTAATTAGCGTGTTGATGAGGAGGGAGAAGGGGGACCAGGGAATCAAAATGTAAGAAGACTAGACTTCTGCTTTAAGTAATAAATGATTATTATGGTACACTGATTTTCAAGAGAACCTAATGTGCTAAGGATTTCATCACTGAAAATTGACACCCCCAATGTGTGAAAAAATAGCAACTCCTAGCTGTAGCTTGTGGAATCATACAGTAAGTTCCAGATAGTTTGTACACAACACAAAATAGGGGGTAGAAGCTGCTGAGCAGAGCTGCCTGCTTCCTATACCCACACAAGGAATAGGTTCACAGCCCTCTCCAATCATCCGAGACGGCCTGCGGTGAGATGACCTGCCAACAGAGACCCTGCAGCATTACAGATGTGCCTGCTTTCTTCTTTCATCATGTGAGTGGCCATTTGTGAGCCCCCTTGTTTTAACAATAAATAACCCTTTAATACTATAGAGGTGCTGCTTCTGTCTTTGTTTTCAATTTCTGAGGACACTAGTACTGTTGACCCTGGTGACTACCAGGAGTTTCCCTCACAGATGGCAAAAAAAAAACCTGACAGGTTATATCCATCCCTTGTTCTATCCACAATGAGAAATAAAGTTTTTCCTTCAGCTCTACTAAAGCAAGCCTTTTAGTTTGCCCTGCATGCCCACTGGCATTGACACTAATGATATGGGAAGTATATCCTCTTTATTGGAGGGAACCCCTGGTAAATCACCCATCCCCAATACTAAAAGGTATGTGACACCCGCATTGTGGGTATGCCAGCTCAAATGCCTAGTGTCTAGTCTGGAATTCTTTGAACCTTTGCTTTTAACTCCCCATTTACACCTGTGGTGCGTTAGCACTGACATAGAAATGCGCCTGCACTGTTTTTCCCAGTGTACTGCAGTTGTGCAATGGTGTGGCATGGTGCATTGTCAAAACACAAAAACGGTGTGAAGCTGGCCTTAAAGAGCTTTGTGAACCAGGTGTTATTAGGTGTTATTAGGTATTAATAACACTTGAAGCATCTCTCTCTTTGATAAAGTGGACATTCACTCAGAAGTGATAGTACCAGATCACCCCCTTGTCCCTAACACATTTAAGATTTTTTTTTTTTTCACCTAGGCAAGAATGAAGTTCATTTGGGACTCCTCCACCCCCTCAACCACCCCCTTTTCAGCCTGCAGCTTGCTGGGACTTGTCACAAATGTCCCAGGAGGCTGTAAGACTAGTCCCACAGCACTGCTGTGCCTCACACATGTGCAGTGGGGGCCTGGCTGTGAAACATCAGGAAGTCGCAGCCAGCTCATACATCCAAGATGAAGGCTCTGAAGAGTGTAAGCCTAGAGCAGACTCAAATGTGGGGAGGACAGCGCTGGACTCCTTGTTTAAGTGATTTTAAAAGCTTATTTAAAAAAAAAAAATAAACATGACCATACTTACCTGCTCTGTGTAATGGTTTTGCACAGAACAGCCCAGATCCTCCTCTTCTCGGGTCCCCCGCCAATGCTCCTGGCCCCTCCCTCCTGTCAGGTGCCCCCACAGCAAGCAGCTTGCTATGGGGGCACCCTCTACTCCGTGTATCCATTCGCACACAGAGCCGTGGTTTGGCCCTGCCCCCTCTCTCTTCTCATTTGCTCACTGGCTGTGATTGACAGCAGTGGGAGCTAATTGCTCCCGCTGCTGTCTCAGCCAATGAGGAGAGGGAGTCCCGGGATAGCCGAGACTCCAGTGCACATCGCTGGATCGAGAGGGGGCTTAGGTGAATATTAGTTGGGCATAGAATGCATGAAGGTGAAAAAAAACCTTGAGCCTTTTGAACCACTTTAAGTGCTTGTTTCTTAAAAGTCAGAAGCTACAGTATTTGCTGACTTTTATTCTTTTTTTATTCTTTTTAAACAACAGTCAGTATTAAACCCAAAAGCAAATATTTATTATATTGCAGTTTGTCTGTCAACAGAACTAGTTGTTCTGCAGTTGTAGCAGTTAGTGGGTTGAGACAAACCATTTACCACTGACAGTGGTGCTTACAATAATCATCTTTTATTTATTCATGTAAAACCTTTATCCCAAAAGGAACATATTGCTGTAACTGCTTCAAAAGTGTTAGCTGGAGTTTGGCTTCAATTTGTTTGTGTCTAAGGTGCATCTACCGCTCCCAGGCTGACAATGCTGCTGTCTAAAGGTGTCTCAGTTGCTCCTCCATATAGAGTGTAGGCACTCTAATACAGGAAGTGTGTTACTGGCCAGATCAGCAATGGGCAAACTACGGCCCGCGGGCCGTATACGGCCCGGTGGACCTTTTAATCCGGCCCGCGGAGCTAGGCTCCCGCTAGGCTCCTCTCACAGTCCGCCCTGAAGACCGGTGTAGCATGAAAATCTGTCTCCTATGAGGATCTGTCCCCCTCGACGTATCTGCGCATGTGCAGGAGATCGCCGATCGGCTGCTAATGCCTGAAACTGGCACATGCGCAGATACGTCGAGGGGGACAGATCCTCATAGGAGACAGGTTTTCATGCTACACCGGAACGGCGCGGGAACACGGCGAGAGGAACGCGCGGAGCAAAGGTAAGTGAATTGACACTGGGGGGACTTGGGGACTTAATATGGGGAATGAATTACTATAGGGGGGATGAATTACTATATGGGGGATGAATTACTATGGGGGATGAATTACTATGGGGGATGAATTACTATATGGGGGATTAATTACTATGGGGGATGAATTACTATGGGGGATGAATTACTATATGGGGGATGAATTACTATGAGGGATGAATTACTATACGGGGGATGAATTACTATGGGGGATGAATTACTATGGGGGATGAATTACTATGGGGGATGAATTACTATGGGGGATGAATTACTATATGGGGAATGAATTACTATGGGGGATGAATTACTATATGGAGGATTAATTACTATGGGGGATGAATTACTATATGGGGGATGAATTACTATGGGGGATGAATTACTATGGGGGATGAATTACTATATGGGGGATGAATTACTATGGGGGATGAATTACTATGGGGGATGAATTACTATATGGGGGATTAATTACTATGGGGGAATCTTACTATACTTACTATGGATGACACATACACATCATTCATCTACTCTTGGTCCGGCTCCCGGGTCCAATATATGAACCCATTGCGGCCCTCAAGTCAAAAAGTTTGCCCACCCCTGGGCCAGATCAATAGGTAAAAACAGAGGGGGAAAAGCCTAAAAAGGAAAACTAATGCAGCCACCACATCTACTGATTGGTAAGCTGCAATACGTTTCATTTTTGGTTTTGGGTTTACTATCGCTTTACATACAAAAATCATGCAGTATGTGTTCATATTATTTAGCACTACTACACTTAGCGCATGTCATCAATAATATTTCAGCTTAATTTATTTGCTGTCTTTCTATAATGTATTTCTTCTTCCCACAGAATCTCTGCCTCCTGGAGATAGCACCACTGTAATAATGGGCATTGATTTCTGTGATTCTACTCAGGCTGCAAATTTCCAGCTCTGGTTGGTACATTATTTATAACATACGCAGATTTACTGATTTTTTTTTTTCTTTTAGGTTCCTAAAAGCATTCATAGGCAAACTGTATTCCATATTGTAAACGTTTCTGGTGATCATGTGGAAACATGAATAATATGTTGTGTTCACTTTGCAGCACCCACACCCGCCAATTCTATGTGACCATCCAGCCACCTGTAGGGGAGCTCATGGAGTCTGTTTTCATGAGTGAAAATGAGTTCAAGAGGGAACAGGGTGAGTGATGGCGAGCGTGGGAGAGGAGATTATAGACAACAAAGAGACAGGCAGATTAAAGACAAAGGAGTGGAAGAAAGAGAGTTGACATAATATTTATGCAGACACTTTAAACACTCAAGAATCAAACAATATTTTATAACATGTTCAGAATTACATTGTTATACAGCGTGTTGGTTTCTTCTCAATAAAAAGATGACTCGGCATTATCAAAATGCATGTACAAAAACAAAAAAACAGTAAAAGTAAAGGGGGGTGCGAATACTCAGACATATTGGCAACCTATATTGTCATGTAGCCAACTTAGTTCATTCATTTTTTTAATCATTTTGTAACTGATTTACCACTTGGGCTGCCCATAGATGGATCGTTTTTTTTTCTGATCAGCCAGCGGATTGATTGAATAAAAACATACGGATTCCCCCATCCACGCAAGCAAGGTGGATAGAGGATTGCTTCCCACCCTGCCATTGTATTCTGACAGTGGGGACTCCTCTGCTGTCAAAATACACTGATCAGGACCGCAGGAATGTAAATTTTCCAACATTCCAGTTCGACATCTGTCAAGCAGAAATGATCATAGATGGATCCAAATTCAGCCGGTCCCTGTTGAAGCAGCTGAATTTCGATCCATCTATGGCCAGCTTTAATAAGCTGAGATGTCAAAATACACTGATCAAGACTTCAGGAATGAAAATTTTCCAAAATTCCAGTTCGACTTCTGTCAAGCAGAAATGACCATAGATGGATCGAAATGCAGCCGGTCCCTGTTGAAGCAGCTGAATTTCGATCCATCTATGGCCAGCTTTAGTAAGCCGAGGTGTCCAGAAATTATAGCTTCAGTGTCCTGTTAATTACTAGTAATAAAAAATTCATATGCTGACCATGGACAAGTCATTTTTAAAGTTGACCTAGGTGCAAAGATAATACTGTGGGGAGAATTCAGTAAAGTACTGTATTTGGGACATTTTTCTGCCTGTATAACTTTTTAAAATGGCCTGCTCTACATTCTGATCTCTAATACAAAGTGTTTCTATGGCTGCACTAAATTCAAAAAGAATTATGTCCAGTTTGTACGTAATTAACACTAACTCAAGGTTCAGTGTTGGGACCCTTACTTTGTAATATATTTATCAACGATATAGGGTCTAGGATTAAAAATCCCATTTCAGTCTTTGCAGATGACACCAAGCTGTGCAGTGGAATAACGTCCTTACAGGATGTCTCCAATTTACAAGCCGACCTCAATGCACTGTTTAATTGGGCAACTATGTGGCAAATGAGGTTTAATGTTGATAAATGTAAGGTTCTGCAATTGGGGGCTAAGAATACGCATGCATCATACATACTAGGGGGAGTAAAGCTGGAGGAATCAATGGTGGAGCAGGATCTGGGAGTTCTGGTAGGTCACAAGCTTAATAATGGCATGCAATGCCAAGCTGCGGTTTCTAAAGCGAGCAAAATCCTCTCTTGTATTAAAAGAGGTATAGACTCCAGAGAGAGATATCATTACTACCCCTGTACAAATCATTAGTAACACCTCATCTGGAATATGCAGTTCAGTTTTGGGCACCAATTCACAAAAAGAACACTGGGGAACTGGAGAAAGTACAGAGAAGGGCAACCAAACTGATAAGAGGCATGGAGGAGATCAGCTATGAGGAAAGATTAGAGGAACTGAATTTATTCTCTCTTGAGAAGAGGAGATTAAGGGGGGATATGATCAACATGTATAAATACATCAGTGGTTCATATAGTGAACTTGGTGTAGAGCTATTCACCTTGAGGTCATCACAGAGGACAAGGGGCACGCTTTACAGCTGGAGGAAAAGAAATTTCATCTCCAAACACTGAAAGGTTTCTTCACAATGAGAGGTGAGAGCTGTGAAAATGTGGAATAGACTCACTCAAGAGTTGGTTCTGGACAGCTCAGTGGATTGCTTTAAAAAAGGCCTGGATTCTTTCTTAGATACACAGAATATTACTGGATACTAACATTTATAGGTAAAGTTGATCCAGGGAATATATCCGATTGCCTCTTGGGGGATCAGGAAGGAATTTTTTTCCCCTGCAGGAGCAAATTGGGTCATGCCTTGCTGGGCTTTTTGCCTTCCTCTGGATCAACTGTGGGTATAGGATTATAACTTTTTTTTTTTTTTTTTTAATGGTTGAACTGGATGGACTTTTGTCTTTTTTCAGCCAGACTAACTATATAACTATGTAAAGCTGGCCGTAGATGGGTAGAATGTATAACAAAAATTCTTAGAAAAAGAATGTCCTAAGAAAGTTTGCTCATTTTTCTAATCATTAGTGGGTCAAATTGACATTTCTTTTTTGACTGCAGTGATGAGAAAATTCAAAGGAACAGGATAGAAAATTTTTCTCGAACAAATTAATTTCTAAGTGTACGTGGTTTTTGTTCAGTAATGTCCATTCATTCCAAAATCAAATGTAAAAGTGAAAAAATCTTTCGAATAACATTTAAATGTTCTGAGAATTTCTGTACGCAAGGAGCCTTATACACAAAATGAGAATATCGAACGAATGATTGTTTGTTTGTTTTTTTTGTGTGTTTTTTTGCATGCAAGTCTCATATCGCAAAAAAATAGGTTAGCAGAGTTACTAAAATTCTCGTAAGACAGAATACAACTCCCGCAATGATGTAATGTATTGTTTTGTAATGTATTCTTTCATTTCCGAGCATGTGCGGTCTTGATCACTCTATTTTATACGGATGGGTACTGCACTGATTAAACGAAAATTGTTTGTTCTGTTATCTTATGAGAGAAATGTTTGTTCTTGTTCCTTCTGATAATTTAGCATGAAGTGTCATGATCAGCTCTCAAAAGCTGTGTACTAATGAACAGATTATTATATATACGATCGTTCTGAAAGCAGTATTTTTTGTCTGATTTTCTCATTGTGTGTACTAGGCAGGGGCGGACTGACCATTCAGGTACTCGGGCACCGCCCGAGGACACCTGGTCAGTATGGGGCCCCATGAGATGCCCCTAGTACCTTTCATAGGCTTTTTTGGGTGTAGTTTGAGTGTGGGTGAGGACACAGGGGCCCCATGATCCCCTATTGAGGGGCCCCATGAGTTGTCAGTCCGCTCCTGGTACTAGGCATGAGAATTTTCATTTGTAATTCTATCCATCTATGGCCAGCTTTAGTTGGCATACAGAGACAGACAGAGTGTTTGCCACCGCTATCCTGCCCCACCTGTCACTGATTTTCAAGGACACTGTTAGCTTCACAGCCAACAGGCTCCTAGCAATCAGTGTTGTTGATGATGCGGAGTCTAATGGGGAAGCTGAGGGGGTAGTTCTCCATCATGACAGCAGACAGTGGGTGGATCCTGTAGCCAAAAGTAGGCTGTCCATTTGCCATGGAATCCACCTATTACCTGCTGTTAATTATAAGGGGAGCAAATCTAATGGGACCCAGTGTCTCCGAATCCCCATCAGGCCCCACCCGCTCAGCTACAAAACTCCTGTGCTGTGTGATCGGTGCAGCGGCAGGGAGGGAGCTCATCTGCACTGAAGATGAAGTGTTCGTATGAGCCCTCCAGTCTCTATGCACCTCCATGCAGCAAATGTCAGTGCTTCCCTTAAAATACTTGTACAATGCAAATTCATAAACAACAGAATTCTGAAAAGTGTGGCAGACACTTATTAAGAACTCCCCAGAATATTATTATTATTATTATTATTATACAGTATTTATAAAGCGCCAATAGTTCGCTCAGCGCTGTACATTACAAAGGGGACAGAACATGTGACAGAACAATACCAATACAATGCAAAACATGAGGGGATCGAGGGCCCTGCTCTTTCAAGCTTACAATCTAGGAGGGAGGGGATGGTGGCACAGGAGGAGATAGCTGTGGGGGATGGAGTGGTAGGAAGAGTGGAGGAGGTCGGCAAGTTAGCAGGGGGCGGGGTAGGCTTCCCTGAAGAGATGGGTTTTCAGGGTGCGCCTAAAGGAGAGGAGAGTAGGTGATAATCTGATGGGTTGGGGCAGGGAGTTCCAGAGGATGGGTGACACCCTGGAGAAGTCCTGGAGGCGGGCATGGGAGGAGGAGACCAGGGAACTAGAGAGAAGGAGGTCTTGTGAGGAGCGGAGTGTGCGTGCTGGGCGGTACTTGGATATTAGGTCAGTGATGTAGTTCGGGGCAGTATGGTGGACAGCTTTGTATGTCAGCGTTAGGATTTTGAATTTGATCCGTTGCGCAATCGGAAGCCAGTGGAGGGATTGGCAGAGAGGGGTGGCGGAAACGGAGCGGTTGGAAAGGTGAATGAGTCTGGCAGCCGTATTCAGGATGGACTGAAGCGGGGATAGCCAGCGGCGAGGCAGGCCAGTGAGGAGGGAGTTGCAGTAGTCGAGTCGCGATATGATGAGGGAGTGGATGAGCTGTTTAGTGGTTTCTGGAGTTAGGAACGTGCGGATTTTGGCGATGTTGCGGAGGTGGAGTCTGCACGAGTTTGTTAAAGAGTGGACTTGGGGCTGGAAGGATAGGTTGGAGTCCAAAATAACACCAAGTACTCTGGCCTGCGGGGCGGGTTTGATGGTGGCGTTGTTGGACATGATGGAGAAGTCAATGGGGGGTGGTGTCCGGGCTGGAGGGAAGACAAGAAACTCGGTTTTGGAGAGGTTCAGTTTAAGGAAGTGGAGCGACATCCAGTCTGATATGTCGCTCAACAGGTGTGTGATTCGGGCGGAGACCGAGGGGGTGAGGTGGGGGGTTGAGAGATAGATTTGTGTGTCGTCGGCATAGAGGTGGTAGTTGAAGCCGTGAGAGTGTATGAGTCGGCCAAGGGAGGAGGTGTAGATGGAGAAGAGAAGGGGCCCGAGGACAGAGCCTTGAGGGACCCCAACAGAGAGGGGGAGTGAGAGGGAGGGGTGGTGGCATTATAGGTAACGCTGAAAGAGCGTTGTGACAGGTAGGATGAGAGCCAGGAGAGAGCAGAGTCTCTGAGGCCGAGGGAGTGTAGTTTTTTTGAGGAGGAGGGGGTGGTCGACTGTGTCAAAGGCCGCAGAGAGGTCAAGGAGTAGGAGCACTGAATAGTGGCCATTAGTTTTGGCGGTTAGCAGGTCGTTGGAGAGTTTGAGTAAGGCAGTTTCGGTGGAGTGTAGGGGACGGAAGCCGGACTGTAGGGGATCGAGGAGGTTGTTGTCGTTTAGGTGAGAGCATAGGCGGGCGTAGACTAGGCGCTCAAGGAGTTTAGATGTAAATGGGAGCAGGGAGATGGGTCTGAGGTTGTTCGGGTCATTGGGATCCAGGGAGGGCTTTTTAAGTATGGGGGTGATGTGTGCATGTTTCAGAGGGGAAGGGAAAGTGCCGGAGGAGAGGGAGAGATTGAAGATGTGGGTGAGGGAGCGTAGGATGGAGGGGGAGGGAGGTCGTAGGAGTTGTGTGGGGATAGGGTCAAGGGGGCAGGTGGTGAGGTGGGCATCAGAGAGGATCCTGGAGACTTCTTCGATGGTAGTAAGGTCAAAGGTGCGGAGTGTTGGGGGAGCATCAGTATGAGGAATGTAGGGTGGGGTGGGAGAGGAGGTTAGAGCAGTGGTGGGGCCGTGGGAGAGGGGTGTAGAGGGGGTAGCTGAGTGAGGGGGAAGGGGGTTGGAGGGAGTTTGAGCAGCGACGAAGTCCCTGTGGGTTATGTCGAGGGGGAGGGGGGGGGATGAGGGGGTAGCTGTGTGAGAGGGGACGGGTTGAGACGGCGTGTGAGTTGCGGCAATGTCCTTGCGAATTGTCATGTTAAGACATTTTACATGTATTGTTTACTTCTCAGAGAGCTCGCAGTACTCCCCTTGACAATGTCCTCTGACCTTTTTACTAGATCCCAGTGCTTTTGTGCCTCATAACATACAAAAGAATAGCAATATATCTTCCTCTGGCAGGCCAGGGTTTCATCTTTAGCAGTTATGGTGTGAGCTTTGATGGGACTAAGTAGTATTTGTAACAATACATTTTTGTAAATAAAAAGACTGGAGTCCCTGAAACTGTTACTGTTGTATGCAATCAGCTGAAATGATATAGAGTTATGTGCAGTAATATATCTAGGGCCCATTCACACCTATCAGTTGTGGTGTGTTGTGATATTTGCATGTGCTGGTGTATTGCAGTGCCACAATTTTCCAATGCACTAAGGCAATGTACCTCCAATGCAGATTCATTCTAGCCTTGATGCAATGCTTACATAGCTTGACGTTCATTAACGTGTTACCATAACATGCACCGCAACAAATTGCCTAGGATGCAATTTCTGCAAAAATAAATGTATAATGCGTCTGTTTCCTAATCTGACATTGAAAATGTATAAATTGAATGGGTATTTTCTACAGTAGTCATGAATGTACAGTATGCTAGGGAGAAATTCCTGAAATGAACATTGGTGCTGTTGTGTCCATTTGCTTGAACATAGTAGCATACATCGTGAGTAACACTTTCTCCTTGTAATGTAGGTAAACTCACTGGCATGAATGAGATGACAGAGAAACTGACATTGTCTGGGAAATATAACAATGATCATGTTATTGTGCAACGAGTCATATCTGCAGCCAACATGAATCGAGTCCCATGTGGTGCCGATAAAGAATACAGGTATGGTGGAGCTGTTGTGACAGGACATTTGCATAGCTTATACTTGTATCCTCAGTGGTGTCCAGTGTGGTTAAAGGGAAAGAATTCTTTACGATGTTATACAAAATGGAGATGGATGATGTGGGGGAGCACAGCTGCTCCTGATTCTGTTTTCTCCAGTCTTAAGGCCTCGTGCTCAAAGGACATTTGGCTATCTCTCCGAAATACCTTTCCTCCTGGCAGCAGCGTTTGGACAGAAAAAACACTTGATGCTTGTAAATGCATGTAACGCATTTAGGCACATCAAGTGTTTAGGCATTAATTAATTTCATTCATAATAATTTATTCTGGTCGTTGAAATTAATTAATGGTCAAGTGCCAAACACACCTAGCCTTAACGCACACTTCCTACATGTCTATTATATGCTTTGCATCATATATTTCTATTAGACACAGTGTCTCCTACCTTTCTATTTAACACAGTGCCTCCTACCCCTCTATTACACACAGTCCATTTAACCTCTGAATTATACACCCATGTCTCACACCTCTCTGTTACATGCGTTACCTCATACCTTTTTGCAGTACCTCTAACTTTCACATTTGTACTGCATTCAGTTTCTCATACAACTGTGTTAAGCGACCTATAGATTATACAAATTTGCATGGTGGAAGGAAAGAAAATTGCTTGATTCCCCCATCAACACAGTAATTCAGAATCCATCCTGCAGTGCTATTGTGTTCTGCCTGTGGGGAGCCTTCCACAGACTGGTTGTACTGAAGTGGATCAGTGGATCGACTTCAGTACAACCAGCCTGCCCATAGATTGATCAAATCTTGGCCCTGCTGAACAGGCTGAGATTTGATCCATCTATGACCAGCTTTACACACCCATACCTCATACCTATTTTTTTACACACAGTGCTCCATACCTCAATGGCTACACAATGACTTATACTTCTTATTTGCATGCAGTGCCTCATACCTCTGTGTCACACACAGTGCCACATACATCTGTATTAAATGCAGTGCCTTATACCTCTCTGTTATATACGGTGCTTCATAGCTTCTGTTATACACTGTTAATCAAACCCCTGCATTACACACATTGCCACATGCTTTTCTATTACATGCAATACCATATGTCTCTTTATTAAACATAGCACCTTATACCTAAATTGCATGCATTGCTTCATACTTCTCTATTACATGTTGTGTACCATATCTCCCTTTAAAATACCATACCTGAGACCTTTCTATTACACAGTTTCTTCTACCTCTCTATTACACCCCATGCCTCATACCTATTACATATAGAACCTTAAAGGAGAAGTATTGGAATACAAAAAACAAATAAACATACATTCTCACCTCTATGCTGCAGCATCAGTGTGATACCATGTGTCCCATATCAGCTCTGACACTGAGAACTGAGCAATCACATGGTCAATAATCGCTCAGCTCTTGGTATTCTCAGAGCAGAGAGCAGTGACTGTCAATCAATGCTCCCTGCTCTGCCCCTCCAGCACCTACTGGTGCGCCGGGCAAAGGAGGGGGCAGGCGCAGCTGGCTTCAGGTCTCAGCCGCATGCTGAGGGCTGGAGCCAGCTGTCAGTCAGTTAGCTGGGTGAATCCCGAAAATACGGTTGTGATCCTTCCAGAGCCTGGAATGCTCTGTGACTTCAGCTGACAGCGGGCAATAGCTTGCTATAAGCTGACTCTGGGTCACAGGAGTGGCAAATAAGTGAATGCTTGTGTCCCAGAAGAGACGTATGACCAAAAAGATTTAGCCATATTTCTCTTTTAAAGCTCTGTATTACAAACAGTGCTAATACTGTATTTTTTTTTAACTTGAAGTGCCACATATTTCTGTATACACTCAGTACCACTTACTTCTTTATGACACATAACTTGCATTAACTCAGCATAACCGTGCCAAATTCCTCTACATTGCACTGGGTTTTTCAGCCCTTATATTACTTGTTTTATGTAGGATTTTATAAACCTTTATGAGAGTTGGACATAGATCAGCTTGACTTCAGACAGAACATACTGTTGTTTGTAGCAGAGTAATGTGCAGAGTTGCTCTCTGAGAGTTTGCATTGCTTACACTTGTTCTAGGACAGACAGACTGAAGACAGTCATTGTGCCAGAACAAGACTGATCAGTGTGTGCAAAGGTTGCATATTATTTGTTAGTGGTTTGACAGTTTACACAGCACACTAAGTACAGGCGCATGTTTAACAATTATATTTCTCTTTATTGTAAGGCAATTTTATGCTAACCTGCTGTTTTTTGATACAGTATCACAGAAGCCCCAGAGGCAGACACCCCCTCTATAAGGTAGCGGCTACATGATGTGCCTCTGCAACTATCTTCTGCTTCTCTTTATCTTGCTTTCCTAATATGAAAGGCATGATGTGTGCACTATCTATGCTTTGGCTTAGGCAGTTCTGCAAATCTGCCAGAATGTAGATCTGAAAATGTAACCTATACCAGTTATTCTACTTATTCTCAGCTGGTGGCTTTTACTGATCTGAGATGTTCAAGTATACTGAAGTTGCACACTGCTTCTTTGCACCACCCTTAAACGGCAGATAGAGATATATTTGTAACCGCTGTGTTACCTTCTATGTGGAACAAGTCAATGACAATGACAATCATAAGGTTTTATGTTGCTAAGCAATATACAGAGCTAACTGTTACACAAGAGGAGGTTGAATATATCTTTCAGATTAACAGCTATGGGTGTAGAGACAAAACATACTCATCTAGAGGCTTGTGGCTGTTTATCTGAAGGATGCTTTATATGGTGAATCAGAAATTTTGAATTATGTTGAAACTTTAGATATGGATTAAATAGCTTTGTTTTACCTACTAACTTCTTTGGTAGGTAGAAGCAAATGGAGGCTGCAATAATGTCTCACATATATGTATTTATTGTGAGATGTTGAGTCATAGAAATATTACTAATAGCAGCAGCATAGCCCATAAATTCTTCTGGCATCATTACTGATCTAATGGAATTGACCGGAAGGGTATGGTTTCATAGAGTTGATTGGTCAGCAGTTAATTTCCAGTGCAAAGATGATGGCACAGCCACTGGTACTTACTTGATACTGACTAATCCAGAGCTACTGATCTGCTCCTAATTTTGATTATTTCAATGTGCAGTGAAAAGGAGGAATTGCTGGCATCACTCAGAACTGGAGCTCATACAAAAAACCTTGTGAAAATCTGTCAGAAGATACCTAAAATTGGGTATATAAATAATATCCAGTGCGCCTACAGCTGCCAGTAAGCAATTACACTATAACACAGGATATGTACAGAGCAGATCCTGACCTTGTTAACAATGCTATGTTCTAACTAGATCAAAGCTTACTGCTGTTAACGCAAACCATATCTCAAGTTGTGATTATGTCCTATTTGCTGAGGTTTGAAAGCCTTCAGGCTCCAAACTAATTATTTTACCTAATATTGCCAGTTGAACACTTTTGGGCATCACATAATGCCCACAGGTGATGTCATTTATTCCATGTACAATGTAAGGGATGCAATTGTCCATTCAGGCTTGCTTATTATGGATGCACAAACTGCAGTCAGAACATTTAGAGAAGATGGCTGTTTTTTAAATAAGCAGGTATTAAATGGAACAAAAAACAGGGCACTGGAATTAATATTTAAATAAAATAAAAACTATTTCTGCGCTAAGATGAAAAAACACAATATAAAGCAGCTGTTAATCACTGTGACACGTGAAAAAATACAGTATATAAAATCAGATAACAGCGCTAGTAAGTAAATGTACAAATAAAAACCACATAATTATAACATAGTGAATATTTCATCAATCATAATATATATAACATCCAGCGAATAGAAATAAAATAAAAGTGTCCATGTGAAAACTGAATTCCAAGGGATTTCCTACATGACGAAACGTGTATGGCAGGGCTGGTATGTGTGACATCATCGCGTTGCTACGTCAGCTTGTGTGTTGAGCGTTTGTCCACGCTGGAGCCATCAGCTATCCATATTGCTTATGTAAACATAGTTTTTTTATCCTGTATTGGAACTTTCTTTGAATGGGAACGGTGGTTTTTAATGAATAAAGATCCTTTTGGGCATACTTCACTATGTATGCAATCTTTTTTGTTTTTTACCCATGGCCACCATTTGAGCCTGTAGTGCTACTACCTTCACCTTTTCATGGTCCAACCATTTTGGAGTATCCTCCTCTATGGTTGCTGGTCAACTATGATGAGATTGTGATTGCACATCTTCCAGTTGAGCGTTCTATGACCATTTTTTAATTTTATGGTCCATCCTGTCTGGTATGAGGCTCTGACATCTATATGTGGAGGTGAAGGAGTTTTTTCACATCGTGGTGTATTGTCGGCTCCTAGACAGCATTTGATATTCTTTGGAGAAGAAGGGATTTTATTTGTCACTTGAATTCAGTTTTCACATGGACATTTTTATTTTATTTCTGTTCACTGGATGTTATATATTATGATTGATGATGAATATTCACTGTTATAATTATGTGGTTTTTATTTGTACATTTGCTTACTAGCTCTGTTATCTGATTTAATATTTAAATTTAATAGAATAAACGTATAGTTCTAGCCAGGGCTGGGACAAGGGGTGGAAGAGAGGGACAGCTGTCCTGGGCACAGCGAAACAAGGGGGCAGAGAATGAACTCAGGATAGTAAACTCATTCTACAGCATGCATTAACAGTGGGGGTGGAGCTCCACATCCTTGCCCTGGGCCCTAGATTAACTTGTCCCAGTACTGGTTCTAGCAATTAAGTACATTTAATTCATTATTGTTTAATGTTCTAATGATTGAGAGTATGAATATACATGACAAATAACATATAAACTGAATGGTACTCAGGAATTAACCCACTCAAGCTTTTCCTAACAATCCTTTTGCAAAGCATTATATATCTCACAATACAGCCTTACTCTAAACTGTAGAAGTTTAGAATAACATAATAGCTCTGTTTTCTCACATAACTAATTTGGCTTACTGTTTTATCATTTCAGATTTGCAGCAAAGACAGTAACCAGTGGAACACTTGTCCTGGTGACGCTTACTCTGAAAGATGATTCTTCTACATTGCTGACTATCAATAGTGAAAAAATGGTGATTGCAACGATGTTGGCAAAGGACATTGTGCAAGCATTAACACAGTGATGTTTGTAATATGGCGACCCTGAGACTTGGTTTTAATCCCTCATACAGCATCAAGAGACAGATATGTGGATGCATGAAGATCAGATGTGACATCTTGCAGTCTTATCATTGCTGCTAACACAATCACACTCAATAAGATGGGTTGTCTCCACAGAATTCATCCCGGGCTAATATAAAATTCTGAACAGCTCATAGATAGTCACTACATCAGAGGATTTTTTTGTATGCCCCAAAAGTTGTCAGTTTGGTCAAACAAGAATTGATCCCACATTTTGAATATAAAAATAATTAGATTGACCATCACCACTACCATTATCTACATATAAATACGAAAATGACTACCTGTACTTTAATATCCTCTAAAGGATCAGAACCCAGAACATGGTCACACACAGGCTGGATTCAAAAGGATAATTGTGTCTATACTCAAAATGTCTTTTCAGTCAAGTGGTGAATTTTTATCATTCTTTGATGTGATTGGTAAATTATAGAGAAAAATGGCCTTATAGCATTAAAACTTTCATGCCCAATAATGTTTCTGTCAATTTTCTACAAGATATTAGTCTGTAAAAGGTTAATTAACGGTAGAAATGATGTACACATGAGATACAATGCAGAATGTGTGTTATATTTATCTTTTTAAAGGGAAGCAATGGGACAATGTTCTATAGATCGCTAATGAAGCTGATTAAAACTGTAGGTGCTCTTGATCAAAAAGAGAAAAATATCATATTGAAATCCCATTTAGGTGAGAGTGTGTAGCCTCTGTGCTATCTTTAAATACCTATGGTCATGGTAATAAATGAATCCCTTCATTGGTGCGTGCACACTGATATTACTCTGACTTGTGTGGCATCTTTCCCACCTCATGTATTGTATTATTTTCAGTGTCAGCAGTACAGCTTTATTTATTAAAATTGTAGAGTCTGTTATTAAAGTCCATTGTGAAAACAGTGATGTATCTTGTACTGTCTAGATTTCAGCCTATACAATTTATAATGATCTGTTGAATTCAACACATGCTGTGCAGGGAATGATTGATATGTAATATTAACAAAGATTTCATTATTTATGTACAAATTGGGCCCAAAGTGTCAATATTTTGTGTGACCACCATTATTTTCCACCACTGCCTTAGCCCTCTTTAGCATGGAGTTAACCAGAGCTTCACAGGTTGCCACTGGAGTCCTCCTCCATGACGACATTATGGAGCTGGTGGATGTTAGAGACCTTGCGCTCCTCCATCTTCCATTTTAGGATGCTCCACAGATGCTCAATAGAGTTTAGGTCTTGAGACATGCTTCGACAGTCCATCACCTTTACCCTCAGCTTCTTTAGCAAGACAGCCCATCTGTGTCATTTGATTAGCCGTGGCCAATCACAGCTAATCACAACAAAAAAAAACCTCAATGAATTGATTTCATTCAGTTAAATGCTTGCATATAGCAAAGAAATTCTTTGCTATAAGCAATCAAATTGTGTACAAATTGTAACATTATACTACTTTGGTCATAGTGTAATATGAAAAGAAAATCGTAAAAAAAAAGAAAAATGTAATAAAAAAAAAAATAATAAAATTATTTTAAAAAAATTATAAATTATAATTTCTTTTTTCGTACTGTCACCAGTCAGTGTCCCTGATCACTGCCACACCAGTTATATGATGATGCTGTACTGCACTGGTGACAGTATGTAATAAAAAATTTGTGAACATTTTTTTAATTTCTTAATTTTCCAAAAAGTTCTGACGAAAAAAAATTACAACTTCAAAAAACTCGCCATGCCTCTTATGAAATATGGTAGACTGTCTACTTTGCAAAAAGGAGTCATTTGGGGGATATCTGTAATGTCCTGACATTTTTGGTCCTCAAGAAATTAGATTGGCCATCCGTACTTCAGGATTGATCAATTTTCAGATATATCCCATAGTTTATGAACTCTATAACTTTCCTACAGACTAAATAATAAATACTGATTTGGGTTATTTTCACCAAAGATATGTAGCAGAATACATCTTGGCCTAAATTTATGAAGAGCAATTATTTATTTGCAAACTTTTATAACAGAAACAAAGAAAAACGTGGGTTTGTTTTTTAAATGTTCGGTCTTTTTTTGTTTATTTAGCAAAAAATAAAAACCCCAGTGGTGATTAAATACCACTAAAAGAAAGCTCTATTTGTGTGAACAAAATGATAAAAATTTAGTTTGAGTACAGTGTTGCATGACCACGCAATTGTCATTCAAAGTGAGAGAGCGCTGAAACCTGAAAATTGGCCTGGGCAAGAAGGGGGTAAAAGTGCCCAGTATTGAAGTGGTTAAAAACAGATTTTCTATAAATATGTATACTTGAATCAAAAATTTCCCTTCTATTGCTCTCAGCTTCTTCCAAATTTCCGAATTCCTTTTCTTTGCTGCTGTAATGGATGGGATGCTACTTTTGTTTTCCACGGTCCCATTGTATAGTACAGCAATGGGCAAACTACGGCCCGGCGGACCTTTTAATCCGGCCCGCAGAGCGTGATACTGTCAGGATGGCTGTCAGGATGTGTGTAGGCGGGGCAGCGTGACGAACGTGAGGGGAGCTAGGCTCCTCTCCCAGTCCGCCCTGAAGACCGGAACGGCGCGGGAACACGGCGAGAGGAACGCGCAGAGCAAAGGTAAGTAAATTGAATTACTATAGGGGGGATGAATTACTATAGGGGGGATGGATTACTATATGGGGGATGAATTACTATGGGGAATGAATTACTATATGGGGGATGAATTACTATGGGAGATGAATTACTATATGGGGGATGAATTACTATGGGGAATGAATTACTATATGGGGGATGAATTACTATGGGGGATGAATTACTATATGGGGGATGAATTACTATGGGGGATGAATTACTATATGGGGGATGAATTACTATAATCGGGGATGAATTACTATAGGGGGGATGAATTACTATATGGGGGATGAATTACTATGGGGGATGAATTACTATATGGGGGATGAATTACTATATGGGGGATGAATTACTATGGGGAATGAATTACTATATGGGGGATGAATTACTATGGGAGATGAATTACTATATGGGGGATGAATTACTATGGGGAATGAATTACTATATGGGGGATGAATTACTATGGGGGATGAATTACTATATGGGGGATGAATTACTATGGGGGATGAATTACTATATGGGGGATGAATTACTATAATCGGGGATGAATTACTATAGGGGGGATGAATTACTATATGGGGGATGAATTACTATGGGGGATGAATTACTATATGGGGGATGAATTACTATGGGGGATGAATTACTATATGGGGGATGAATTACTATGGGGGATGAATTACTATATGGGGGATGAATTACTATAATCGGGGATGAATTACTATAGGGGGGATGAATTACTATATGGGGGATGAATTACTATGGGGGATGAATTACTATATGGGGGATGAATTACTATGGGGGATGAATTACTATGGGGGATGAATTACTATATGGGGGATTACATACTATATGGGGGATGAATTACTATGGGGGATGAATTACTATGGGGGATGAATTACTATGCTTACTATGGGGGAATATTACTATACTTACTATGGATGACACATACACATCATTCATCTACTCTTGGTCCGGCCCCCGGGTCCAATATATGAACCCATTGCGGCCCTCAAGTCAAAAAGTTTGCCCACCCCTGGTATAGTATGTAGGAACCTATCCACCCTCTCTTCCTTGCTCCAGGGAGAAACCAGGGACTGTGTACTATGGGATTTGTAGTGTGCATAGAGCAGTGCACATGATCACAACATATACTGCTCATTCAAAAAAAAACAGATCTGAGGGAGAAAAGGAGAGGTTCAAGAGCTTATGGCAGATGTTACAAGGAGGCAGAAAAACATAGTAAGAAATTATTTCATGAAAATTATATTACAGTAGTGGATGTGTATGGATTATATTGGGAGAATAAGGATATGGTTTAATTTCACTTTAACCACTTCGTGCTCTTAGGACATACCTGTGCATCCAAGTGCCCCATCCCCTTGTGCTCACGTGCAAATGTGAACACGCACATACGTAAACGGTGATTGTACCCCTCATGTGAGGTAAACATAATAGTGAGAGCAATAATTCTAGCACCATACCTCTCATTTAACTCTAAACTGGTAACCTATAAAGGCTTTTAAAGCATCACAAACTATCAAGAGCAAGTCAATAAGATATTTCCATGGGGGCATCATCCCAATCAAGACAATTGTAAAGAAACATGGCATGTAGAGGATGTTATTGTTTATTTTTCACCATTCCAACTACTCAGCAAAAAAATACACTTACTGTATAAAAAAAATGTTTTAAAAAATACCACCAAATACATCAAAATAAAAAATACATCAAAATAAAATAAACAGGATCTTCGTTTTAGCTACAACAGACATACTATATATTTTGTAAGCCACAGAACAGTATATCTGACTGCCTATGAGTTTTGCAAGTGTCCCATTTCTTCGGGACTGAAAGTGTGCTTTCATATGGGTTTTAATAACAAATCAGAATCCACCTACAAAAAATAGCAATATGACATATATATATATATATATTAAAGAAATAAAATAAGATACTGTCCATTACCACCTGTTGAAAGGGAGGAATATGAGGGTAAAGAAAAAAACTAACCACCACCCATGTGTACAACCATCCAGCTCCTTACCTACACACTAACATTAACTGCACACAAACAATTATCCAAAGGTTGGTCCTATGGCTAATCACAGTCTTCCCCCGGCCTTTGGGGGAATGCAGAGTGCCGAAAAGGGGTACAAATAAACTCAATTTAAGTGGGTAAGAATGGAGATTTTTATTTCCAAGTAAGTGTCTATACAGAGAAAATGCCTTTGCTCCCTCTCGCTCTGTAGTATATACTGGTAAAGCAGAATTCTGGGCAAAAACATTTTTACATGTCCTTGTTGCAGATGTCCTACCTTCACTGAATAT